TATTTTTATTTCATTTAATACATCTGTGAGAGCCAAAACAATATAGAATATTCGATTCGAAAAAATTGTTAACCACATCAATTTTTTTTTTTATAATAAATTCTTCAATAAAATGTACTCTTGAAACACCCTGATGTATTTGGCGGTTGTAGTCTTTTTACAAAAACATAATTCGGCTGTCTGTAGAAAAAAGGTTGTCTTCCCAACCCCAGGCGTAAACTATATTTAACTTATCTCAATTACTCATACGATCATCTAAATCAATTAAGGAGAATAAATTTTTTTGAATGAATTGCAAGGTAGAAAAAGGCTAACATTTACGCTTTACGAGATTTCCACAATTTATCCTAATACAGATTACAATACAATCTGTATGAACATGGAGTGAAACTTCTCGATATTCAAAACATCTAATATGTCTGTTCACTATGGATTAAAGTATTTTGAGAGATATTGTTGCCTCATCTGTTATGAGGGATAAGAATACAAACAAGAATTTTGTTTGACATTAACAGCATCCCCAATAAAACATGCCCTATCTTGCTCCTACGCGGGAATGAATATTATTGAGAACAAAACAAATAAACACGAGCACTTTCGTGGTGCAATACGTTCTGTAATAGGATTTATTAGACTTCATCACAAAGTCTCAGACAATAAGCAAACATATCATTTATACATACATATTTATTGGTCTGTTTGTTCATCACATATAAAATAAAATAATGTAACTTTATTATATCAGCATCATAAAAATTGTGAGTCTTTAAATTATATTGTTAAAGATAAAACTGACGTAGAGAATATTACCATACGAAAACATTTAAAGCTTGAAGTAAAAAGGAGTTGAGAAAAACTAAGGAACCTAAAAGCCAGTTTAAATTCTTTGTTTTACAAAGTATCTTTAACATCTCATAATTTTGACATAACCCATAATCGTGATATCGTTATCGATTAAAACATAAATAGTAGTTTGAACTTTGAAATATTGAAACTTTTTTATATTAATAAACTATGTGATAAAATGGCAAATATCAGAATTATACTATAAGTCAGTACATTGTTGTCTTCTAAACTCTACCAATAATGCTATAAATTTAATAACGTAATAAATGAAATATTTTTTTAGATTGCGAAAATGAATGGATTGAATGACATATTGACCTAACAGTATAAGATTCGCGGAAAAAAACCTAAAAGCTCTAAATTTCTTAATAATTCCTTGCCTAGCTTTTATATTCTGTAGGCGACATATCGGTGTTTTAGCATAGATTAGAGTAGGGGTTCCCAAACTTAATGAATGGGTTGAATGACATATTGACCTAATAGTATAAGATTCGCGGAAAAAAAACTAAAAGCTCTAAATTTCTTAATAATTCCTTGCCTAGCTTTTATATTTTGTAGGCGTCATATCGGTGTTTTAGCATAGATTAGAGTAGGGGTTCCCAAACTTTATTGACCGCGGCCAAAATTAAAAGCGGAAGGATGTTCGCGGGCCGGAAGACTGTAGCGCCCGAAAGTGCGCGACGGTTTAAGTGGAATCACTTTTATTTGACATTTTTTTGAAACATGTTCGTTTGAATCATAAAGGCGCTTAATGTCGTATTCCTTCAGAACTGAAATTGTTCGTTGGCAAAAACGACAAATTGCTGAATTTTAATTTTTTCTAATGCAGAAATACGAACGCTGACATTTATTCAAGGAACGTCTGTTTTCAGCGTCTAGTTTTCGTTTGCTTTTTGACATCTATAGGGATGATACCTAAAATACTGCCGTATGTAATCCTAATACCATTACGTATAATTAAGATACGTATAATTAGTTGTTACAATATACAAGTGCCTAAACTATGATAATAACGTAGCAATTGGTGGTATCTAGATTGCAAAAATTAGAAACAAAATCTGTTGAACACCAGTTGACTCAAGCTCGGCGGGCCATTTCAAATCGTTATGCGGGCATGATTTGGCCCGCGGTTCGGAAACCCTTTGATTAGAGGAACCCTAAGATTAGGTTGTAATGTGCAGAAGATTAATATTTGAATAAATTATGTTTAGAGATTTAAGATGTGACTTTACCAGACTATTTATTAAAACGGAAGTTGAGCAGAAAATAGTCCAAATCCAACTGCGAGTCAAGGACCTGATACCAAAGACCGTTATGTCGTCGTATTACGGTTATATTTTAATATATTTGTCCATGTTTTTTCAAAGTGGAGTCATGAATCTAAGTAAGTTATTACTTACATTTTCCAAAAGATAGTAACTTCATAATTTGATGTATTTAAAGTAAAGTCGAGATTGTCAAAAAATAAAACCTTTTGTTTTGCCATCGAAAAAGTTGTTGAATGATTCCACAATTGTATTGGTATACCCATATTGATATTAGACATTTCTCAACCTTCTTATCCTGTTGTGCCAATGAACGCCACACAATTTGTTGTGTTCAATTCTACGTTTCCATCGGTAACAAGACTATATGATATATTTTATCAAAGCGAAAATTATGAACCCTAGGCAGTAGACAGATTCAGTCAAATTTTGTTCTTATTGTTCATATTTACTCCAATCACCACAAAACTACAACGTTCCTAAACACTTTACATTGAACGTGAAAAATTGATCATTTCAATAAATTAACATTTGGAGTTTAACAATAATCTTATCGGTTCTTTTAATTGTTCGACGATTGTTTTATTATAGTGCAATTGTGTCTTGTCAGATGAATACAAAAATGTGCGAATTTAAATGTGTCAACCTTTATACGAATAGAATAGAATTCCGATTTCATACCATGGAATTATATATATGAAATTTAATGCTTTAAACATATGAAATACCTAAATTATAAATGGGAGTGAAAAACGATAACCTTGGTTTCCAGGTGAAAATTCTTTCCTGGCTGAATGCGTATACTACAAACTCGGATGCCCGGTCTCTGTTTCTTGTCAAGTTCATGCCAGACCAGGCGATTACTACTGTTGTAAAACTGGCACTTGTTGTGGATTTTCAGAATGTAGAAACACAGGTAATAAATTTTGTGTAAGTTCTTTATGGAAAATTAACTGTGTCACTTTTTCTTATGGTAAAATTAGAGATGTACCGATATCACTTCCTTCGCCGATACCGATACTGTCAAAAATGGCGAAAGAACGACATGCTAATTTTAGTTAATGGATAAGTAATGATTTACCCAAGTTTAAGCATTCCAAATCTCTGATTCTAAAAATCTGTAAGGTAAAAATTTTACTCAGGCAAAAAAGTAAAATTAGAGGTAGAAATGACCCCGAGTGTGGATAAAGAAGATATGCAATTACAATAGGAGTACATAAAAGTTGAGTAGCATTTCTATCTTCTAATAAAAGCTGAGAATTATTTTTGAAATTGAAGGTAACATATTTTGGTCACCAAATCTATTCATGAATCTATTTCGTGTTTTAAAAAGAAAAATAACTGCACTCATATTTTTGTTTCCTGTCGAATGGTTTTTAAATCACTGACGCCACAATGCGCTAAGCAAACTTTATTTTCATCATATGGACATTAACAGCTAAATAGTCTAACACTTTCTATAATAGCTTATCTCATTACAGATATTAACTGTAACGGAGTGGTTTGTGACGACTACAACACTTGCTGTCGCGATATATCATACGGCGGTTGCTGCGCAAATCTGGAGGGTCAAGGTATATTAATTATTTACATGTTTGCTCAATAATACATTTCACCTACATGTGTTTATAAACATACTTGTATTTTTATTAACATTTGTAACAGATTTTAGAATAGAATCGCATATTTTTTCCTAATCGCATCTAAAATATTTGGAAGATATTCAAATGCATGTAACTTTTTTTTATTGTCATTACGTTTTTCACTTGGGTCATCCAATCACAGAAATTAGTCAAAACGTAGAATCAATCACTCAGACAGTTTCGAAATTTCCAGCCCTATGTATGAGTACTTCATTAGGGAATTTCATAGTTTAACTATTGGTTGTCTAGACATATAAAAATATAATCAAACTCAGCAAGATTACGCAATCCATCCCACTCACACTTTCCTTTCTTACTGATACCTATGAATGGAAACGACGTGCAGTTAGACTGTCTGATGGAAGAGTACCTCAAGAAGGACGAGTAGAAATATATCACTCAGGAATCTGGGGAACAATATGTGATGATGGATGGGATGAAAACGACGCAGAAGTTGTTTGCCGGATGTTGGAGTTTCCTGGAGTAATATCAGCGCCTTTATATGCCTTATATGGGAAGGGAACTGGTCCAACATGGCTCAGTGAAGTTGACTGCTCTGGAGCTGAAAATGGATTGTCGGGTTGTCCTCATAATGCATGGGGCGTTCATCATTGTGGACACAACGAAGATGCGTCTGTCAAATGTTTACCTAATGGTATGTTAATGAACATTAAAACGTAGAAGTGTTTATATTGGCGAAGTAAGGTCACAGAATTAACACTAATATAAAAGATTCTTATGAAGGCGCTACGAAAAATCAGTATCAGGTATTTGTCAGGGCCTCTTTTTAATCACCTTTGCATACCATATCTTAGCCACACTTAGACAAGTTAATGCGACCAAGAAAACATCTCAATTAATTTAAATTTACAGTACAGAAGGTCTTGGAACTTTATTCCACTATATGTCTGAATGATTTTCACAAGAAATAAAATTAATGTGTTTAAGCTTATTTGGACGCTTGTGCCAATTATGTACAACCTCACACCCATGTTAGTTTCTATTTCTTTTTTTGCAGTTCTATTTATTCGATTTATATTTATAGTTCGCTTAGCTGACGGTCAACTCAACAAAGGCCGCGTGGAAATATTTCACGCGGGTGCATGGGGAACAATATGTGATTTCAGTTGGGATCTAGAAGATGCAAGAGTTGTTTGTAGGACGCTTGAGTTTCCAGGAGTTATATCTGCACTAAAAAAACGCGTATTATGGAGAGGGCACGGGTCAAATTTGGTTAAACAACGTCAACTGTGATGGGAATGAAGATTCATTAGACCAATGTCCCCATAATAGTTGGGGATCAAATTCTTGTTCACATGGTGATGACGCGTCTGTAGAGTGTCTATCAACAGGTTTGTTGAATAAAGTTATTTTGCAAATTTCAAGTGATCGTATTATAAATACTACTTTAGTTTAAACAGTCATGTACTAAAATGTACTATAGATTTATTTTTAAACATCGATGATACCATGTTGTAAGATGTGTCCGTATAGACTTCTTCTGAGATCTTTGAAATCAAACATATTGAAAGCAGTGGTTCCAGTGGTTCCCAACCTTTTATTGCCCGCGGCCCCATTCCAAAAGTGTTTACCATTTATGGCTCCCCTGTTCACCATTCCAGTGGTATTTAGAGTGCTATTATGATTGATAGATTATGAATCCCATTATGTTAGCACAATTCAAGTTCAAATGAAAACACCCTGTGAAATATCTTTCTCAGGCAATGAACCTAGGAAGATATATCCTTCTTGTCAAGGGACACGTAAAAAAAGTTCTGCGCCTAGCATTGTGGCTCCTCTCCAACACTGTGTTGACCCTTGATGAGCCACATGGCCCCCGGATCCGAAACGCTGATCAAAAGCATAACATACAGGCCTTCGCCCGGAACGAACATGATAAATTGTCAAAACCCAGAATCATAATTGTTCTGACCAACATGTGTTTCTGGATGTATGTCCGCCCCTCAACATTGTTTACCACCATATTTTAAATAATTACACGTTTCACCTTTTTATAGTTCGTATAGTAGACGGAAATGATATAAATGAAGGAAGGGTGGAAATATATCACGAAGGAATATGGGGAACAATTTGCGATGATTCCTGGGGTATTAACGATGCAAAAGTTGTCTGTAGAATGCTAGGATATCCTGGTGCAACGTCAGCTCCTGTGGAGGCCCACCATGGGGAAGGGCTTGGTCAAATATGGCTAAGAAGCGTCGCTTGCTCAGGGGGTGAACAAAGATTGGAAGATTGTAATCACGGTTCCTGGGGGTCACATTATTGCACCCATGCTGAAGATGCCTCGGTACATTGTCTTCATACAGGTCAGTAGGCTCACGTGAATTTATTATGTGATATTTCACGTTCAATTTTTGTAAGCGAGTACCACACCATTGTTTTCTAATGTCCCGATGAGAGGGTGAACAATTTATTGATCGTGAAAGATCCAACGATTTTCTGATCAATATTTTATTATTAACTGATACTTGTCTATGGAATTCTTGTGGGAACGTCCCACGGGATAGCACACATGTGTATTCCCCATGAGAACAAGTAGCCTTGTATAAAACTGGGACAATTTTATATAAGATCACAGGCCTGATTACATGTCCATCAAAACCAGTCCAGTGAACCGGTTCGATTCGGAAATGTTAAAGTAGTCTTGAAGACCACTTAGCGCCCTCGATTACATGTCCAAACTAACGAGATCAGAACAGTTTTAGATCTGCCGGACTAAAGCAAATGAGTCGTGATTTGCAAACACTGCATATATTTTATTTTCAATAAATCCATACATTTAATACAAATGTTAATTAAATAAAGTATCAAAATTATATGCACGTTCTTGATTGAAGTTCTGTGAAGTTATTTGTAGAATATTATGAGGTGTTGCTTTCCCATTGAAATTTGCTCAAAATCTAAGAACAAAACGTCAAATTAATTAAAGGCATGATAGGTAGACGAGTTAGATCATTTTGGCCGTCCATTCAGCGTTCAACGGCACCTTATGTCACACGATTCATTAACAAAATATTACGGTAGGCCTACCGCTACCAGTAGTCTACTGGGAACCAAATTCAAACAGTTTATCAATCGAACACTGTGTGTGAAGTGGGCTCATCATATGCAAATAGAAGCATTTTCATTATTTAATATCGCCCTACTACTGCAACGTTACCGACACTGAAGCATTGAATTTGTACCGGTATGTACAGTTAGGGTACCGGTGCCAGCTAGGATGAGGTATGGTTGTATGAAGAAATTCCATAAAATTTCTCAATGCAAACTGAAGTTTATCAACATATGTCGTATTGCGCTCAGTTCCTATCAATGATCTTTAGACATTTGATTTAATTCTCTATTTCAACAACCCAGCATGCCGCACCGGGATTCCACCAGTACAGATACCGGTATTTCAAATTTGGGTTCAACAGTGACGCAATAGATGCGGAAGAGGTTTACATTAAACTTGCACTATCTAGCTAAATTTTTATCTGTTAAAAAAAGCAACTCACTTACCAGAGATGAAAAAGAAAACAACTCCTATACACCTTCGATCAACGTACGTAACTGCGATTTCTCGAGTAGCAGGACGAAGCAACTGAGCAAGACCAGTGCAGTCCACTTCCAGACCTAGATAGGTGGTCTGATGTTGTTGACCGATAGCACAGATTTGAATCGCAGGCGAACCACTGAAGCGTGAAATAGTTCCCATATGTGGTCTGCTGGACCGGACCCAGTGGACATGTAATAATGTCCTTACCGGCGCGGTTTTAAAAAAGCTGATTAGGTAACGTATTAACCCATAACAATTTTCCTTGCGATCGGGTCAGGAAAAGATTTTTGTGGCTACACCATTCTCTGTGTTCAGAAAAAGCACTGTGCGGACGGATTTCCGACGACAAGTCTACATAAACCCCTTAATCAGCATCCATTTATAGTTAACATTTCTTTTACATATTGTTGGGAGCGTCACAGGTTCGACCTTCTCTGGATGTCATTTGCAGTATTGATGTCGTAATTCTTTTCGTGTTTTGTTTTTTCTGTGATTGTTCGTAGTAGTCGATTCTTGATATTTATTGAATTGCAATGAGATAGGACTGCAATAAATTGGGCGGGACTCAGAAATATTCCCATAAAAAGCATTCTTAACGTGCTGTTCTGAGTCAGGGTAAATATATACTTCGAAGATATTGGTTGAAGTAAGCATATGAAATGAGATTCATTCTATGTTCTCGGTCAGCACAAATATAATTCTCTAGCAAAATAGATCATTTGTATAAAGTGATTTTGAAAAATCGAAACAAGTGCGGGGCACAACATATTCGAGTTAAAAATTTTATACTACTACTTTTTAGTCATTGTTACGAGTGTATTTTGATATTCCGTGTAAAAACAAATTGGTATAATTTCATTCAAATCTAAAGCCGTTCGGAGATCATCTAATTTTGTACCAAACTAAAGCTCACGCCAAAATAGTTAATTCGAACCAGGGATGGCCAATTCGAATAAAGTATTCGAATGTATTCGAATATCTCGTCATTCGAATATCGGAATTAGCGTTCATAATAATATCGGATATTTGTGTGACGTCACACATTTTCGACGCTGCCTTCGAGACGTTTCCGTTGGATGAAAACATTCTCGATAGAAACTTGCGCGCGATTGCTCTATCAGCGGACGAGTTATTTAGGCCGTAAATGCCTTTACGTTTGTGTTATTTTCTCTAAAACGCAAATTTTCCACAAATTTGATCCACGATAACGATGACACTTATTTTATTTTTGTACTCGCACGGAATTGTGAATCCGGTGAATACGTTCATCGGCGGCGAGTTTCTAAAGAAAACGCAAACTTTTTGATTGAAAAGCGGCAATTTAAAATACTGAATATAAAACCGAAAACAAAATATGTTTTATTGAAGCCCGCGACAGTGTAAAAAACGCTTTTCTAGGCAGTGAAAATCGCAAAATTCCTGCATTATGTTTGGTTCGCGTTTAGAAAGGTCACTAATTGAGGACGGGATTTGCCTGATTATCCATTACTTTAATTAAATTGCTGTCGAACATTTAGGTGTTAACATGATACAAGGTTTGAAACGCGACTTTTCCCCGGGTTGTGAGAATGCATATAATATAATTAATCTAAAGTATATTCAATCAATTTTTATTGTGCTGAAATAAATTTTACTCTGAGATTTTACTGCAGATTTATGTATTTTTCGAACGGTTTTATCTTAAAAATAATCAGGAGTGGCGGCATTTCTATTAAGCGGAGTCAGTGTTACACATCTCGAATTTGCCGAATTCGCAAAATACGGATCAAAACAATATAAATAATTGGGCAGTTTACCACACATTTTTATTTTCATGTCCGCGGATCGCGATGGTATATTAGAGTGGTGAGGCTTTTATTTTGTCGAAGCAACCGCAGGTTAAATTGAAAACAATTAAATTAATAAAGCAAGACATTTTAAATATGCCCGTATCGGTCACGAATTAATCACTTTGCACAACAGCAAAATATATATATATTCGTTGTTATATTATTCGTTGTAAAAGTCGGCTCTTTTAACAGGCGGAGTAATCGCGGCGATGAATATGTATTTTTAATTTACTGCTTAACTTTATATGTTTATTCATTGTATGAAATGAAGTTGTACTATACAGGATTTCATATCAGTTATTGAGATTTTTCTAACGACGATAACGAGTTAAAATTAAATACATCAGGCAGATTATCCCATACTTTTAGGCCACAGATCGCCGTGGACCTAATAGTAATGTTTTTATTTTGACGTAAAAGGAAGCAACCGCGAGTTACGTTGGACTCATGAACTTAATATATACAGATATTTTAGAATCTCGTAGTTGTCATGGATTGAATATTTTACGTGATAGGATGATTTACCTTGAAAAGACGGAACGAGCGCGGAATCGAGGTGGCTGTTACAGGCGGCAATGTGAATTTCCGATTTTGTAAATCCTTGCTGCGCGCCTGGCAGTGGTGGTCATCTATCCTCTAACTTATTGTTAAATTCAGACATAAGGATATGCTACACATAATAACAATATGGTTCACATAAATTAATATACAAATATACTGGTAGGTAGTAGAATACTCAAGGCTTAAATATTAGAATTTGCAAAGGCATAATGGATATTCGATTGTTGTTGCTTGCTTCAGTTGCCTGTATTGCCAATGCATTTTATTACTCTCAGAAAATATACACAATTATCTAAATACAAGTACGGTATTATTTTTGTCAATAGACTCGACTATTATCGTAATATCATGGTACCAATGATAGAAAGCGTCAGACAATTCTTGGCTATCTTTTCATATGGTCATTTGTAGTAAGTGTACAATTTTAATAAACTGACTGTGTCACAAGTTGCTATTGTTTTTATTGATAGCTATAAACTATCAATTACTTTGTGTACATATACTGTTGGTTTGTGGTTTATTCTGATATTTCTATTGAAGCTTATTCCCTACTTTACTGGGTTTTGATAAACTAATACAAAAATGTGCTATTCTTGAATTTAGAATGTATTCGGAATTCCAGATTCGAAAACATTATTTTAGAATGTATTCGGAATAGTTCAGTATTCGGAAATGGCCATCCCTGATTCGAACATATTATGGACTCTAATAGAGGAAACCTCCATGGATACAACATAATCATGCGCAAATTCTTCAAATTCGAATATTTTGTCAACAACCACCACTGAAACGTTGCAAATGAAAATATGCAAAAACATACATTTGTGTATTGAGAGCCAATCGAAGTCCTTTAATCCATATTGTGTGTATGTTTATTGAATTGATTTTTTTTTATCACAGTTCGGCTAGTCAACAGTGGCGTAGCTCACAAAGGAAGAGTCGAGATATTTCATGATGGTTTATGGGGAACTATATGTGGTTATTACTATTGGGGCATAAATAATGCAAAGGTTGTTTGTAAAATGCTTGGCTTTCCAGACGTTCTATCAGCACCCACGTCATCATTTTATGGGCCAGGTACTGGTAAGATTTGGCTTTATGCTGTCCAGTGCACTGGATATGAAGCCACTTTAGAAGACTGCTACAACAATGGTTGGGGAGACGTTAGTTCATGCAATCATGGATATGATGCCTCCGTTGAATGTATTTCAACTGGTAAAATGAACATTAAATCATATTTTATATGTAATTAATTTTTTTCAAGTGATGTGAAATAGTCTGAAAATTTCACATTTCATCGGTTATACACATAATATTACCAACACAATTTTCGACGATGTCGAGTGGCAAGGATATGTAGTGGCAGGTAGGGACATAACCGAGGTTAAGAATTATTTGTCAAATTCTTGGAGCGATATCAACAGATGCAGACTATACAACAGACGGGGATGGATCGTCGCCGCATAATTTGTAACTGTGTATAAATGCTTTTAGGACTATAGTCCAATTATTGCTATCACAGCAAAGTTGCGTTCGTTCATTCTATATTTTGCAAAAATTCATCTGCGATCAGAATAAATATTCATACATCAACGCTATTACGATTGCTTCACTGTGATCGGCTCGGAGATGACGATAATCGGCATTTCGCTATCAGTGTACGTTGATATATATATATACCTACACTGTCGAGTGTGGAACCACAGAGAAACATGGTAGGTGATTGAGCATTGTCAAAGCTCAAAGGGCTACATGTAATGGTGCTGACTGCCGAGCTCATAAGCACGTTCGGTATATGACGTGATGAAGCTGATTTACTTAGCGTTTATCGTTGATTTTCTGTCAATTCCCTGAACTACCTGAATGGTGCCCGAATTCATTTTGCTTCAAGTTTGTTGATTACCAATCTTGCAGCAGCTTTTGTCGCTCAATCCGGTCGCACCGAGAAACTCTTAATGTGGGGTTAATATGGCGAGCATCGATTAACATGTTCTTAGCAGTGGAAATGTTTGTAATAGCAATTCAGGAAAGATAGTACAATAAATTTTATAACAACGGAAATAGATAAACGGCCTCCGTGTGAAATGAACAAAATGACCGCGAAAAATATCCATGCGATATAATTATCAGCAGCAGCTACCTTACAATGACTATTTTCATAGAATAACAATTTTCTGACGAGAACAACGTGCTATCAAACTGGCGATACGTGGAAATTTGCGCATGCTGCAACGTATGTACTAATACTGTCCCCGTCTGAAATCAGTAAATTCCTATGAATATTATTTTGGTAAATTGTCTAGATGTGTCTCCGCCATTTCGATTGTGTACAACGTACATCGATGTTATTATTTGACACAAGTTTTGTTCTTTTATAGTTCGTATAGTAAGCGGCAATGGAATAAATGAAGGAAGTGTAGAAATATACCACGGAGGAATATGGGGAACAATATGCGATGATGGTTGGGATATTAAAGACGCGGAAGTTGTGTGTAGAATGATGGGATTTCCCGAAGCAAAGTCTGCTCCTGTTCGAGCTTATTATGGGAAAGGGATTGGTCAAATATGGCTGAGTAGCGTCTCTTGCTCAGGGGATGAACAAAGGTTGGAAAATTGCAATCACGGTTCTTGGGGATCACATCATTGCAGCCATGATGAAGATGCTTCCGTGCATTGTCTTCCTACAGGTCAGTAGGCGACTTAAGTATATAGAGAATAAAATGGATATCATCTATAATTTGTGTTCTCGATATCGAATGAAACTATAATTAAAATGAATCAATGTCGGTTGTCTAATGCGCTGATAAGCGGGAAAATAACTAATATATATTTGTAAAATGCTAATCGAGAACAACCTGATGATATTCGAGATTCGTAAAATTGAAATATTTTTTAATATTTATAAATACTTATTACAACTAGGTTTGGGATTTCACGACCAGTTTTTGAAATCTCGGTATCGGGATATCCCGGGATTTTTCGGGATTGAGTAAAAGATTGAAACAACTTGCATGACAATAAAATCACGTATTTATTTCATGTAATATCGGCGCAGAAATATTAAAGCATCTATCAGTAATTAGTAGTTTATTCTTCATCATACTAAAAATAGGCACAAACATACAAATTGCAATAAGTTATAAATAGGCCGTATTTCAGGGTGGAGGAGACTCGGGAAACCAGTACTGGTTATCGAGCACCGGCACCCATAAATTAAGTCTAAATACTATATTATGAAGAAGAAAAAGTCGAACTAAGTATAATTATATAAATTGAAAAAAATCTAGGGCAGTGGTTCCCAACCTTTTTTATATCGCCGCACACTATTTAGCTCTTTCAATTTTCGCGGCACACCTATCACAAAACACGAACATTATCCATTCATAAAGAGTGCGATAGTCGAACGCGAACAAATAGTTAATAGTTAGCGATATTCCAAAGTTTTCTTACATTAAAGTAAACGAGAGCATCTTCGGAGCACCTCACATTATTGAAAAAGTCGCGCGGCCTCACGGGTAATACGTGGTCTTCAAACGCACCGCCGATCCGGCGCTTCGGTTTTGCTCGCCCGTTCCACGTAACGCCCTCATTATAATCACACGTATTCTCACTTTTTCACAACCCAATTCAATTTTGTTACAATTCAATACGTTTCTCCCATTGCCAAAACCGTTCAATAGTGTGAGTGTCTGCTATTGCGAGGGAAATGAAAGAGGCAAAACAAACTGTATTTTATAACAACAATTACTTAATATCAGTGAATACACGAAATAGTTAAGTTTGGACGCTTGTGCAAATGATGTACAACTTAACACCCCATGTTAGTTTTTCCATTTCTTTTTATGCAGTTTCATTTATTCGATTTCTATTTATAGTTCGCTTAGCTGACGGTCAACTCAACAAAGGCCGCGTAGAAATATTTCACGCGGGTGCATGGGGAACAATATGTGATTTTAGTTGGGATATAGAAGATGCAAGAGTTGTTTGTAGGACGCTTAAGTTTCCAGGAGTTATATCTGCACTAAAAAACGCGTATTATGGAGAGGGCACGGGTCAAATTTGGTTAAACAATGTCAACTGTGATGGGAATGAAGATTCATTAGACCAATGTCTACATAATAGTTGGGGATCACATTCTTGTTCACATGGTGATGACGCGGCTGTAGAGTGTCTATCAACAGGTTTGTTGAATAATGTTATTATACAAATTACAAGTGATCGTATTATGAATACTATTTTAGTCTAAACTGTCATGTACTAATATGTAATATAGATTCATTTTTAAACATCGACGGTACCATGTTGTAAGATGTGTCCGTATAGACTTCTTCTGAGATCTTTGAAATCGAACATATTGAAAGCAGTGGTTCCCCAACCTTTTATTGCCCGCGGCCCCATTCCAGAAGTGTCTACCATCTATGGCTCCCCTGTTCATCATTCCAGTGGTATTTAGAGTGCTATTATGATTGATAAATTTTTAATCCCATTATGTTAGCACAATTCAAGCTCAAGTGAAAACACCCTGTGAAATATCCTTCTCAGACAATGAAATTAGGAAGATATATCCTTCTTGTCAAGGGATACGTAAAAAGAGTTCTGCGCCAAGCATTGCGGCTCCCCTCCAACACTGTGTTGACCCTTGATGGGCCACAGGGCCCCCGGTTTAGAAACGCTGATCAAAAGCATAACATACAGGCCTTATCCCGGAACGGACAGGATGAATTGCCAAAACCCAGAGTCATAATTGTTCTGACCAACATGTGTTTCTGGATGTATGTCCGCCCCTCAACATTGTTTACCATATTTTAAATAGTTACACGTTTCACCTTTTTTATAGTTCGTATAGTAGACGGAAATGTTATAAATGAAGGAAGGGTGGAAATATATCACGAAGGAATATGGGGAACAATTTGCGATGATTCCTGGGGTATTAACGATGCAAAAGTTGTCTGTATAATGCTAGGATTTCCTGGTGCAACGTCAGCTCCTGTGGAGGCCCACCATGGGATAGGGCTTGGTCAAGTATGGCTAAGTAGCGTCTCTTGCTCAGGGGGTGAAAAAAGATTGGAAGATTGTAATCACGGTTCCTGGGGGTCACATCATTGCACTCATGCTAAAGATGCCTCGGTACATTGTCTTCCTACAGGTCGGTAGGCGCACGTGAATAGATTATGCGATATTTCACGTTCAATTTTTGTAAGCGAGTGTCATACCATTGTTGTCTAATGTCCCGATGAGAGGGTGAACAATTTTTTGATCAATATTTTATCATTAACTTATACGTATTACAATGAAGATAATTTGTTGGATATTTAACACGTTTGTCCTCTCTCGGCACACTTAGCTAATATCTTGTCTATGGGGTTCTTGTGGGAAACGTCCTACGGGATAGCACACATGCACATTTTGAATAGTTACACGTTTCACCTTTTTTATAGTTCGTATAGTAGACGGTAATGATATAAATGAAGGAAGGGTGGAAATATATCACGAAGGAATATGGGGAACAATTTGCGATGATTCCTGGGGTATTAACGATGCAAAAGTTGTCTGTAGAATGCTAGGATTTCCTGGTGCAACGTCAGCTTCTGTGAAGGCTTACCATGGGGAAGGACTTGGTCAAATATGGCTGAGTAGCGTCTCTTGCTCAGGGGGTGAACAAAGATTGGAAGATTGTAATCACGGTTCCTGGGGGTCACATCATTGCACCCATGCTGAAGATGCCTCGGTACATTGTCTTCCTACAGGTCAGTAAGCGCACGTGATTAGATTATGCGATATTTCACGTTCAATTTTTGTAAGCGAGTAACACACCATTGTTGTCTAATGTCCCGATGAGCGGGTGAGTAATTTATTGATTGTGAAAGATCTAACAATTTTCTAATCAATATTTTATCATTAACTCATACCTATTACAATGAAGATAATTTGCCGGACACATGTTAACACGTTTGCCTTCCTTCGGAACACTTAGCTAATAGCTTGTCTACGGGATTCTTGTGGGAAACGTCCCGCGGGATAGCACACATGTGTATTCCCCATGAGACATGTGAACAAGTAGCCTTGTATAAAACTGGGACAATTTTATATAAGATCACGTTTTGTACGTCAACAAAAATGACATTATATCCTTGCCGGCGCGGTTTTAAAAAAGCTGATTAGGTAACGTATTAACCTATAACAATTTTTCTTGCGATCGGGTCAGGAAAAGATGTTTGTGGCTACACCATTCTCTATGTTCAGAAAAAGCACTGTGTGGACGAATTTCCGACGACCAGTCTACATAAACAAACCCCTTAATAATCAGCATCCATTTATAGTTAACATTTCTTTTACATATTGTTGGGAGCGTCTCAGGTTCGACCTTCTCTGGATGTCATTCGCAGTATTGACGTCGTAATTCTTTTCGTGTTTTTTTTTTTTCTGTGATTGTTCGTAGTATTCGATATTCGGTATTTATGGAATTGCAATGAGATGGGACTGCAATAAATTGGGTGGGACTCAAAAATATTTCCATAAAATACATGCTTAACGTGCTGTTCTGAGTCAAGGGTTGAAGTAAGCATATGAAATGAGATTCATTCTATGTTCTCGGTCAGAACAAATCTAATTCTCTAGCAAAATAGATCATTTGTATAAAGTGGTTTTGAAAAATCGGAAGAAGCGCGGGGCACAACATATTCGAAATACAAATTTTATAGATTCCTTTTTAGGCATTGTTACGAGTGTATTTTGATATTAAGTGTAAAAACAGAATTGATATAATTTCATTTAAATCTAAAGCCGTTCGAAGATCAACTTATTTTGTACCAAACTAAAGCCCACGCAAAAATAGGTAATTCGAACATATTTTGGACTCTAACAGAGGAAACCTCCATGGATACAACATAATCATGCGGCAAATTTTTCAAATTCGAATATTTTGTTACAAACCACTACTGAAACGTTGCAAATGAAAATATGCAAAAACATACATTTGTGTATTGAGGGCCAATCGAAGTCCTTTAATCCATATTGTGTGTATGTTTATTGAATTAATTTTTTTTTATCACAGTTCGGCTAGTCAACAGTGGCGTAGCTCACAAAGGAAGAGTCGAGATATTTCATGATGGTTTATGGGGAACTATATGTGGCTATTACTATTGGGACATAAATAATGCGAAGGTTGTTTGTAAAATGCTTGGCTTTCCTGACGTTCTATCAGCACCCACGTCATCATTTTACGGACCAGGTACTGGCAAGATTTGGCTTTATGCTGTCCAGTGCACTGGATATGAAGCCACTTTAGAAGACTGCTACAACAATGGTTGGGGAGACGTTAGTTCATGCAATCATGGATATGATGCATCCGTTGAATGTATTTCAACTGGTAAGATTAATAATAAATCTCATTTCATATGTAATTAATTTTTTTTCAAGTGATGTGAAATGTTCTGCAGATTGAGTTCACATTTCATCGGTTATACACATAATATTACCAACACGATTTTGACGATGTCGAGTGGCAAGGATATGAGGTGGCAGGTAGGACATAACCGAGGTTGAGAATTATTTGTCAAATTCTTGGAGCAATATCAACAGATGCAGACTATACAACAGACGGGGATGATGCGACGCCGCATTGTTTGTAACTGTGTACAAATGCTTTCAGGACTATAGTCCAATTATTGCTATCAAAGCAAAGCTGCGTTCGTTCATTCTATATTTTGCAAAAATTCATCTGCGATCAGAATGAATATTCATACATCAACGCTATTACGATTGCTTCACTGTGATCGGCTCGGAGATGACGATAATCGGCATTTCGCTATCATTTTACGTTGATATATATACCTACACTGACGAGTGTGGAACCACAGAGAAACATGGAAGGTGATTGAGCATTGTCAAAGCTCAAAGAGCTGCATGTAATGGTGCTGACTGCCGAGCTCACGAGCACGGCCGGTATATGACGTGATTAAGCTGATTTACTTAGCGTTTATCGTTGATTTTCTGTCATTTCCCAAACTACCTGAACGGTGCCCGAATTCATTTCGCTTCAAGTTTGTTGATTACCAATCTTGCAGCAGCTTTTGTCGCTCTATCCGGTCGCACCGAGAAACTCTTCAATGTGGGGTTAATATGGCGAGAATCGATTAACATGTTCTTAGCAGTGGAATTGCCATTTAGGAAAGGTAGCACAATAAAATTTATAACAACGGAAATAGATAAACGGCCTCTGTGTGAAATGAACAAGATGACAGCAAACGCTACGTGGAAATTAGCGCATGCTGCAACATATGTACTAGTACTGTCCCCGTCTGAAATCAGTAAATTCCTCTGAATAATATTTTGGTAAATTATCTAGATGTGTCTCCGCCGGTGACCGTACATTTGAACCCATGCGTATATCCACGGGTTTAATCTATATGCGGGTGCTAAAACCCATGGGTTAGGGTTAGTATGGGTTTAACTATCCGTGAAACAAAAAAAATTCCATAGGTGCAATAGCATACAGGTGCAATTGTCATGGGTTCAAATGTACGTGGGTTCAAATGTAATGGAACCGTCTCCGCCATTTCGATTGTGTACAACGTACATCGATGTTATTATTTGACTCAAGTTTTGTTCTTTTATAGTTCGTATAGTAAGCGGCAATGGAATAAATGAAGGAAGAGTAGAAATATATCACGAAAAAGTATGGGGTACAATATGCGATGATTCTTGGGATATAAAAGACGCCGAAGTTGTTTGTAGAATGATGGGATTTCCGGAAGCAAAGTCTGCTCCTGTTCGAGCTTATTATGGGAAAGGGGTTGGTCAAATATGGCTGAGTAGCGTCTCTTGCACAGGGGATGAACAAAGGTTGGAAGATTGCAATCACGGTTCTTGGGGATCACATCATTGTAGCCATGAGGAAGATGCCTCCGTGCATTGTCTTCTAACAGGTCAGTAGGCGGCTTATGTATAGAGAATAAATTGAATGTCCCGTATAATTTGTGTTCTCGATATCGAATGAAAATAGAATTAAAATGAATCAATGTCGGTTGTCAAATGCGCTGATTAGCGGAAAAATACCTAATATATATTTGTAAAATGCTAATCTATAACAACTTGATGATATTCCAAATTCGTAAATTTGAAATATTTTTTAATATTTATAAATACTTATTATTTTCGCAGCACACCTATCACAAAACACGAACATTATCTATTCATAAAGAGTGCGATAGTCGAACGCGAACAAATAGTTAATAGTTACCGATATTCCAAAGTTTTCTTACATTAAAGTGAACAAGAGCGTCTTCGGAGCATCTCACATTATTGAAAAAGTCTTGTGGCGCACCGGTAATACGTGGTCTTCAAACGCACCGCCGATCACGCGCTTTGGTTTTGTTCGCTTGTTCCACGTTACGCCCTTATCATTATCACACGTATTCTCACTTTTTCACAACCAAATTCAATTTTGTTACAATTTAATACGTTTCTCCCACACGCCAAAATCATCCAATAGTGTGATTGTCGGATATTGCGAGAGAAATGAAAGAGGCAAAACAAACTGTATTTTATAACAACAATCAATTATTATCGCTAAAAACACGAAATAGGTTTGAAGTTGGTATTAACAATTTTTACCGCTGGATGTATCTTTTTACGTTATGAATTTCGTGCAAGGCCCGAGCATAAATTGATGTCAAAGATCATTTACTATGTCGAAACGCTTATTCGACTTTTCAAACCGCAGAAACTATCCGGAAAAGATAACTGTTTTTGTGTTCAAGATATGAAATATTCGTCAATTCCACCACGATTTCGCGAATTAGTGCAATTTACTAAAATTAATGAAGGTTTTATTAGGTTTCATTGCATCAGTGTTTGGACTACCACGCGTTTCGCGGGATTACTGGCATAATAACATATAGCAAGGGTGGGGAAAATACCGTAGTTTCCGGCGAATAAGTCTACCCGGTAAATAAGACGAGGCCCGTTTTTAAGCCTGAAAAAATGGGTTTTTTCATATAACTTCAAATTACCAAGCAATGCTTTTTTAGAGGTTGCAGCGTTTGTGCATTGGTTAAAATAGCCTTTAATGACATTTTCTTGTAGCGAAATAATTAATCCATAATAACTATGGGAATTCAAACTGTCTTTAAATTTGAATCTAATTGTGTTCAACTCGCGATTGCGTCCACCATAAAAAAACATTACCTAATACATAATGAGGCGACACCAAAGAAATGAAAATTATCATACTCGACTAATAAGACGACACCCCCTCCCCCAAAAAAATTTCAGGCCAAAAATTTGGGTCTAGAACAGTGCTCCGCAACCGGTGTGCCGCGGCGCACCGGTGTGCCGCGAGAAGATGCCAGGTGTGTCGCACAGGAATTGCAACTTTTCTCTTCTTTTTACAATTTTTTCTTTATCTTTTGTTAATTTTGCGTTAGTCTACCACACTACTCTACTAACGTAAAGGTAACCTGCTGCAAACCTTCCTGACACTGTGCATTTGTGACGTAATAAGGAAAGGTATAGGCCTATATGTCAAAAAAATTTCTTTGAAGTAAGAAATGACAGAACGCTAAGACTGAAATTCAGCAAAATTCCACTTGATGTGTTTTGGATTTCAATAAAAGAAGAATATAAGCACATTTTCAATGCAGCTATTGAAATATTGCTCCAGTTTTGCAGAACTTATATGTGCAAACAAAGCTTTTCCTCTTTATTTCCTGTATAAAAGATGTTGACGGCGAACTTCGAGTTGCTCTTTCACGTATTGTGCTCATTAAAACAACCACAAATCTCTCATTGAAATATAAACATAAAACAAAGGTACACTTTGTTTTTTTTCGTTTGTTGTGGTGTGCCGTCGAATTTGGCAAGATTTATAAGTGTGCCGCAAGTTTAAAAAGGTTGCAGAGCACTGGTCTAGAAAAGCCATTTTTCAGGCTTAAAACGGCTTCGTCTTATTTACCGGGTAGACTTATTCGCCGGAAAATACGATAGTATATTTTCTTCGAATCAAATAATTTTAACGAATTATCGAATATCGGGTTAAACTCGGGATTTTATTCCGATTTTTATCTTTTGGGTCGGCTTTGATCTTTTCTGTCATCGTTTGTAAATTTACTGTCCCAATTTCAAGCTAAAAATATTATCATTTCTGACGCCGTCATGCGGATATTTATGAAGACTATAGTTGACCTTCTTGATTTTACTTTTCTATTGTGGCTGTTTTATTTTCGTATTCAACAGTGAATGAAAACATGCAAAGTCATTGCGTGAAGCCGTGAATCCTGGATGCTATTTTGAGTTTGAATTATGCTTAAATATGTCGGCAACAATGACAATTCTACTAGTCAAATATTAATTCCTTGGTAAAATTTGAGAAAAATTTTGCACAATAATTCCACTTAGTCTGACTTACTCAAACTGTAAGCGTGGATGGTTTTTTTCTCAAAATAAGTATTAAATAAAATGGTATAACCCAGGGCTACTCAACTATTTTCACCGAAGTTCCGCATACAAAACTTCAAAAATATTTGAGTCCGGTCTTTCCAGAAATTATATTTCGGCATCCTTGAAACACGCACTTTCTCGGCCGACTAATGATTATTAGCTAATCAAGATTGTTTATTATGGCGTTATAGTCATTTTCATATACATTTAAATCTATAAAAGTGATTTTATAAAAAGAAACTTCAAAAGTGAGGCTAATGATCCAAAAAAAGAATTAGGCGCAGTCCGAATCGAATACCCGAATAGTCCGGATTCGGACCGCGGTCCGCCAGTTTAGTAGGCCTGGTATAACCTACTATTTGTGAGAATAATTATATGTGGATAACGAAGCCTTAAAATCCCGGGATTTTTAGGAAATAATTGCGGGATCGGGATTGGAAAAAAAAGGTCCAAATCCTGGGATTTCCCGGGGTCCCAACCCTATTTACAACTAATGCCTTTTTATATTAGCGATCCTAGTTAGGACCCGATTGATACTTCCTTTTAAACCGATACAGATAGTTTTCTGTAAAACTAGGCCGATACCGATGTTTCTTCATATAAAAAAGATGGCTACGGGTAACACTCTGGGAATTCAGTGTTTTTCTTGTAAAAAATGTAATCTATAACAAAATATCCTCATGCAATGATGACAAAAAATTGCATATAAAGTACAATTACAGCTTTCTTTGTGCATCAATGAGTTATATTAAGATTTTCAACCCCTTCTATTAGAAAATAACAGTGTAAAGTCACAGTGCTGAAGAAAATTGTGTGCGTGGTAAGAAAGAACACTTATTGCGAGGGCTTATGAATCTCAATAGCTCCAGTTCAACAGTCCTAAGTTGCAGTTGAGAAAGCAGAATTTTTCTGAATTGGCGCTAACTATACTTGCTTTTGTGTTTGCATTGATATGGCTCCACACATTACTGGTGTTTTTCTATTTTAAATCAGCGGAACCTTGACTTAAAGGTGGTTTATCACGCGAGCATTTTTGTGGAAAATTTGAATCTTTATAATTTTTTAGGATTTTTGACGTTTACCGCTTGCATATAGTGGGCTTAGTTTCTACTCACGAATTTTCAAAAACTGCTTCAGCAAAAATCTACTGCAGTTCGGAAATAACCTTTGATGACGTAGTATTGAGAACTCATTCCAGAATGTGCCTTTATCGCCCATTGGCGAGTGAGGTGTTTAACTCCTGCTTTGAGCGTTTAAACCTAGTTTTTCATAGCGTAGTTTAATAAAGATTGAAACAATAATGTATGGTTAAACACAAATGTTAATGCATGAGAAGTTCTGACTGTAAGCCACGGCGTTTTATGCAATGATCGTACCGCTACTGAACGTCCGCCGAAAGGCTTTGAAGAACTGATTCTAGAGTAAGTATTTACCACTATTGTATGAACCCAATAAAAATTGGTACATTTACCAAACGAGTGATAGTTTACCAGGTAAACGTAGAATCCCAATAATGGTTTAATTTTTTTTTATTCATTCCACATTATTATTCAACTAAACACTGTTGTATGTTGAACATTACTAAACTGTCTAGTGATATTATCTTGATATTTTTTTATGTCAGTTCTATCAATTTAATTCGTATGAAGGACTTGCACGGATCACGTGACTTTGTTTACGCCGCCATTTTGGACGGCAAAAAAATTAATACGCCCAGACCAGACCAGGCCACTCGCTCCTATTACTAACGAGTCGCATTATTCGTTTCCGCTTTGCTGGGCTGTTAAAAAGGGTTATTTCGTATTGTGCCGTTGGCTGTACGTATAGACAACGAAATGAATCTTCACTTATATTCGATTGTTTTCAAAAGACCAGGAACGTCGCACAAGGTGGCTATCATCTATTGGGAGGACTGGTTGGTGTCCCAGCCATCTCGCTGGTGTTTGTGGACAGCACTTCGTAGGTGGTGGGTGATGATGTGTCGTTATTGATTTTTTTTAAGTATTCATAAGCTTTGTCATTTTGAATCACAGATATAAAACCCGGAAACTTTTGGATCCTTGGAATTGAATTGGGAATTATGCTGATCTTGTTGTTAATTCCCATGTGCATGTATAGAGGTTCATTACGTGAGTAATAACTATAAATACCAGCCTAATATAAATGTGTTTGATGTCATTGTAAACATAGGTATATCTTTACAAAAATTACTAAATACGGTAATGACAGGTCTTCTTCCACAAACAATTTAGGTTAGAACCATTGGCATGTCTCGGGTATGGCTGCCATTGCTAGTGCAGTTGGCACCGTTTGAACAGGGGCCTAGAAGATGAAAAATCTCAATCGTAAAATGTTTCAATAAAATAATTTAAGAAAACGGAATGATTGAAACTTGTTTTTTTACTTAATAATACCGTATAAGTATCTAATTTCAACAAAAGTCGTTATAAATTGTTAGTCATCGGCCAAGGGGCGCATTTTCAAACTTAGCCATGGGCGCAATTTTACGTAGATACGCTACTGGTTAGAATTGAGTTCTTATGATATGTATTCCAAATAAGTTCATAACTTACCCACTACATCAGCTCCGTCCATTTCATTTGCGCAAGTTGTGTCGTTTTTGCTATTTTCAATGTGTATGTTGCTATTACTGCAATAGTATAGCCCATACTATTTGATTAATAATTGTGCACTGTCAGATACTTTACCAATCATCTTTTTCAGAGAAATTGCTCAAGGATATTGTTGAAACTACTCGTGATGGTACGTAAGATTTTCTTTTGTTTCAGTATGCAAATTTAGTAAAAAATCTGGCAAATGTAGGTGTCAAAATGAACGTTCTGCGTTATTAAATGTCATTTAACGTTTATACAACATGTGGTACAGTATCTTTTTTGCTGCCTTGCGAGTGGAATTATGAAATTCTCTTCCAAAACTGTATTCAAACTTACACGGCAGATGTTATTACATTTGTTTTTATACTTTCAGGTTTGATATTTTTGCCTATGCTACCATACAGAACTTATAAAGCTTGCTGTAAAAGTAAGATTCATTGAATTATTGATATTTCATTAACTTGTCAGTGCTAGAATTTAGCTTTTATTTCTATCATCCTCAATACAGCCTACTGTATAGTCCTTTAATTCACTACCAGCAATGTCAAGGTATCTATGTTCATTATTCCCAATGTTTATGCGGCAGATCCACAATATCGTCTTTAGTAACAAACAATGTGTTGTGGAGTTTCCTTTCTTAACTAAAGTAACTGCTTCACAGATTCTATAGTTACCTTATACGATTTAACAGAAGACGATAATCGAGTCACTTCGATTCCTGCGCAACCACGACAGCTGACACGTGCATCCACGGCATCAGAAATAAACATTGACCATGTGTATTGTGAGTATGAAGTTAGAAATGACCCTTCAATAAAATATCGAGTAGTGATACCAGGGGAGTAGCCAGAAATTTTTAAATGGGTGTTCTGAAATTTTTAATTGCCAAGTTGGACCGCCCCTGACTGATTCTTTGATTTTTCTTCGTAAAAATACCAATGTAAAGCGATCAATTTCTTCTGAATTTAAATTTTGAAATTTATCCCGATCCCTTTTCTTCTATACGCCAACCAAGTTGAATGTAATATTTGTTACAATCTTACTTTTCAGAAATTTTACTTTCATATATAAATAAATCATGAATTGTTTAATTGTCTGTTTTTATTGAATCTGATCTCAAATATTTTTGTAATTCAGATATCCAACCAAGTCGAGAACCGGTAGCATCCTCAGCTCCACCTGTAACAAACAATACTCAGGGTATGGAATAATAAATATTTCAATCGAAGTATTTTCAATTCTACATGCATTCTGTATAGTTGTTGCATTTTTGCTTTTCAGAAATTTCAGAAGACAGACTTTGTGTTATCTGTCTATCAGAAGAAAAGAATGTTTTCTTTGGGCCTTGTGGTCACGTGTGTTGTTGTAATGACTGCGGAATGAGGAGTGATGTAACAGATTGTCCGGTTTGCAGAAACAGAATTGAACAACGACAAAGAACATTTTTATAAAAGCAGAGTACAAAAACACAGAGACATTTTACTTAACATCATAACAGAAATTCTATGCCTTGTGTTATGTTATTATATATTATTTTTGAGCAAAATCGCTAATAATGTGCATACAAAGTTTACGGTTACGGTTTCATAACTTTTCGTATATTACTACCAAGGCAATGAATTATGTTGCGATATTCTTTTTAGCTAAAAAAAAATATCTAACGTTTGAAATACCTAAAGTATTTGTTCGGATATAATAATACAGGCACAATAACAGCGTATTTATGTTATGAACGTCTATGGTTACAGGCACGAGCAAGATTTTCGTCCATAATCCAATGATCAATCAACATACAATTTGTTCATAATTTAGTAGAACTTTTTATTCGGACCATGATCGCGCGCTATCAGCCTTACGATTCAGTTGCCAATTGCACCCTACAGTAAATAGAATTGGCATTTGTTATCATTCTGGATACTGACCGTGTAAATCAGTTTCATCAGTTCGCGAACGATTCCAAACGAACGGATTGGTAACGTCATATACAAATACAGCCAACCCATTTACAAACAGCGCCAATGCAATATGCATATACAGCCAATTTTATATACACTAACATGCATTCATTCTAGTAATGTACAGACATCGATACCGATCCAATACCAACAAAAAACGCTAATACTGATAAGCCAATATTTCAAGTTACCGATATTCCGATATAATTTGTAAGTATCATCAACGTAGTTACAATGTTCTTAAGTGTCAAATTGAAGAGATTGATATTTGTGATTTAGATGCATGCATGACGTGTCCTTGGACTGACCACCTACTGATGGTTTAATGAAATACTTAAATTATTTTCTCGGATATTGCCTTCTAACTCTGTTCGCATGCAAAGATGCGTCACTTCTGCCAAATAATAATGGAAAGTTCTGCAATCATTTTGTTTTGCACAGATGCTGCCAATAGCGCTGTCGAATGTGATATTTGATTGATATTTTTCTTCGTAATTACCGCCTTTCATTCTAAAGATGACAACGCATTTGCTTTTGCACCTATAAAGACCTACTCGAATCCTCAAACACGCTTGGTTTTGAAACATATACTGTAGTGAAATTCAACGAGAGTTGTAAAAACTAAACTGAAGTAAATAAAATATGAGTTTTGTGAAACCAAATAATTCAAACAAATGCAGAGACTAAATAATTTAAAAAAATAACCCTAGGTAATTACATTTTAACTTTCATCTTCAAACTTACCAGTCATACTGGAGCCAGAACAATCAATATGAAAGCAGAAGCAAACAAGTTTAGCATTTTTTGTTCTCATTTCACGAGGACTACGATTGTGATAATATTTATTGTACTGCTAAAGGTTTTTTTGTTATGAAACATTGCATATGAATAGTTGGCCTATATTCATCTTTTCAATGAGAACCTATTTCCACTACTTCAAATAATGCGAAGAATTCCGAAAGTGCATTGCTTTTTTAGCATTGAAATGCAATGTTGAACTTTTTATTCGTTTTACCGTTGAATCAGTATGGTACATTTTGAGTAGTTGCATTATTATTATAACACGTAAATTAACAAAATAGAGTAATTCCTAACTTGGTTTACAAAAACACTATTCAAAGAGTTGAATGCTCGAATTGTGACTTAATTATGCTCATTGATTGTTTTACACATGTTTTAAATTGCAGTATTCATCAAATACAATTAGTAAAAATATTAGATAAAATAAAGAAATGAAATAATGTGATATTTCGAAATGATAATTAAGATAAACATTTCCCATTTCACACATATTGAATATAAAACTTAGAACTTAAAATCCGTATCTTCAGTCCTTTATAGCCTTATTACATTATAGGATGATTGACCAGTGCGAAAGAATAAGGGAAGAAAAAGTTCAAAGAAAATTATAATTATGAACAATTTTGCCCTTGTGCTTCAGACAAAAAGTTGTGCTGAAATATATGTACTTCACATAACACAATTAAATTAATGAACACTTACACTAGGATTCGGTAACGTACAGCGCATGGAGCAAAATAATCTATATAAGTTATTTAGCCCGCTTAGTTTAATTAATTTCAGAAGAATGAAATTGTTTTGTTGAACTACTTCCATGTGAAACTTTGGAATCTTGTTTTTATTTTTGCCCATCTACGCAATTCCAGACTACTACACCACAATTTTGGTTTCGAAATATGTGACCTAACTTTTTTTTATCCTTCGGCTTCAATGTTCTATTAATCTATTATATGTCAATGTTCTATTATCTACGCATATGTAACATAATACAGTTTAATCCCCACATAAAATTTCGAATGAAGTAAAAAAAAAGAAAAAATTGGCTGTTGTTATTTTATGACATGAAGAAGTTTTATTACTTGATATATTCCAAAACTGAACGAAGTAGTGAATTGAACACAAAAAATGAGTGACGGTGCTGTGTTGCAAGTTAATCGCAATGAAATTATCATTTTATTACTGAATCGTTTTAATGCTGTATTTCCTGAACAAATAAAGATATGTTATTCGCGAACAGGTTTTAAAAATACTTACTTCGTCGTTATAAGTAGTAAGTAGCCATGATTGTATATGCGTTGATAACAAACATTAGTCCCTGGACAAAACATCCAGGTGCATCTGACAAATATTGTTTGGTTCAACCGCTGTCAGTGATTGTAATCACTAATCAATAAAAAATAAGTGTTCATTCCAGATGACATATATATTTTTGTACTCTTCCCTGTATTCTCCTCGTTACTCCGATATTTTTAATAATCATGCTTGATACATAGATATTATCCTTGTTGAAATATGGGAAACCCGCGGCGTTGATCTTGAATAATCTTTTAATCTGTGTAAATTAGAAACGGAATTTTTTTGAAATGTGACAAATGCAGTTTTCCTCGTGTTTATATTTTTCAACCCTGTCTCGCATGAGTTCATTTTAATGTATGAGTCGTCGAATACGGTAGAAAGAAGCAAGATTGAAGAACGTCCGTCTTATTATTAATCACGTGTGTGAGTTTGGATCTAATGTCATCCATGTAGTATCTCGAGGGAGAGGAAAGACGATAAGACAGCTTTTAATCATCCAACATTCATTTATATATATAGTGTAAATTTAGAACAGGGTGATTTTGATTAAATTGAAGTAATATTTTATAATGTTGTATTAACAATATAACAACCAACAGCTGACCTTTATAAAAGGCCAGAGACAAAAAGCCAGTGAAATTCATAAAAGTGTGAGAACAAACATAATAGCAACTACAGATTCAGCAATAATTTTCGTTTACTTCTATGAGCCAATCTAAAATTCAGTCTTGTCCTTGAAATTCCATGTGAAAAATACATTATGAGTTATATATATTACTCGATTTGAAATCCATTTTAATTATTCATTTAGGTTAATGAAACTTTAGTTCAAAAAAAAAATATTCAGTTTCCTAATTAGGAGAGGTATCTGAAAACTAGTGACAATATGTATGGGATAATACTAGACAGCATGACTGACTGTATCAAACAGTTGTATGGCGAAGAAGTTTGGAAAAGCGTCGTTGGATCGACTGATATATCAAACACAGTATTTGTAACTCATAAGGTAAGAATGATTTGAAACAAAATATTTAATATTTATTTTGAAATATACGTTTATTTCATTATTTTTTTTTTTAGATTTATGATGAACAGCTGATTCCCATGATAGCAAATGCAGTAGTTGAAATAACGGGAAATGATATTTGCACGATCATGGAACAGGCGGGAAGACATTTCATTGATTATATTGATGATATTAGGTAATAATTGTCATAGGTTTGTTATTTTTAGAAAAAAGTGATATTGGTGTATCGATGGTGTGATCCTTGACCCATTGTATCAACATGGACGCCATGCTGTTGTTGCTGGTCCTGTGATTTTGAGAATAATAAGTACTCCTGTGCTATCTCAGTCATCGTGAAGTTTATAGGTAGGCAAATATACTAAATGAATTTTATTTTAACATTTTAGGAATGACAGGATTGCAAAGGTTCTTGGAAGAACGTTCAAAGATTTTTTGAATGGATTGGATTGCATGCATGAGTACTACAGACTGACATTCCCAGAATTGCAGCCACCCAGGTAATTTCAATTTATGAAAAATCGGCAAGTGGAAATAAAATATTACGTAATATTTTAAAGTACGAGTTGCCAAAATTATAGGGTTCAAAGATCGAATCTGTTTACATATTGAATAATTAGGCTAATGAACAAAAAACGTAAAATAAAACTAATATATATTTAGAGGTGATTTACACAAATTCATTTTGCAATGCGCGGATTGGTTGGCATCGCTCATATATATATATATATATATATATTGTTTAACTGAGTTGTAAAGAGAAATTGGAAAACTATGACGATGATCTTCATCCATTCTGTTATTATTGAATTGCTTACATTCAATCATGTCTTTACACATGGAGATCATAAAGCCATGAGAACTTTGATGTGCTTCGTGCAACTAATAGTGGTAATATGAAGTATTAAATAAAGTAAAAAATTAAAATAAACACTGAACCAAATAAAACAAACTTGGTTTAAAGATATTTCGAGAACTGATTTCATAACAAAATTTTTACAAAAGACTTTTATGAACACTTTGTAAAATGTTTTTGCATTTATATTCTTAATTCGTGATTACTAGCTTCATCGTTGAACGTGAGGATGAAAATGGTCTAGAACTTCACTACCGATCTAGAAGAACTTTCACTGGCTTTATGCACTACGTAAAAGGAATACTCCTAGAAATTGCAAAAAATTTCTTCTCGATGGAAGTTAAAGTCGAAATCACACAGCAAGGTTTCAGTGGCGATGTATTATGCGCTGTTTACAGGTGAAATATAAAATAGGTTATTAACAAGTGTGCGTTTTGTTATCATGTTGTTTTTGTTGGTATAATCTTTTTATTGTTGTTAAAATAATCACTTATCTTAGTAACTACTGAAATAATTGCTTTAAAATTGTCAGCGATTAAAGATTGTATTTTTTGCTATGAAGCTATTTTATTTATTATAAAAATTTATGCGAGCTCCATGGAATTCGTTTTTTGTGTTTCATGATTTCATAAAAACTTGCTCATCTAGCGGCGCTTTCGTGTCCATATATTTGAGCATTGCTTTCTTGAATATTCAAATGAAAGTGATACTATAAAATTTAATTCTCAGAATGCGAAGTTTGAAATGCATTGTTTCAGTAATAATAATCACTAGTAATTTAAATGAATAATCGCGTTGGGTCCGGTGAAATAGTGGTTACAGCGTCGCGATAACTAAGTTTGTTATATAGTTTATTAAAGCCATTTCATTTTATTTACTCAACAAATTATGTTTGAAACCATTGATCAACTGATAGCCTGCAATAAAGTATTGCAATCAACAATAAGTCCAATCCTTCCTGAATTCGTATTTAATATACTCAGTCTTCTTCTGTAGTTTAGCAATCAGTTGCATATCATGCTGTCGATATGATATTTCAAAATAAATAATGCATTTATTCTACAGACTCGACTTTCGAAATGAAGAATACATTTCCAGACAGGAGAAAATCCAGAGAAAACGAAAATTACGGAAAGAAAACAGTCTCAACTTTCCGTCTCATGTCGTATTCGAACTGTTTCCTTACCATATTGTCTTTGATGAAAGGTAATTTCGAGGTTATTTTTATGATGCGCAAAGAAATGGATAAATTTGAGCTCGGAATTGTTATCGGAAGTAAAATATTGAACAGTTTATCTGATTAAATAAGATAAATTTCATATATTTTTATTATGAAGAAGAGGAAAACCAACAACACCTTTTTCTACTTTGTTATCTACCTTGATACTCACTAAAATGTATATCACATTTTAGACTGACCATCCAGAGTACTGGTCATGGATTGGACGAGCTTTACTCTGGATTGCAGGGGAAAAGAATAAATGAAACTTTTTTCATGACTCGACCCTTGGGTTATGATTTGACATGGGAAAACGTAAGATGATTTTTCACAAATTTGTTAATATATATATATATATTTACTATTTCCCCGCAAATTATTTATCATGATATTGATTTTTCGGCAAATATTATAACATTTTCCACATTTCTAGGTTATCATTCATGGAAACAATGTATTTGAACTGACTTCGGTCAAAGCAGCTGGAAGGCGTCGGAAAACCGATAACTGTAAGTAAAAATGATATTTTTTGGTCAGATACTTAAATACTTTATAATACCATTTTTATGTGTTTAGCATCTGGTTTTCGCCATCAAATGGCTACAAATCATTTCATCAAACTACGCGGACAGATGCTGTATGTTGAGGAATGGAACTTTGTCATTTTCCTGTCTACCCTCATGTGAGTATAAAACATATATTAAAAATTTAATACGATCAAATTGCAATTATTTCATTGTCAAGTCTTCTACCATTTTGAGTTTAAAACAAAGTTTGTGCACGGCAACGTTTCACATACTATCAGCAAGATTTGCAGGAGTAGTTACATACAAATATAAAGAGATGATAATGAACAACAGACGTTCGAACCGGCCTGAGAAATAGACCTCATTATGGCGAAATACCAGATTTTCTGTTACAATATTAAAATTTTAAAGGTTGGATGGTCTGAATACGCTGTACGAAATGGGGATCTATGTGAACGACTTGACATTCCACGATTTGAGTAGAGACTTGGTATTGCATGGACCTCAACAAACAACTGAATACAAGTTGGCATTGGACCTGGAACAAGTATATACTATTTATAAATAGTTTTAACATGATAAATATAATTTTTATTTTATTATTACTAGAAATTTCGTAATTAATATGATGTAGTTGCCATAGCGAGATAGCTGAGACATGGCTTAAACTCTATCAACGTTTTTCAGGGAAAGAAAACGAGATTAGAGGAGATGATTGAAACGTTGGGAACCGAAAGACGAAGAACAGATGACCTTCTATATAGCATGATACCAAAAAAGATTGCAACCAGTCTACGACATGGAAATACGACTGTTAGTTTATGCGAGGTAAGTTTACACATACATCACCATTACGAGGATTTCAAAATGAGAGTCCTATTTGTAAAAAAAATCATTCAATTCCTTTACTTAAAAGTCTTGCCCCACTCTCAAACTAGATTCATTTAGTTATCACAAACTAACCTGTGTACATATTTATTTTGCAGAAATATGACGACGTTACTGTTCTTTTCAGCGACATTGTTAACTTTGCCTGCATATCAAAGCATATCGCACCTCACGAGATTATGATTATACTCAACATGATGGTAAGTCGAGCACACGTGATTTGAACAAGATAGACTTCATATAAATGTCGTCGGCTTAATTTGAGTAAACGCTACATAAGAATTTTTGTTCACTAAAACGTCCAGTGTGTACAGCCAGGTAGACGACAACATTATAAAATCTATTCTATCCAATTAAAGAGTCTCTGTAACGTTTCGTCCGACCAAAGTCGAACTTCCTCAGACAAGCAGTTTACAACAATTATAAAAGCTGTTCGGTAAACCAGATACTTTGCTTTTCCTGCAATATTCCTACCGTGTTTCCCCGAAAATAAGACACTGTCTTTTTTCAATCTTCTCTCAGAAAATAACACTAGGGCTTATTTTGGGGGGATGTCTTTTATTTTTATTTATTAAAAACAAAATTACAAAGTGGAGAATTACGAGATTTTCAAATATACAAATTACGAAAACCGATATTCAATTACTTATAAATAACACGTTTTTATTTGAAATAACTGCCAATCATAGATTATTAATCATTTTAAACGAGCAGTAAAGATTTCTTGCTATCGACTAGGTCTTATTTTAAGGGGTCTTATATTAAAATCATTTTTAAAATTCAGGCTATGTCTCATTGTCGGGATAGATCTTATTTTCCGGGAAACACGGTGGCACCGACCTACTCAGGTCCATTGACATTGGTTATATCGCAGTCTCAACAAAATTCGGTCTTATAAGTACTTTATTTCGACATATCGCTCACCATAACATTAAGCACCGGTATTGATGCTAGTGACAGACTCTCCACTAAATAATCATTTGCCTGATTCTCATCACATAGAAGCGGGTTGTGCAGCCTTTACTTCAGGAGGGCCAGATACAAATAACTGGGTGAAACCACGGGCCGTATCGAATTTAAAATAGGCCTAGTAGTTGCAGACACCAAGTAGTTGCAGACACAAATATTATGGGTATTGATCTTATGTTCGCTTCGCACAAGCTAGCTGTTAGGGCATTGTAATGTCTTGGGCATAGATAATAAATTGGATGCAATGCAAAAGGATTTGGATTACTCGCATTTACCAGATTAAACTGAATTCAATCGCGGGACGCACACCATTCAAAATTGGCACTTCTTCGCGCGTCACACAATTTTGTTCCTTTATGTGTCAGTGTTTGCGACATTTGCCTAATTCAAGTATTACTGCTTTTACACAATAATATTTAACAACTTGCCGGTTAAAATCATGAATGCTAACGTACTCTTAGATTATTCAAATTAGATGGACGAATGCAATACCTATAAAAGTCGATGCATTTTTTCGATATCGTACTAATTTTTCAACAATGCAGTTGATTTGGCACTTCCACACTATCCTAATTAAAGCCAATTATGTGTTGTTTTCTAAGGTCAGCGTCTTTGACATCTTATGTGACAAGTTTGATATATACAAAGTGGAAACTATTGCCGATGGATTCATGGCAGTATCTGGTGCCCCCACCTACAATAAATACCACGCTCGTAATATGGCTGACATGGCGTTTGAGATGCTGAAAGGAATAAAAACTGTCAAAGATCCAAACACTCGTGATCCTATTGAAATACGTATAGGTAAACAACCATTTTAGAAGTCTATTTCAGATTTTGTTTAATATATATATATATATATATATATATATATACAAAGATCGGACAATTGTAATATGTTTCAGGACTTCACTGTGGTGATGTAATTGCGGGACTTGTTGGACACAAAATTCCACGATATTGCTTGTTTGGAAATACAGTCAACATAGCATCTAAAATGGAAGCTACGGGAGAGGTATTTTGACTAAAGTTTATTTGCTACCAATTAATACGTACGCATGCGTTTATAATGCCACTGAAAATATATTCAAGTTCAATTTTGCTGGGAAAATACTAACTACAATTAATATAGTAATTTAAACTTTGAAAATTGGTATATTTATAACCACTATACTGAAACGGAGGTCATAGGCAACAACGAACTCTAATATTCTAACTTCACACCTCCGCTTTTAATTGTGACTGGGCGATAAAGTAACTTATGTGTAACCATCAAAGACAGGAGAAAAGGCTTATTATCGATTTAGCGAACTTTACACAATTCATTATACCCAAAGTAGTATGGTACTTGAGATCTTTTACCAGCAGTTCAATATAGTTAAGCCAGACCCAACAACTACTAGAAAGTTGAAATGAAAATTGACCTGGGAAAATTGATTTTATTACCACCTGGGCGACGTTCAGTAATGATTAAATAGTTAGAATAAATATATAAAATATTTTATAATAGGGAATGAGAATACAAATAAGCCAGACTTGCAAAGATAACTTGGATCAATATGGCGGAATATATATTGTCGAAGACAAAGGTTATGTTGATATCAAGGGATGTGGTGACATTATGACATACTGGCTTAATGGTAAGTGAAATAATAAAACAAAAATATTCACAAATAAGTTTTCAATATTTATACCATAACTTTAGTGCAATATATTCTAAATTCCAGGTAAAACAGAAGACGAGAAATTCGACTATATATCTGACGCAGGAAGAAGGTATGTGTGTGAAGATATTTACTATCAGGTTATGACTAATGTAACCACTTATGTTTTTTGCCTGTTATTATGTTGAATTATGTTGCATAATTCTATTTGCATCTAAATATCTGACTGTCTGGCCACATCTTGCTTCAGAATTTCATATAAATACTTTCCAAGTTTACAACTGGTTTTGAGTTGCATTTTCGGTTTCTATTAAAGGAAGTCAGCCATGTTACAATTTGTTTCATGTGCTAGTTGGAAACAAAAAAGAACTATTTTTTGATAATTCAAGACATATTATATTATAGATTGAAATTATATGATCCATAATGCAAATACTAGTAAAAATATGAAATATATACTTTTAGTAACTTTCTAGAAAGCACTTTTCACACAAACCGATACAGAAATCTTTAAATTCTGCATTGAATCAATCTCGCAAACACAGTATTTTAAAATAAATATTTCAGAGAGTTTTACGGGGAAGACGAAGGTGAACCAGATGATGAAGTGGAAGGAGACGATGCTGATTACGAGGAGGAAGAAGAAGAGGGACAAAACGGAGAAGAAGAGGAGGGAAAGGACGAAAAGGCAAAAGAAGAGGAAGAATTCGATGAAGAATCAGGTCAGTTACTAATAAACAGTAACGAAACTCTTTATTCGTAAGAGATCAGATTTTGTAAATATCACAAAGTTTTCTTCAGGTGTACAAATTACATTAGAATACTTTTCATACAATTTGTTTAGTATTCAGTCAAAGTAACATTGTTTCCGCATTTGATTTCTTAAGTATTTTTGTGTTTTTTTTCTACAACGTTTAGATTTGCAATTGTTTTAAGATGCTTCGGCGCCATCGGCTGATATCGAAAAAGAAGATAACGACACGGAAGTAGAGACACAAACTATAACGGGTTCACAACAAAGTAATCCAGCTAATGGAAAGAAAGGTAATTTTATCTACTTAATAATAATATATAGAAAAAGGTAATTTTAAAACTTCAAATAAGTTAGTTTCAGAATAGGTTTTGTGTATTTAAAACTTGTTTAGCTAATTGAAACGATTTTAGGTATTGACAGTAGCTGAAAAGGTGTTTACAACTGGTGTGGTCAAAACTTTGTATCCTAACTGATTTAGATCAAGAAGTGGATACGTCAAACTAAGCCATAACTCAAACTACTTCAACTAAGTACTGGACGGTTAGTTATGAAAGGCATTCTTTATATAATCTCTATCTATATGTGGTTCTAAATAAGAGAGCGATGTCTAAATATATGGACACGAAAGCCTAACCGAAACAGTAGTCTGTCTACCTTACCTTATACGGTACCTTACCCAGTCTACAGTACGGTACGATGAAAAATAATTTTGACTTTCGCATAGCACGACAGTATCACAAGAAAGATAGAGGAATAATACATATAATAAGCAATTTATTCACAAATAACTTTTATAATTTTGAAGAAGGTAATCGCACAAAAATTCGAAGTGAAAAACATATTGCATAGAACTCACAGGAAATTTTGAAATAAATAAAAGTAATAGCCTTCTAGCAAAGAATATTATTTTTAACCAATGAATTTCGAAACAATTAGTCCATTAGTTTAAGGGGGATAGCGATTTTCCACAGAAGAACATGACAATGGAAAATAAGAACAACAACTACCAAACGATCCAGATGTACATTCCGTGTCCAATAAAGACTACTTTGAAGCAAATGTGGAAACTTGAAAAAAAAGTGGTTAAGTTCGTCGAACTTGTGGCTAATATAGTCATCTGTTGGTTAATACAACCTGAACAACGTTTTCTCAATTTTATCACAGGTTCTGAATCGAACTCATCCACGGAGGGAAAGTCGAGTATCGACCGCAGTGATGAGCCTCGACCTTTTCAAAAGCTGCCACAATTGCTGAAGCCACCAAAAAGAAAACCGGGACGAGATTTTGCTTCAAACAGAGTACCTGAAATACGAAAGCTCTATCCACAGAATTCAAGCATGTTTGGAACTCGTTCTACATTGGGAGCAAAAAAATAAATTATCGAAGAAAAATTTTTACTTTTGACATTGGGATAATTTATGTAAATAGACGTGGCTGAACAGTAATCATTAGTATACCAATTATTGTGTGTATTTTGTTTAACAATTTTTCAACGATGTGTTTAACATATTTGTAAAGGGTATTCCTTCACCTGCTTTTTCCATTTCTAGATACCAATTGTAAAACGTTATCGTGGAATGTATCACACGAGAACATGGTGTTATAAATAAACGTTTAGTTAAAATCAGGCTTTCGATGTTATTTGTCTTTCGTTGATACAGAAATTAATTTTTGACAACATACCGATGTTTTATTTGTCATAATTCATTCCATGCTATTCGATTACTTCAACTTCATTCTTGGGATGGAAATCAGATGTAACGTTTCTATACTCTTAGACTTTTGTATACACGTATTCGAAAACCATGAATAGTAAAGCAGTTTCTTAAGAACTTTTGATTCAAAGTTCAGCTTCATAAATATTTCATTTATTTGGCCAAATAAAATACTGAAAAAAATGATCCATCATTTAATAAACTATATTATATATAATTATTTGTAGGTAAAGAACCATATTTTAAACATATGAAATAGGTCGGTTGTGAATATTGAATTCCTTAACCTGTCCTCTTTCTTATTTTCAAGTATTAAACGTTGTGTGATGTGAGGTTACATGTTTTGTTACGCTCATTTTTTCCAGGGATTACAAGTAATTTCGTAATAATACAAAAACATTTAAAGACGCTTGTAGTTTTTTATTATATTTAAAGTGCTTGGGCGGAAAAATAAATTTGACTTTGTAACCTACTATGAATTCTAAAACTATACGAATCCTAAACTTGATAGCCAAACAGGTTTGAATTGGTCTCGTTTTCATGCCAATTTCCCCAACACCAGTTTCCTATAGAGCACAGCATATATGTTGGGGCGCGAAATTCCCCTACACCACATTCTTGGCGTTGCAGATATGCAGTCGTCCCTTAAACGTACCAGCACGTGCTTGACCAAATGGATCATATAAAAATTCATGTGGTAACTCAAGTTCCCAAAATCAGCGAGATTTGAGGGAAACATCGGGCGACCTAATTTAGTATGACACACGGACGTTTTCTTGATAAGATGTTATGACTTAATTTGGACCATGTTGCGACTTCAATCGCAATGATCCGCTAAACTCAGCAAGGGTCACCAACCTTTTCGAAGCCGAGGGCTACTTTCTGGGTACCGATTAAGCTGATGGCTACAAGTTTGCTCGATTAACAATTATTGATAATTACTGGTATTCAGTCAAGTAAAAACACTGATAAACTTTAGGATTCTTCAGGAAATTGAACGATTATCACAACGTAGCTAATATATTACTAGCAATGACACTTCCATTTTCAAACTGAGTGTTTTTTAAATTGATTTTAAAGTGATCACTACAATAACATTCTCAGAAACCACATGTCCACAATGTTTCTACTTCTTTACAAACACCCTGCATAACCCTAAGATGAAATTAATCTGACAGTTGTACTGCCGAATGTTACATTTACAAACACAATTTAACTAATTATGAATATCTTGTTTTCAACAAGGAGAAAAACCAAAATCGAACAAATGTGGTCTAATGCTCTCCACCAGTGTGTTGTACTCCGGCTTGTAACTTGACACTGTAACTTTGAGCTGATCTTGTAGATTTTCATCAGTAAGGCGTATTCCGTGCTTAGTTCCTTGTGAAGTTCATGTCAAAAAATGTTGATTCACAAAGATAGCTTGAACCAAACACTGACCTCGTAACAAAGGGTTGCTGTTTGATTTAAAAGACGAGCTGCAAACACCCTGCATAACCCTAAGATGAAATGAACTTGACAGTTGTACTGCCGATGGTTACATTTACAAACACAATTAACTAATTATAAATATCTTGTTTTCAACAAGGAGAAAAACCAAATGTGGTCTAATGCTCTCCACCAGTGTGTCGTACTCCAGCGTGTAACTTGACACTGTGTAACTTTGAGCTGGTCTTGCAGAGAAGGCGTATTACGTGCTTAGTTTCTTCCGGAGTTCATGTCAAAAAAGTTGATTCACAAAGATTGCTTGAACCGCAACCCCATGTAACTCCGGAAATTTGGTCCCGGTGTTGAATTCCCCCGTCACGCTTGACTTGGTGCTGACAGATTATTATTGCTTCGAAAATCATCGTGCGACTTCCTGCGTTTTTCTGTGATCTGACGGCGCTGTCTCGCGTCAAGATTAAGTGAGTGACTTGTAAATATTCAAGTTAGTTGTGCACATGGAATATCACACGATATACTTGACTATAGAACAGATAGAATGCAGATTACAAAACAAAATAGAGGAACAATCAATTGAGTGGGAAGGCCCTAGGACCGGTTCAGCACTCGAAAGCACATTGACAGTAAGATTTTAAATTCACTTTAAAGTTCCCATGAGTAGATGTACCAAAGGTAAATCAATCCTACTTACTAAATTTATATCAAAACCAAAAACTGGATTGTTCGGGTTAATAACTTTTTCGTGCATCTCTTTGTAAATATTTTCATCTAAAAGTCTTCAATAACAGACTACTTTTTGAGTGCGGCAAGAAATCTATCTATTTGCCATGCTTTTTTCACTCACTATATAGAAGTATTTGTACTTACGTTTCGAATAATATTCAATTTGTGCCTAGCATTCTCGTCCGGGAATTCCAGTCCCCACAATATCATGCGGAGTACCGAAATCTTCACTTTCCGCTAAAATCAAATTTCCTTCCCCTCCTGCGATTTGAATCAATTTTTCCTCATTAAAACATGACTCTGACAGAGAAATAGCAACGACAAATACCTAGTTACTCAAAACAAAAAAAGAAAAGTGCTTTGTTAATAGGACCAGAAAAAATATTGTGACATACAGAAACAATCTTTAGCACTGAGTGGTATTATCTTGTACAATTGGGATCCTGCCAATATCCAGAGTCTTTCACTAATTTTTTGGTCCGTTGCGTCAAAATGGTTACTATGGGGAGACGATATTGGACTTGGCTTGCTCATATCGCGGCATATATGGTGGAAGAGTTTCACTGCGGCACTGAAGTGCGGATACATAGTAATACCAGTAGAATGTTGCATAATTATCTCCATGGCAGCAGTGACCCGTTAAAATCCAACTATATCGCGACAAAAACACGAATAGGTAAATTACCAGAATCCCATCATATCGCAACTAAGTCTTCTTGGACATGGTTAGAATATCTAAATTCCATATTAAGACCCCACGAGAATGACTATTGTCTATTATCATAAAAAATGAAACCATGTAATATTAACAAAAAAATTTTCATTTGCACAAACTATTACGTTTTTATGGTTTTAAACCCGCAACAAAGACTCATTGATTTTGTGATGTTTTTATTTGACAAAAACAAATCTTACATAAGCTCCGCTTTCCCTTAATTCCCTCAATGCTTCAGAAAAATCATCATCAAATTTTTTTTATGAGAATACGAAAACGAAGTCCAGTACAATGATGGGATTACCAGATTCTTTGTTCATCATGTTATTGACAAGAGACCGGGGTACAAATTTTCGCAAGTGCAATCTATATGCGGTTGCTGAAATCTATGGGTGGAAACGTCCGTGGGTGCAAATGTCGGTGGGTGCAAAAGTATGCAGGTGCAAATGTGCAGTCACCGTTTAACTCTAAACCGGCGTTGCATAATTTACGCTTGGCGCGAACCACGTTTTTGCTATTGCATCACCGAAGGCCTCATGTAGTAGAAACAGAGTGGTATTGTAATTCCATGGCAATAGTATTTAAACATGACAGTATCATGATTAGTCCAATTAGCAATTGATTCAATCCAAGCTGATTAGAAAAATACTTAAATGTTCTTAACGCTTAGCTTCATTTTGACAGCCGATTCATAAAAACGAGGAATTCTAAAGTATGGCTTACTTACGACCACAACATGGTATTTTCCCGCTTCATTGATAAGCCTCTGATTGTTCTCGTGGAAGATACCATGTATCCTGGTTTTAAACATTTGAAATGACATACAGAAATGACTTCATTTGTTCTGGAACAAGTCACGAATTTGCCCGGAACATGCATGTCAATCTTTGGTTTGCAACGATTGGCTGAAAATTATACATTCAATATTACAACTTAGACTATTGAGATATTTCCCACTTATCATACTAATTTCATTCTTTGGTGTGAATTCGATGAAAACAAAAAAAAATATAAGTTTATCATATACTGAATTTTTTTTTTAGATCACACACATCATTGGTAATTCTCGAGAAAACATCACATAGACCTTTCTAGAATTGTATAACAACAAATATATTTACGTTTGCATAAAACCACAGTTGAATTCGACCATTTCAATCTAGATGTCGTTTATAAACATTTAATTTTACTTGATCCTACTAACTTTTGCGATCTCGGAATTAGAATGTTTTTAACGATCGGCGCGATTTTTTGCTGATATCATGGAAACGAAAAATCAATTCGGATTTTCGGTAAAACGCACACTACTAGGGTGACAGCATTACTCACATGAAAAATTTCAAACAGACCTACTCAGCAGTTTAGACGCTGCAGCTAAACACTCGGACAGACAAACAAACAGGTATACAAACAGACACAACAACTAAGAATAAGGGTCTCTCTTTTAGAGTGGAGATCCAATATCTAATCACACATTTTGAATTGAATTTTCATTATGAACGACGGAGAATGCAAGTAATCTGCTGTTTGACATCTAAGCAACAGAAATACACGCAGTTTCACAATGACAAAGTGAATTTTGTGGCAAAATATCGACTTATCCGTTTTGCAACTGACTTGGCGAAAAATATACCATTTTTTCATTTAAGCATGTGAGCTACTACTTTCAATCGAGCTAAGTATAATTATGATATTCAATCACTCGAGTTTTATCAAGACATGTGAGTAAAATAAATATTTGTAATCGATGACTGTCTGGGCTGTGCAAGGCAATGAATAGTTTTCCAGGGAACGCTTATCTATGATAATAATTAGTTTTTGAAGCAAATCACGTATACGTAGAAAAAAGACACGAGATTTATGTTATTTATTCATCTACAAAAATCTCACAGGATATTACTACGCGTCGTAAGCAGACAGTAGCCTAGTTGTGCAATCATATGCAGAACAATGAATAATTTCCCGGGAGTCAATTTCCCAATTAGTTTACTGCCGTAACATTGGCTAATTAGCAAGATGTCGAAGATCGCATACCAATGGAAATTTAGCAGCCCTTAAAGAATCTTTTCATCCAAACAAATTTTCGGGCATGATTGTAAACATTAGTATACCTCGTTTAGTGTACATGACGAACGTTTCAATATTATGTTGTTGTTCTTGTTAGTTTTCTCCTTCGTCACGATAAAATCGCCTTTCTCTTCGAATACCGGACCAATTGCTTTATAATTTGAGGTGGTTGAAGACTGATTTTTTTTTGTCAGAGAGCTATTACTTTTATTTATTCTTAAATTCTCTATGAATTCTATGAGATCTAACATTTCATCCGAAATTTTGCTGTATTACTTTTGATTAAGGGAACACGGTTTTTAATCCACCAAGCGTGACGGCTGGATTTCGCAAATTGTTGCTACTAGAAAATCGGAAGTTTTTTGAGGTCATGGTACCGGTAAAGCTAAATGTAAGGTAAACTACGGTACTGCATCGCTTGGTGTCATTATATTTGTAGACTGTGATATCTGCTGTTATAATACCGGCTACCAACTGTCCGGATCATCTTGCAATTTCAGACTGGCACAAAACAGGAACTGGTAAAGTGAGGGCTGTTGGAGTTCCGGTACCGTAACACAGCACGGTACGGTAACGGTTTGAAATAAGGTATTTTTTTTTTCGACAAGTTACACTTCCGTAACTAGACCATTGTTGTATTATAAATTGAAAACATATAAAAAATTTCAGTTCTAGTACCCGACTACCCGTACCGTAAAAGTGCCTTCGGACAACCTCGGACGGTTCCAACTTCGGACAAAAATTTCAAACGGTCATATCTCGGATAAAATTTGCAGTATTTTGCCAGTTTTAATTCTTATGGCTAGCGCTGTTACGTGTACTTCTTAACTTTTTTTTCAATTTTGCATGATTATTTTTTATTGAAAAAAACGGAATTTATGCCAAAAAATGACTACCCGCTATTCAACGGAGCTTCTACTGAGGCTATCATCGTCAAAATACCATCATTCGATAGAGGGCGATAACAATGAATATAATTTATCAGAGTGATCGCAAGATGTCGTACAAGATTTGAGTAAAACCTAAAATTCCGAATTGTAAATTCCGTAAAATATTGAGATTTCACGCTGCGTCAAAAGTTCCGTTAACCTCACATAGATCATTTTTCGTTCACTTCCGAGACGACGTCACACTGCGTCGCGGAAAAGACTTTTGACGCGCGACACAACAGCTCCAAATTACCAATTTTCATTCAGATAAGGATCGCGTTCTAGTGTAACCTTTCTTCTTTTTTTTTTAAAAAATTTCGAGCTAAAAACCAATATTAACAAGGAACTCGAGAATGAACCGAAAAGGCCTGGTCAGGAAGTTTCTTTCAGGAAAAAAAAACAACATATTAATACGACGGCTATTTCGGTACTATTTCGATGTCTATGTTTACATCTCACTCCTATAATTTAAACTATGCGTTGTTATAAGGGTAGATCAGTCCCATTTCCTAAATATGTATCAAAAACAAAAACTGGGTTGTTCACCGAAAATTCGAATTAAAAATAAATTTTTGGATGCATTTTTTTTCATTTTTTCTTCAAAAATCTCCAATAACAGACTATTTATTGAATGCGACAAATAATCCATTTTTCTCATTTAGTTAGCCTATGCTTATTTCACCCATTCTAAACACAATCCAGTCATAAAAGTCATTGTTTAAAAAACCATTTTTTAAAGTTTACGAACGTATAAAAATATTTTGATTTCGAAACATTGCTTCAGACTTCATTTTAATCGATTGTTTAATAATTATTTCTTAACAAAATTTTGCGATACCTACGGAATACTCGATAATGAAAAAGTTAATATTGATTCAATAACGTCTTACAATTCAATATTTGCATGCTCTCGTCTATATTCAGCTGATATTCTGTGACCTTATATTTCTATGGCTAATAGTTCAGAGACAAAACGTACATAAACTGGCAAGCAGAATGCGTATTTTTTGTTTATTTTAGTCACAGTTGAATTAATATTACTTATGCAATGTACATTTTGACACATTAACGCTTTTTACTTAACCTTCTACGCATTACGTTGAATAAAAATATATTATTAGAGAAGAGGTTTTTTAAGATATATAGACAAATACAACTCTAGCATATGTTTGTAAAAGGCTATAAGTGAATGTTTAGGACCTAACATTTGATGAAAAATGGAATCTTACAAGTGACCCATGCAGAATGACCTCAGGGGAAAAGACGCAAAAACTTATATAGAATTTCTTGTATTTATGCGCCAAATAATATTCAATCTGAGTCTAGCATCCTCGTCCGCAAATTCCAGTCATCACCAAGTGATGCATATCACCAAAATCATCACCTTTTGGTATAAGCCAATTTTGTTTATTTCCTGCAATTTGAATCAACTTTTCCTCATTAAACCATGGCTCTGATGAAGAGCTAGCAATGACAATTACCTATTTATTCAAAACAAAGAAAGAAAAGTGTTTTTGTTACATTGTTAGTACTGCCCGGAAAAACATATTTTGACCTACAGAAACAATTTTTAGCATTAGGTTTTATGAGGAATTATTTCACCAAAACATAAATGAATGTGTGTTGTTTTGGGCGGGTTACATCTTTTACAATTTGGACCTTGATTTGGAATTTAGCTATTCTGGGCTTTTCACTAATTTTTTAGTCTGTTGCGTGAAGTGGTTACTATGGGAAGACGGTATTGGACTTATCTTGCTCATATCGCGGCATAGCTGGTGGAACATTTCTACTTCTGAGGTGCGGGTGCATAGTGACACCAGTAGAATGTTTTATACTTGTCTCCACGGCTGCAGTGACCTGTGGAAATCCAACTATATCGCGACAAAAACACGAATATATAGGTTACCTGAATCTAACCATGTCGCAAGTCTAGCAACAGATTAAGTCTTGTGGGCATGGTTGGAATGTCGAAATTACATATTACAGCCCACGAAAAATGACTATTGTTTTTATCAAAAAATGGAAAAACGCAACATTATTGAAGAATTTTTCCGTCGGTCGAACTATTGATTGATCTATTGCTATATTTATTTTTTTATTTAACAAAACAAAACTTACAAAAGCTCCACTTTCTCGTAATTCCCTCGATGCTTCAGAAACATCGTCATCAATTTTTCCTGATGATAACAAAATAACAATGTCCACCACATCAATGCGATTACCAGATTCTTCGTTCATCATGTTATTGACAAGATACCGAATTGCTTTACCCGTATTTGATCCTAAATATATACAACGGCATTCAAATTAATATAGTACTTATTGCTAATAAATTGTGAGTAAATCTATTTAAACACAAATTTAAAACACACCATGATGAGATACAGTTAGTTTGTGATATAACTAATCTATAGCATTTTTTGTATAGGCTAGAAATGTGTTCCCGGAATTCGACTTCTGTATAATAAGAAAGATTGTAAGAATAACATGTATTCTCGGATATTGTTTTTACTTGGTATAAAATTGCTGAATTACTATCTACATATTAAAACTACATTATACCTCTTCCATCGTGAGGCAGTCTATCAAATTTATACCAGAATTCAGATTTTTTATTCAGATAATCATCCATTCGAATAATGTTGTCGGTGTCCACATCCTTATTGAATCGTATCGCAGAAATCTTTAATGAGTCCGAAGATATTTCATACCGCCTAAACGTGTTATTGAAATAATACTATTATCTACAAAAATTGTTTAATATTTATTTGTATAAAAATAATGTTAGACACAAATGCTTTCAACAAAAATTGTATTATAACGAATAAATTTTGAACTGACTGTTACTGTATTGAGAGGTTTGTTTGTTTGATTTTATGTATTGTAAAAGTATACTATTTTGTAGGTATATGCAATAAAATTCACAAAATATTTCGAATTGTATTTAGACCGTTAAAAGATTAATGTTCGTACCCCATCGCATTCTTGATTAATTCCTTCATTTCAATCCAAATATTCACTCCGATGTATTCAGAAGATTCGAAAATTATATAAACATCCAAATTTGTGAACAGACTGCAAGAACCTTGAAAAAGTGATGTTAACAATCCGCAACTATTTTAAAAGTTATTCTAGAATCAGTCAATATAAAAAAATCAATTCCATGATTTTATAAAAAAACGAAAACTATAATATTTCAATTCAAAATCATCAATTTCTCTTATCGCGGTACAAAATTATAGTCAAAATCCGACTTCAAATAATTTATGCTTGGCTCGGACCAAATTTTTGCTATTGCATCACCGGAGGCGACTTGTGTAATTTCATGGCAAAATTATTCAAACATGAACGAATCATGATTATTCTAACGAGCAACTAATTCAATTCAGAATGATTGTGAACATAATTAAATGTCCCTAACGCATAGCTCCATTTTGAGGTTGATTCATAAAAACGAAGAATGCTAGACTAAAGCAGGGGTCGGCAACATTTTGTAGCTCGCAGGCCCAAATTGAGGGTTGCAACTATTGGCGGTCCGCACATATTGCCGATGAATCACAATTCTCCCACACAGATCAGAAAGTCGAAATATTAAGATGCGCGCGAAGACTTCGACAACTCGTGAACTCAACTTTATTTGAACTTATCAAGCATTATTTTTTTTTAAATCTCGTTGCCATTTGTCTACCTATAATTAAATTCTAGGCTCGTATATACTTGTTAGATTACAATATAATGTAGTCTACACATGCCTCACAATAAATTCTGTTACATAAAGAATATAATCGTCAAAACAGCCGTTTCAATACTATAATTCAGTGAAGCGTCGCGGGTCGGATTATTTAACTCCGCGGGCCGGATCTGACACGCGGGCCGTAGGTTGCCGATCCCTGCTCTAGAGTGTGGGTTACTTACGACCACAACATGGTACTTTCCCGCTCCATTGTTGGTTTGGTAAGCATTTGATTGTTTTCGTGGGAGATACTGTGTACCCTGGTTTCAAACATTTAAAATGACATACAGAAGTGACTTTATTTGTTCTTGAACAAGTCACGAATTTGCCCGGAACTTGCATGTCAATATCCGGTTTGCAACGATTAGCTGTAAATTACGATTTCAATATTACAATGAAAGACTCGACTATTAAAATTTCTTCCCACTTATCATACTGGATTCATTCGTTGGTGCGAATTTGATGTAAAATATAGATATATGTTTATGATACACAGAAAAGTTTTCTTCAATCACACACAACATTGAAAATTGTAGGAAAGAACATCATACAGAAACTTGCCGGGTTGTATAACAAATTTACTTACGTTTGCATAAAACCACAGTTGAATTCGACCATTTTAATCCAGATGACGTTTGTAAACATTTGATTCTACTTGATCCTATCAACGAATGATAAGGCTCACATGCAAATAAACATTCAGAACCAACTTCGTTGCCATTTCTACAATACATTTTTCCATTCTTCGGAGTTGAAAGTGGATCACATCGTGTTTCTTGTTAGCGCGTAAATATGAAACAGAAAAAGTATTGCGCTAACAATTGTTACACATGAATTCCGTAATTAGCTTTCTCTATATAAAGTACTTTTCATTCCAGATAACTAAGATATTTTCAAATTTGTATGATTGATGCCGCATTCATTATTATGTGGTTATAAAAAAATAACTAATATAATATATTTCGAATCACCTTCTGCAATTTGTTCACATTTTGAAGCTTCGTGACATGCATGAATATACAAGCAAATGTAGAGGTATTTTTTCAATTTTCCTTGAAGCATTACTCCTGCAATATAATCAGTACTTTGTTCTTTCAATTATATATCGTTATACCATACATATATGAGAAGTAAATTTCAGTATAGCACTTTGACAATTATAGACTTTCAAAGTGAGTAGATAAATTTCAAACTAACTGTAGAACTTGACGTAAAAATAACTACTATTTTGTAATCATGCTTATCCTAGCTTCCACCCTAACTTAACGACAACCGGAAACTTGATCAATACATATTCATAACGAAGTTCATACATGAAAGTAACAATAAATTCTAGCTTGAATTCCATTACGGCATGCGCTGTGTATTTTTTCATTATTGATCTACTTGGGGCGAATCATTTGACAATTATATTTTTGCAGCTATCCACTAAAAGCTATTAAACGTGCATGTGTCAGAAAAATATAACTTTTTATTTTATATGTTCTTTAAAAAAAATTTCTATCACTTGTCTATTTAGACACAATAATGACCATGATAATTAACCTTTTGCAAAAGCATTGAATTTGTGCGATACTCATTCATGAAGTGATCCATGAATATATATTTAAACACCCATTTTGAAATAATAATTTAGTACTAACAACGAATTGCCATAACCAAAGGTTTCACAACTAATGTGCTGTTGGCCATTCAAGCATTGTGGCCACAGAAATACAATTTGTTTGAAATTAAAATCAATCTTCAAGGTTTACATTAAATAATTTTAAGGGAAATATTAATCAAAACTTGAAAACGAGAATATCGGTCAGAGACCGAAGACTTATCGATCGAAAGTTAGGGGATCCCCCAAAACCCCCCCATATTCCATAGTGACACCTTGTGTCCCATCACTAATTAATTAATAACTCGCTAATTATACGACATAATTAGCCCAAAATCAATAGACTCCTGGTCCGAGATAAGATGAATGCACATGCAAAATCTGGAGCAGATTCAATCTCGCTTTCGTGAGATATCGCGTGCATCTAACAGACATACACACAGACAGACAGACAAATACCTATCAACATACTTACCGATTAAAATCGATAAGTAACAATGCATGATGTATTGTTACTGTACCACTTGTTATTTCCTTCATATTTCTGATGCACCAAATATACAAACAAATGTAGAAGCATCTATTTATCGTTTTGGAGTCATAACTGCTAAAATCTAATAGAGTACTTTCTCAGAAAATAAATAAATTTAGCGAAATAAGACATTATTTTGTATAATTTTTATTTGGATGTATAAGACTTGTTCGTTTCACAGAACTATGAACTCTGCATTTTGAAAGCCAATATACAAAAGCCTTTAGTGTAGAGTTTATTTTGGACGTTCAGAAACATAATAAATACTTCAGTATAGAACGTGGACATTATGGAGTTCGAATTAATTGCCAATTACATGGAACGTAATAACGTAAACAAACGGAAAAAGATGAGTAAAGAAGAAAAGTTTCAGTTTTAATCAGCAGCACAACTGATAAAAACGTGTTCTTGAAACTGAAATGGTTCTTGACTGCTTATCTTACCCTCCAAAATGATCAAACAACAACCAAAATTTGAATCAATGCATTGTACAATAATTCCCATTCCCTTTTTCCAGGTATTGTGCATCAATATGAGATAGGAGAACAAAACTGGATTTCTTGAAAGCAACCAGAAAGCTAGAAATAAAACAGGCCGGTACTCGCCCAGGATCTCCGCTGATAGTTGAGGTCCGCACTCAAGCGACCGGTTACCATTCATAGAAACTTGCGGACCTATAACTGCAGCAATTTTATGTCAGTGTGTTACCAAAACTGCATAGCTGAATCGAACGCTTAGACAGCACAACGCACTGCGGATTTCTGACGAACACGCGAAAATCTGTACACACTTTTCACTAACGGACAAAATCAAAATTGAGTGTTATATTTGCGTTATAATTCTTTTTATTTATTTGTTTCCAGTAGCTATGATATTGTTCTAATTCCTAAATGAGAATAATGTGCGCCAATGTCGCGTGAATTTTAACGACGTTTTAGTAGGCCGTTTTGTAAATTTCGACAGACCAATACAAGTTTCTAATAAAGTAACATTTCTCCGCTATCTGAACGGATATATTAATTTGAATATGTAGAAATGCCTTTTAATTTATTTTATCAGAAATTTTTACTGATTCGCAGTGACGACATTTCATGAGTTTTATTCAACGCAAAATAACATAGACACGACAGAATAATACAAAGAATCGCAAAGATATTGTTCACTTTTTATTTCACGGTGACGATAATAACGATCAAAGCCAACACGAGATAATAATCAAAATGAAGCCAATTTGGAAATTTGGGTTGCGAATTCATTCCTATAATTTTCCTCAGCGTCTTGTCGCCGATGATCGCACAGTAGCTTTCGAGTTTGTCGAACAGAACGCGCAGTTCCACGAAAATTAAAAAAACTTCTATGTCCACCAAGAAGTGCATGACTTGATACATGCGTGATAAAAAGAACCGACATTTGGGTGTAGATGCATGTAGATCGGCTCAACCGTTAAGACGCTACAGCTTTGACACATAGAAAGACAAACAAACAGAACGACCGAGAATAAGGGTCTCCTATAGCAGAGATCCAATATATATACCGCCATATAAGTATAGCAGTATTGGTGATGCCACAGTTTCATTGCTCATAGCTTATATATTTTCGATCTCATTTTCTTATGTGAAGAACAAGATATTACTATTGATCCTCATATAGAAATTAAATCAAAATTTGGCTTGTCTATCTTCCTTCACGTTTGAATCATAGAGTGAGACATCAATTTAACAAAATGAGTAATTTTGGTAAATAGCAGTAAATCAGTTGTATGATAAAAGCATATTGTGTATTGAATGTGTGCGTACAGTCATGTGTATCGGAGCATGGTTTGTTACGTCAATTTAACTTGTTATTAGTTATACACATCGTTTTTTACATTTTAGCATTGACATTCCAGTATAGTTTTTGGACAATAGATGTTCAGTCGTCTGTGATACTGTAACTCTTTCTTCGCAGCGTTGAAATGATAAGAGATTTTGGAGAGTTCATTCTAGGTAAAGGCAAATACGATAGCCCTCAATTTGGGTATGTAATAACTGTGATCAAATAAAATTACATCGGTATGCTTGGCCGTGATGTGTTCCATACATGTCAACTTTTTAGTCGGACGAAATCGCGATTACGCCCGAATTAGAAAGTATAGTACTTTAACTGCTGTCTCGCCAAGGTGACAAAAGCTTCGACCATCATTCTCACTAAGCGTGACAGCTTTCCCAAGAGGGGAACATTAATAGCACCAATCGTTCCTCGAGTAAACGTGGTAATGGCTGCATTAGAAATCTACCAGATGTAAATGCAAGACATCGATTATATTATTAAAAGCTGTCAATATTTAGTATTGACAAATATTGAAAGACTATAGGTGCGTAAATTCAATCGTCGAACCGAGATTAGAAATTTGGCGAGGCGTATCTGCTGTGTAATATGGCAACGCAGGGTCTTTTCGTAGATAGTTATTAGCGAAGAAGCATATCTACTATAAGAAAGTGTATTTTAAAAGTGTTTTGAGAAAGTCAGGAAAAATAGACTATAGGTTAACAATATATGATTTGTACAATTTTTATAACTCTTGGTGTTTCTCGTAATGATTATGCTTGAGCAATTGACTAACTGGGAACGGTATTGAAACATCCGTAAATTTGAAAGTAGTACAATAATATCAATAAAAGTATTAAGTTTATTGAAAAAGCGCTTAATGGCATACAGACCAGCATTCTAACTAGTTTATCTCCACATCTAAAGTTCCATCGCGATTGAAATTTATACTCTTAATTATTTTATCGCTATGAACCTTCACTGTATATATATTTGTTCGAATGACAATTATACCTCGCGATTGCCAGTAAATTCACAGGCTAAAGTAATGAAATGAGCTAGATTTTCCTAATGATACTTCCAAGCTTACACTTCCATGAGAAGCCATCCCGTTGGTCTGTTCAATTGAATTGACTCGTAAATATCATTCCCAGAAATGTGTTTTGTAGTTAGAAAATATATTTTTAGCGTTTGATAAAAGCAAAAGTAATAAACGCAAAAGCAATTCAAAGTCATAAATTTCTTTATTTAGCCTAAATTTGCGTCAGTCCTAAAAATGACGCCGAATGCAGATCAAAGTTATGACAATAGGAAAAAGTCGGTCAATTACAACGTGGATTTTAAGCAGAAGCTGTCGAAGGCTTTCACGGATTTATCGTTCGAACGAAAAATTTACCTCGTTTTATTGCTTACCACCGCCGTGGCATCTGTGGCAAACATTTTTTTCGAATCAGTCGAAATAGAAGCTAAATCGAGGAATGGAAAATTGAACCGAGTCCTGGGACCCGGCTGGCGAACATTGAGTCGTAAGCAAGATATTGCTGATTTTGAATGGACTTTTTGGTTTTCTGATCTTCGTGAAAGTATTATTGCAGCCTTGGTTGGACACGTCATCATCAGCTACTTTGCATCACGATATCTGAAGCCAGTAAGTTATGAATCACAAACGCTTGACAATTGCCATGCAGCTTAAATATTATATAAGTATTACCGATAATAACCTATGATATAGTATTGAATATTGATTGATATGTACAGTCACAGATCGACCACTCATTAATGACTCGTGCTCGTCTTAATATGGTAATGAAGACATATATATATGACTTGTGAAACTGATGGTGAATATCTATAGATTATAGGTATATTGAATACTGACAAATTTCATTTGATGCCAACATTATGCATTTGATTCATATCACCAAAAAATATACTTATTCCGGGTTGGGTTAGTTAGAGTTATATGAGATTCAAATCAACAATTAAATTATTTCAGACTTGAACCATTTGAGGGGATATTGGAAATTTGTTTCAAAAATTGCTGAAGATAGATAAACAGGCATATAATGTAGACTACTGTATCTACATGAGAAACGGAAACTTTTTCGTTCTGGCCGATGCATTGTTTAGAATCTCGACACACTTACTTTGCGACATCGATATGATTATGTGCAATGTATAATTACTGGACCGTTTTTTTTTGGGCTTAGCCCAGTTCAATCCTGAACAAAAAAGCTCACTAAAAATTGAGAACATCATACACAACTTTATTACCTGAACTTATTATTACTAAAACAGAGTAGGCCTACTATAATGTAATTTTAACGACTAAGCTTAAGGTATTAATTAACATAACGATAATATTGTTTCACAGGTTCGACATACATTACAAGCGTTGTATTGCATTTATTGGGTGAGAGCCGCTCTCGGACCAACATTCATTCTAATCGTCGTTTCATACTGCGCAACTTTCTACGTCGTTTCAGCACTTTCTAAATCCCGATCAATGTGTTGGATATTGACTATTACAAGCATTCTACTTCTTCATTTTGATAGTTTTTACATGGAAGTACGTGGTTTCTGTTAATATGACTACTACTCTTTACCATTAAATTTGTTTCCGATACCCTAATTGTTGTTTAAAATTGAAGCCGACTAATTTGTCGTGTCATATTAGCATAAGTATATTCATAATTGGCTTCAAAAATATAATAAATAGAATGTGACTTTGAAAATATTACCTTCATAACTTTTTTTTAACTTGACTTTACTCTTTATTTTTGATAACATTGTAACCGAAATAGTAACATTCTGGGCGACTTGATCGTGATTGCTTTGAATAAACAAATGATTATATTTTGTGGACTTTTTTATATTGGAGTGTTTCTGATTTATAAACCCAGAAAAGACAAACATCTGAATTGTGCTCATATAATCGTCAGAAAAGTTTGTGTTTGGAAAACTGTAATACATCATGATTAAAGAACCAAAAAGGCGACCACATTTTAAAATAAATAAAACCCTTTTAGCAAAGAATAGAATCTTGAACTATTGGAAGTAATTGACCAAGTAGTTAAAGAGAAAAGCGATTTTATCACAACAACAATAAAAACAAGAATTCTAACAACAAGAACATGATAACAAAACGATCTGTATGTTCATTTCGTGTTCACTAACGTTCACCTCGTATAAATTAATTATTTTATATTTTTCTATGTCTGTCTTGAAAATTGTATTATTTTTCTCACATTTTCTTTGTTTAAGGTTCTTCCATCAACAATCGAAGTCGATGGCACATTTTTATCTCTTGCATACGTGTCTTTGGGATTCGTTACACTCAGATGCTGCAGTTATGCATTTGAAAGCATTGATGATCGAAGTTCGAAAAAAGGTCAACAGTACGGATTCCACAGGCTTCTACAATACAACTTCTATTTACCATACTTCTTTTTCGGTCCTGTCATGACATACGATGTCTATATAGATGAGGTAATTTTTTGCATCTTTTTCTAATTTGTAACGTCTGACTTGGTGATCTTGCCAAGCACGTCTTAAGAAGTGGATGTTTTTTCTATGTTGCAGGCAGAGAGTATCTAAAATAGAGCAGTAATTTTATTGGCATGTATGATTTCTCAAATCATGCTCGAAGCACAAAATATCAATGCCATTAGCGTTACAATAAGCTGCCACTCTCCAATGATCCGATTGTAGAGTTATTTCTGTCCTAATTACGCTCTTATATAGGAAATTAAGGCAAGTCCTCCAATCCCACATTATTTGGGGATCGCTATATAGGAGTAAATTCCATAAAAATAAGGAATTTCTTTAAAAAAATATTTTTTTGAAAAATTTGTGAACAGGCAAATGACTCTATGCAAAATCGATGAGAACTTGTTACTGATTATCTCTTTTAACTTCCCTACGGCAGACCAGGGAAAGAGAACCGCTAGATCAAAATACTGACCATGTAATAGGTCTTATAAAGAATGATTTATTACATTTAAACTTGGTGTAGAAAGGGTGTCGAATTACGGTTGGCTCAGAGTTTATCAGCCGACATTTCTGCATTTTATCCAGGTCACACGGATTGCTTCGAATTCTATGGACGTGTAAAAATAGTCTACCGAAAGTCATTTATAAGAATGTTGTTGTCAGTGTTGCAGTTTCAACTGCTCATTGATTGCGCTAATCTTTCAGTCTGTTTTGAATTCTGTGGTCATTTTGTTGTTTGTTCACGTTTAGTATAAAATGTATACACCAGTTGTATAAAGTTGAAGATTGTTATTGAGGACGATGTAACACCTAGAATGCCCGTGACAATACGTGCCTTGGTATCTCTTTGTTATTCATATTTGCACTGCACCTACGTGTCAGTCACCGACAAGTATTTTCATAATGATCTCGAGCTTAAAGCCCGTTTAGAAGTATCTGGTCCTGTTTTGTCTTGTGTGTTTGTTTTTTGTACAATAGCGAATATATTATTCATTCATTTTTCTTTTCAATCCGTGTCAGTGATCCGTAATATATATTCAGTTACCAGTTTGTTATATTCCTTAATTAGATATTTTAATTCTCAGACAATGCCAACACATTCAAAAGACAACTTGCTCAATATTTTCAAAGAAGTTGCAAAAACCATGGCTGGGATCGCCGTTATTGATTTTCTTCTACATTTTGTTCACGTATCGTCAGTTGCGTTGGATTTGGAGTATATGCAAACTGGACCGGTCTATGTAGTAGGTTAGACATTTTAAAACGAATATTTTGCCTCAAAATATTTATTTATAATATTAGGTGTATTATTTGTTGCTTCTTTGGCCAAACAAAACTTATGATAGAAAAGGAGAGGTACGTCAACAAACCTCAGGTGCGCAATCATGGGTGTTATCCCAGCTGACAAGCGGTGTCCTGAAGTGTATTGTAGCAGAACGCGTTAGCTCTGCCATAGCTACCTTGGGATCCCCGAGTAAACAGCGAATTTCGCTGAAAATTTTACCAGTTTTGAAGAAAGCTTAATCGACTCGTTTCTGAAGTATTTAATCTTGGCTAAACCATTTCCATCACCTGCTTTACGAATATATATATTTACTAGTTTCTGGTGTGATATGAAACAACTTATGATTCAATTGTTTTTAGGTTTTCTACTATTTGCAAACGTCATGCTAGACTGGATGAAAGCTTGGGTATTATACGGAGTGACATCTAATGTTTCCAACGTTGTTGATGGATACAAAAGAGCACCTCAAGGCCCGAAATGTCTAGCAACAATTTGTACATTTGCTGATACATATTTTGACAGAGGAATACAGCATTGGGTATGTAGGTAAGAGAATATTTCACTTGTTTTGATTTCTATCTGAAATATCAGTTTGTGTTTACTAGCAAAGATTAGATTATTCAAATATATATGGTCGCCATATGGGCGTTCTGTATATTTTGTAATACGCTCAAATAAAAGGGTATTGATTTCTTTATTCAAACTGGTCAGATGATTCAACTACTGCTATTCTCAACGCATAAAAGGTGTTTTGTATGGGGTTTGCCGAAACTATAGTTTCATGATAAATGACCTGCTTGTATTATGCCAAGAGAAAATCTTTTGATATACTTTATACATTACAATTACGAATAAAGTTTTTCCGATTTCGCTTGTGAACAAAGTAAATCCAAGAAGTCATACTTTATTTATCTAAATTCCAAAACTTTTACAGATATATTTACGATCCAGTTGGAGAACACCACTCAAATGTAACAAAAGAAACTATAGCTTCAGTTCTCACTTTTATATTCGTGACTTTGTGGCAAGGACCTGGCATACAGGTTATTATTTGGGCCACATTAAACTGTCTTGGCTTGACTTTTGAATTTTTCCTTGGAACTATTACACCACAAGAAGACAAATCAAAAAAGGTAAATTAGAGATTTATATTACTTCACTAAACACTTTTATCAAACACAATGCTTCACTTTATCCAGAATAATTTCACTATGTTGCTTACTCCGGACACTTAAGTTCCGTATCAAAAACATAAATAAATAAACAAATACAAAAATAGTCTGATTAAATATTAATAAATGTGTACACGCTGCCATGGAGGAGGGTTTCCATGGAAATAAATTTATAAAAAAAAAACAGCCTAATTTTGGATTAGATACCGGCCCTGTAAAACTCTATATTTACTCAAATATACCTGCGCCCTCGTCCATCTTAAAGTAGTGAAAACGTGGATTCAGTAGGTCCAGTTGTTGATAGAAGAATCGATTTTGTTTTGACACAATTTAGTATACAAAAGCAAAGGTCCACTTTGTGTTCAACAAGCTAGGTAGTAATCATATAATTCCCAGATATCCAGTCTCAAAAGGTGTATGGGAATCGAATTATGATTAAAAAATGATATCTCTGGAATTTCTGCATCTTCCCAGAAACAACCAAAGAGTTTTTCTACGGAGTGCTTCAAATAATAGAACTTCATACTCTGGCTTGCTTCTTTGTTATTGTTGTATAAACAGTACAGACTCAAGCCGTTTACATATAACTATTACTAATTTAAATTTGAATGTGCTTTTTTAGAGATTGGTTGCATTCATTTTGGGATTGAATTACTGGTGCATACTTCTTTTCAACACTGTAGGAATTAGTGGAATGGAGACGGCGAGAATAAGCGCAAAAGCTATGTTTTTCAACGGTGGGTATAAATAACCAGGGAAAAGTGGCTTCCTATTATGCATTAACTGAGTTCATCTGCGCCAATAGACTAATATACAGGTAGCTTAATCGTGTATTTATCACATAGAATAGCTACAAACCGCTCAGTAGCATGATGTCTTTCTCTCTGAGGAACGAACATTTACTAATGTTACATATACACACGACTACTGTCACATTAAGATTGTCCTAGTTTTTACAAAAATACGATGTAGGGGTGATCAAACCATTAAATATGTCTTTTGTGGTACATAATATCGTTACAGCATTTTTAGTTGATGCTCTGTATCGCCACCTTGCAGACTATTGATTAGAATTGACTGTTGTCCGAGCGTAAAACTGAAGGCTGCTTTACGAATATTTTGATCATCAATGAAAATAGTCTACGCAAACAAGCATCAAGAGCAATATTTTTTTTTCAATTTCTGGCTAATGGTAAAATCACACCCACACTACAATTGTTAGTAACAGAAGGTAGGTCAGCTTCACGCTGGCTGCCATCACTTCCTACTTGCCCAAAATTTGTGTTTCGTTTGGTGTTTTTAGTAAAAGTTATACATATCAAAGTTACTCATACTTCAATTTTATTTTTTTGTTTTTTTAACAGGTAGCTTATGGAATTTTACAGTTGCTGTTGTCCTGGGTTATTGCTACGCAGCTTTCATCACATTATCTCCAACATCTAAAGATAAAACAGAGTAAAGAAAATTTCACGACCGCGGAGGGAATATAATATTTCACATGCTTATAACTTGAAAGGCATAATAACTGGCACAACATGTTTTAAGTTGACAACTTGTTCATCTATTCTATTTTAATGGTGCCTTCAATATAGTCTCAAATAAGTTGATATCGGTTCTCATTTTTATTTTGTTGTTGTTATCTTTTAGAGGAGAAATTAACAGGCACAAGGCTCAAACAGAATTGGTCGTATATAAATGTTTGGAATCGATTTGCCAAAGAAACAGCGAATATTTTCTATTTCTTTATTTTATGCTTACCTGATATATATATATATATATATGCATAAATGTTGTATGTTAAAATATATATATTTTATCATTGTGGAATCTCGTTTATAATTTACGTCATTGGTATATAACGTGAAATGTAACTAGAAATACGTAGCAAATCAGTCTCTTTAATCTCATTAATTACTTATTGATTTTAATCGGTAAATATGTTGATAGGTGTTTGTCTGTTTGTTTTTCTGTTTGTTTGTCTGTTTGTTTGTCTGTTTGTATGTCTGTCTGTTAGATGCACGAGATATCTCACGAAAGCGTGATTGAATCTGCTCCAGATTTTGCATGTGCATTCATCATATGTCGTACCAGAAGCCTATTGAATTTGGTTGTATTATGTCGTATAATTAGCGAGTTATTAATTAATTAGTGATGGGACACAAGGTGTAACTATGGAGTAAGAGCGCTGTTTTGGGGATCCCCTAACTTTCAATCGATAAGTCTTCGGTCTCTGACCGATATTCTCGTTTTGGTTTTGTTAGCTTATATATATATATTTTAGATATGATTAGCTGGCCGACGGATCGCGTTAAATAACGAATCTTTTTCAAATAAGGCATAATTTCATGCGGTGAATTTTCCTAAAACGAATGGAGACATATCTGCAAGTGAAACAATTGCGAACATTCCACACATATCACATACCATGATGCATGGTTTGGTATACATGTTACATTTATATTTGTTACAAAAGTGAAATGGCCTTGGAATCATTAATAAATCGTATATGGCACTTCTGTTGCGGGTATCATAGCATGTCCAACATGTTAACAACAAATAAATTCGTTACAAAATGTATTTTAGATAGAACAGAGTTGAACTTTTGGACTAAATTAGAAAATCTGGCCGGATTCAAATTTGCCAAGCGGATTCTGTACGCCATCGCGCACAAAAACGAATTCCCTAGAGCCCACAGAAATTTTTGAAATAAATAAAATTAATACCTTTCTAGCAAAAATGCAGTCTTTGACCACTGAAAATTTCAGAGCAATTAGTCCAGTAGTGGAAGAGTCATTTCATAAGAATAGGATAAAGAATTCTAACAACAGCAATATTAAAACGATCCATATACCCATTGCGTGATCATCTAGCGGAAGGAATTTGTTGCGAAATTCGGGAAAGTCCAACAAGATAATTTAAGGATAACTACATTAGATACGCCAGGCGGTTTTATCGGAAGGTTAATACCCTTAGATGAAAGTTTCCCATGGTGAGGCAACTGCCGATTTCAACAGTTGAACATTGCGAATTTGAATACAAAATCAGATTTTTTTGTGTATGGAAATACACTTTTTGTTTTTTATATATTATACAACTACAGACAAATGATATTCATTCATGGCAATTCGACATGGCGATGATCTATGAACAGAAACTTTGTAGGTGATAGTTGTTTCCTGCAGGAATTTACTTTTTGAACCATTGCAATAGCAGCATTTTCATAATAGTTATACAAAACAGTAAAATTTATTATTGGTGGGGAAAGTCTCACCAGATTCCCTAAAACATTAACAATTTTATTTATATATTAGGTTTGTAAATTGGATCTAATTTGTGTTAATAATTCATAAAATATAGATATAAACCGGTTGATAGCTACATCTTCTGTATTGCCACTCGTGTTTACAATATATTTCAGAATTTGAATAAAAACTTCCACGATGAAGTAGTATAACTTCCGTTAAAATCAACTGACTAATATCCTTAAATCCATAGTGCTTCACACCTATATATAATAAATACTAAATATAGGAAGTAAGGACAGGAAAATGAAACTAGAGCCCAAATGTAAAATGATGTTGATCATTCTTAATATTGAAATTGTTCGCATATTAGGCACCACTAGTATTAAATTTCATCGACAATCGCCGGTCATTGTTATTTATATTATATATACCTTAATAACACTCTGTTTAGCGTAGTTCATAGCGGATAATAGAGTAGAAACGACCCGATTAGGTCAACAATATGGTTTCCGAGCAGCACCAGATCCGTTCACAGCGTCCGTGAAATCGTGAAAATCTATGGTCGTTATATTTTTATAAACTATTAGTTCTAAGGAAACAGGCCAGACAAACACAGGTAACACAGTAGAGCAAAGATATTGCTGAGCTTGTTTTAAATTTGAAATAATCCTTGACTCAACTAAAGTGTGTAAACAATTGTCGAATTATCATAAAAGAATTAACGGTTAAATCAGTGAAACAGAAGCGACAAGACTGTTGAATAACAAATTGATTCAATGCCAGTTTCATCAAAACTGAAATAAATACGGAAACTTTCAAGCATTTGTTGCCAAAGCTTTCAGTCATAGATACCGACTCAACTTAGAGATACGCGAGTCCAAACCAAGTGAGATAAATGAATGTCATAGCCACGGAAGCAATATTGACTATAAACCACACAAAATAAGTCGGAAGTCATGCAATATTCAATGCTTAGTTCGATTTGATTTCATACTATGCGATACTAGCTTTGTGGGATACGCTTCCTGAAATTATCAAAATAAAATTTGTGTCAAATGATGCCAATAACCATTAAATTACAGCGTACCTGCTTGCTTGCAATTCCTATTCTTGTCAGCCTTTATGTGCCGTAGTTGTGAAGATTTCATAGTTTTAATCTAGCTTTTGGATCATGCTTGTACATCGAATGGTCACTTGGTAATCTATTAGAACAGACTCCGCCTCTCTGTTGAGTAGCGCTTATCATGGGTAATTAGTCTAGGTATTTATCAACAAAATTAGGCAGACGCCGGCTGTCATTTTGGTGATAGAAAACAAACATACGCTCATCAGTGTGCTGATTTCCTGCTGCTGGGTTGTTGAGCAGCAGGGTTGTCCGTTTTCCGATAGCTCAGTTGAAACTTGTAAAAGTAATTTAAAACGAGCATAAGGCCAGCATAGATCAGGATGTATATATTTCTTTGTTGTGTGGTATATTTCATTTCATTAATGTCCATATCACAGAATAGGGTACCACACTTCTTCCAGTGAAACGCAAATCGAATAAGCGGCTTAGTCATATCACGAACCGGTTGCTCGACCACGAATTAAATGGAACAAACCATTTCATGCTCGCTTCATATAGTTAATAGGGCTACGTTAGTATAATAGGATACTATATTGCTGGATTACCTATATTGAAATAGCATTCTTCATAGAAAATTGAAAGGTGATATTGAACGCTGCTTTTGCGTTGGTGCTACATTTATCCTACGTCTGCGTATTAGGCGAGAAACTCTGTGTCAAGCGGAATAATTTCTTAGCCTCGGCTCATAGATGAGCCAAATAGTATATCACTTATATGTATAATATCTGATCTACGTTTTTGTTTAGTGCAGAAGTGCGGCAAAAATTTTTCTTTCGATATAGAGTAGGAGATCCTGGTAATCATTTTTGTCGCTGTCTTACCGATTTATAAATAGTTCCCAAATAACATTTCGTTCAGGTTAGGTAGTACAGTAATATATTCCTGTTCTGGATCCCATATTATGTATCGGAGTTTTTTTTTGGCAGTGTTGCACGACGACCTAGGGTATTTAACTTTGTTAGTTTTACTTGTAGGCCCAAAATATGCTGGTGTACAATGCAATATTATTATTTTAAAAAGCGAATTATTACACAATCGAAATATGAATAACTAAAATTGATGATATATTCTCTGCGAAAAATACATGATTTTTGGTCATAATTTACGTACAAGCAAAAAAAAAAAAACAGTCAATTCTGAAGTCAATTCACATGTTTTGTCTGAATGTATTTTAAATACGGCATTTTGTGATTGTACCATCACATCTGTGAACTTGAAAAGATCGTTGAATACCCTAACATTTGTTATAGGCTTTTAAAATAAGGAAAATTTGGAACTATTTTACAGTCTTGCAAATACGACACCGCCAGTGTTCAGGGCGAGGGCCAAAGGAACTTAGGGTTCATAGAGTTCATGCAATCCAACGGAAAACTGTCTTTACTCACCTAATTCGTTTGCTACAATTTCATTGGCTTATTTACAGAACTATGGTTGTTTTTGTTTGATCACTCTGAGGCGTAGTAATATCTTTAGTCAATATTATGTTGTGAAATGTGGGGTAGGGGGGTGTGCAACACATCGCTGCTTTTAAGTGGAACAATTCCTTTGACAAATATTTGAGTTGTGCTCTGTTTTCCGTGAGGCAGCAATAAAAATGACAAAACATGCCTTTCTGTGACTGTTATGGTCATTTTAGTAGGTAAAACTTTTGTAGAGATAATTTGATAATTCTGTCTTAAAATTGCTATAAACACAAATAAAAGGCTGAATTATTTACTTATTATCGTATTAAATTATATTTTCTTATTTAAAGTTTATGAACGCTGTTCAAATATATAAATATAAATATATAAGAGGGCGCTCTCGAATTATTTGTACCAAGATGACGCACAATCTGAACAACCCCACCCTGGTACATATACTATGTTCAGGTTGTGCGCCATCTTGGTACGAATATTACAGGAGAACCTATAGGAATATTGGTCATTGGCGGGCCGCACATATTTTTAGAAAGTTGATACAGATGATACTTTTTATAATAAAAATCAAGCAGTGATACATCTTTCGAATATAATTTAAATTTAGACCTTCTGAAGTATGCGCACCAAGATGGCGCACAACCTGAACTCAGGTTGTGTACAAGATTAGGGTTCAGATTGTGCGACATCTTGGTACGCATACTTCAGAAGTACCTAAATTTATTTCATTGCATTGGATCTCAAAAAATTCCAAAACAGCTGTTTTGTTACTATAACTCAGTGAAGCGTTGCGGGCCGGATTATATTACTCCGCGGGCCGCATCCGGCCGTGGGCCGTAGGTTGCCGACCCCTGCTATGAGAGATGTGGTTTCTACAACTTGTTCAGGATATTTAGTTGTCCCATGTTCGAGTGATTCACAGCTTATAGAACGCAACCTTTTGGTGTTTAACTGCTGAGACCGTCACATTTATGCCAATGCCTTTCAAAATGTTGTTTCGAGTTTTCACGTTCAACTATATTCTTCATTAGAAATACGCAGCTGGAAATTTCATTTTGATAAATTCAATAGAACGTTATATTTACTTCATTCCTATATTATTTGGTAAAACCACAGGAACATATGAAAAGGTTTTCAAGCGTTATTATATTTACTTTCGCTACTAGATGTATTCAGTAAAATTATGTGTAATTTTATTATGTTTATCTCCACAAGAGGATATGGAAAGATTTTCAAACTTTATTATATTTGCTCCTTACTCGTCGCTACTAGATGTATTCAGTAAAATTATATGAAATTTATTTACGTTTACTTCAAAGTGCACTTTTGTCAAATGAACGATCTGCCTTTAACAAAACTTAAAATGGTGTACCTTTTTACATTAAACATAAATTCGAAGTCTTCCTATAAAATAACTAAAGGTACAGAAAATTCTTACGAGTTATAACTTTCAAGGTTATTTTGACTCACGCCCAAACTGTGTTATGCGTTCAACGTTATGCAATATATATCATGCTATTTGTTTAGCATAATATATTATACGTTGTAAGAAGAACTCGTAATATCATCTGACATTTGATAGTTATTCCACAGGGAAAGAGTATTCCTGGAGTATGCGTAACAAGATGGCGGACACCGGAAAGGTTCGGCCATAATTTTAGGTACAAATGGCTAGTCCCCAAACTCGTAATAGTACTAAAATAGAGGAAATTCGAATAAAATTATGGCCTAACCCTAACCTGGTACACGCGCTACGTTCCGGTGTCCGCCATCTTGGTACGCATACTTCAGGAGCACCGGGAAAAGTACCAGTTTTATTTCAGTTGATAAATATGTACGGACGACGTTTGATCCATGTGATATCTTGAAATCGATATGATATCTTATTGTCGAAAGGTTTCTAGTCGATGCCAGACGACATAGCAACCATAGCGTTGTTTTCCACTCAAGCCACGTGGTTCATATCTGTAATTGTGGATCCCCTGTTAATGTAGGATTATGTATCTTATAAGTCTGAGTGATAAAATTTATCGCCACAGCATTTTAAGATGTATCTTAGAAAATTTTTAGTGAAAGAAGCCAAACGAGGAAAGGCTTTTTTGAAAGTGTAAAGTACCATTTAGTCTATTAGTCTATTATTGAACTTGTTAGAATATCTTGAAAGAAGCTGTTCATCGCTTAGCTTTGATCTGTGTTGCTTTGTTACTGTATCGTATTTTTATGGGCTTTCATTGAAGCATACGCTTTGTAATTGCCAGGCGTTGAAGCAACGTTTACTTTATTTCTTCGGATGTGGAGTATCCTTTATGAGGCTATGCTACTGCGTTCAAGTAACCATTGTTACTTGTTTTGTATAGTGTGAACCGAATAGGTTTCGATTAATTCCTGTAGCGTCAAATTTAGAGTTTGATGAATAGCATGATTGTGTGTGTGTGTGTGAGCTGTCATATATTTTTGTAATTTTGAAGGAGTCCACCATATGAAATGTAAAATTCAATATTGAAATTTCAATATTATTAATATATTGTGTCTACTATATGAATTATATACAGATTGTGCATAGTTATATTTTGATATGACTGGAGAGTCGACTTCAACATCTATCAAGCCTCGTGAAAAGTGGCGAAGTAAAGTTGACTTCTTTTTTGGGTTAGCTGGTGGATCAGTCGGACTTGGAAATGTATGGAGATTTCCATATCTTTGTTACAAAAATGGAGGAGGTAAATATCGGAACAATCTAAGAAATCGTTTCTACTGTCGAGACAAAAATTCTTTTTGTGTGTTAGCTTATACGCATTTCTGCTAATGAATTCATACTCAACCCTATAATGACAGCGCATGAACTTTAGGTACTTGCTAGAAACCATGGTAGAGAGTACTCATGATGACAGGTCTGCGGTTTTCGACATTGAATTGAAGAAATTCTTTCCTACTGATTAAACAGCGGAGCAGTTCTAAACGTATTTCAACACAGTTTGAAAAATCAACTAATTGATGGACCTCCTGAAGTATGCGCACCAAGATGGCGCACAACCTGAACTCAGGCTAGGGTTCAGGTTGTGCGACATCTTGGTGCGCATACTTCAGGAGTACCAAATTGATAGTGTGCTTGTGACGTATATATTTCACAAAAATATCAATGGAAACTTTAATCCTTCAATTAGTTGAAAATTTTAGACAACCAATTGCTATAAATCTTATACAGTCACTGACTTTGAATATTGGATTAAGTTAGGACAGGTTTTGCTTATTATTTTCAAAGACACCATTACTTGATAAAACGTGATAAACTTGATATAAATGTATGTTACATAAAAGGTAGCACTGGAACTAAAAAACCAGGTTCTTGGAAATATTATTCTTGAAACCATGTACATTTGCCACTTTGCTACATGGGAGATAAGTGAATAAGAAAAATTATCGGTACAATACATAGGCGATACATGGCAATATAATTCATTAATAGACCACGAGAGTTCTATACAAAACTAATTGGCATTCGTGGGGTTTGGTTTAGCTATGCAAAATCGTCTCTTGTAACCATCATCAGCTGTTTTAACATTTAATTTTGGTCGCGGGTAGAGCCGTTGTGGTGCAATAATTAAATTACAAACGTTATGTGAATATATGTATATCGATATATGGAAGTTTCTGCAATATTCCAATTAAGCGTGTGCCACAGGTAGACTAAGATTCGGGGAGTCCTCTGTATGCAAGTCATATATGAATGTTGATAAGTTTTATGATCATATTGCCTTGTTACCTCGACCAAAATCGGTTGAGCAACCACACATTTCGAATTTCCAATCCCCAAGTGTGTTGGTAAATACATGAATGTAAATTGAACTGAATGTCTTCACTTTCAACCCGAACACTGAATTAACATAAAGCTAAAACAATCAAATCTCTGATACAAGGTAAAATTGCATCCAATTCAATAAAACAACGTCAATCACTATGTCCTCTGGTTATCTGTTATTTCAATTCTGTTTTTTTTTTTTATAAATTTTCATACCAAACAAATTTTTTCTTTAGAACTTTTTATAGTCACAAGTTTGAAATCGAACCATTTTCGTGGTCAAGAACGAACTTAAAAATAAAGATCATACGTTCAAAATTCCGATTTTATTTGCCAGAATTTAGAAGCCACTTCAGTTATTGTTTGGAAATCTACGCCTCCTCCTTTTTATTTCTTTTCAAAATAATTTGTTTTCGATTTCATTTAGGTGCATTCCTCATTCCGTATTTAATATTTCTTCTGGTATCTGCTCTTCCAATTTTCTTCTTGGAGGTCACTCTTGGTCAATTTACAAGCAGGGGTGTAGCAAGAGCTTGGGAAATGGTACCAATTATGAAAGGTAATATGTTCAAAATAGTCTTAAAATAATCGGAGTGCACATAACTTTTTAATTCAAGTCTTTATTTTGCAGGTATTGGATATGCGTCAACAGTTATAATCGTCAATTTGAATACTTACTACATGACTGTTCTAGCGTGGGGTCTTAGATATATGGTTGCCAGCTTTTCTGCAACTCTACCATGGTCAACCTGCGACAATGAATGGAACACAGAAAACTGTTTTGATTTTGAGAATTGGAATAAGACTTCGAATTTGGGCAATCTTTCCACCACCCAAAGCCCATTGTACCCAACAGTAGAACCTGGCAACTGGATATCGACGACAGGAAATACAAGTAGCGGAAAAAATGAAAGTGTGCGCGTTTCTTCTGTCGTCGAGTTTTGGGAGTATGTTGGCTAGTGTGTCGAAGAAAGCAAATTTTTTTATTTGCTTTGCGAACAATGAAATAAAAATTTTAGGTTTTAAACTTGGTATTAGATACTGTACACATATAATTTTAGCTGCGTGTCAGACCATTACATTTGGTTTACATTTATTCTATTGTTTACACACTAAGCTTTTTTTGATAACATAACCAACTATTTGAATTTGACAAATTATACGCAAAAGAATTTTGAGTTGGAAATCTTCCTCGAGTAATTGCATTTTGGAATAATAGCCGTAGTAATAGTTCTTATAGATATTATTAAAATAATTTATCTGTTCCTTGTCAAATCTTTACCACTAACGTTAGTTTCATCAATTTTTCACTTAAACAGGAGGGGAGTACTTGGACTTTCAAGTGGAGTTCACGAATTGGGATCTGTTCAATGGGAACTATTGCTCTGCATGTTGGTCGGATGGATTGTTGTTTATTTCTGTATTTGGAGAGGCATCGCCTGGACAAGCAAAGTAAGAAAGGGGGTTATGTATTTTTTATTAATTAGTTCGGATTATTTAACTCCCGTGTCTCGAATCTCTTTTAAAATCTTGATCGATGTAACTCACTACGAATAACCATTTTTTCCTTAAAAATCAGGTGGTGTACTTCACCGCAACTTTTCCGCTTTTAATGCTGTTTATCCTGTTTGTTCGGGGGATAACACTGGACGGGGCAATCGACGGAATCGAATTTTATCTCAAACCAAACGCAACTAAACTGAAAGAACCACAGGTATGTCATATTTAACAAGTTTACGCTGACCTCTGTATAATATTGCTAATGATATTATTAACGAGGCGTGGTCATAGGGAAAGCAAAAACACAAAAGCAAGCACACGTACAAAAAAATAGAAAAATCTTCAATTCATAGAGTAGGTTTTTGATAATGAGGCCTTTTAGATTAAGTCGCAATATTTTTACAATATATTTTGTTTTTCATGGTTTTATCACCTGCAAATTTATATATAGATTTGCATGTATCGTTGTTATACATAATTCAATTGTAACTTGTAGCTACTGTATTTGTTCGAACTCATTTTGAGATTCATATTACAATTCTGACAATAAATTTCAGGTATGGGCAGATGCAGCAACTCAAGTCTTCTATTCCTATTCTTTGTGCAACGGAATTCTGGTGGCGCTTGGAAGCTATAACACTTATCATCATAATACTTACAGGTACGCAGAAACGTATCATTCTAAATATTATCTTTCATATTGTTTCAGAATGAGTTCAGCACTGGCAAGTACCAGTAAGAGAATTCAACAAAAAAGATATAAAAAAACATTTTCCACAGAATTCCTTGATACAACTTGTTTTAAAGGTCCCATTACTGTTTATTTTTTCAGAGATACGATATTGCTAGCCGTTCTCAACAGCGGAACCAGTTTCTTTTCAGGATTTGCTGTTTTCTCTGTTCTTGGGTATATGGCAAAAGAACAGGTACAAATCTTTTACTTATATATTTTAATACACACGTTTCAACAAGGGCGATCATAGACTACAGAATTAGAGAAAAGGCAGGGCTGTTACCAGGGCTGAAATATAAAATAATACTCAACCACACACTACTTACAAAACCCAAGAAGCCACAAACATAAACAGGTTTATACATCACAAGTCAAATTAGCACTGACGATCTTATTATATATACTTCTAGAATAAACATTTACTCTTTTAAACAAACTCTTTTAAAAAAGGATAATGTGCAAGCCCTATGTAATCATTTTCTCTTTTAAACGAGCGATCATTTATATTTTTATGCAGAACAATTCAATATTGCTCAACGGTAAAAAGTTTAAAAACTTATAATTATCAAAATAAAAAAACATTCGACGGTAACACATTATAAGTACATTGACGATATTCCATCCTCGATCACAAGCACTATTTGGAATGTAAAATTCTTGGTGGGGACGTTTGTGAAAATTGTTTGACATATATAACGCCCAGTATTAAATTTTATACAGTATTCATGAAAGCACACACTTTTTATATTTCATTGCATTACAGAATGTTAATATTGACTCTGTTGCGGAATCGGGTCCCGGATTGGTGTTTATTGCATACCCGAGAGCAATTTCTCTTTTGCCACTCCCGCAATTGTGGGGAGTTTTATTCTTCTTGATGTTATTTTTTCTGGGATTGGACAGTCAGGTGAATTAGTTTAATGAAAACTAAATATTTGTTTACTTTATATTGTGTGGTACTTTAATATGGAATGTATTTGACTGATCCCACATTATTATTGAGCTCTGAATGACTGCGAGATTTCAATAAACAGTAACGTTGATTCTATCAATCAACGTTACTGTTTATTTTGAATTTATTCATATTTCAATAAATCATTTCTTTAGATTTTAATGTTTCAATATTTGAATATTTCAAATGCAGATGTGAAATGATGCAATTTCATCGTTTCTTAAACTTCAGTTTGTAGGTCAAGAAAGCTTTATGACGTCATTAATAGATATGCGACCCAGGTTCTTTCAGAAGCCATGGAGAAGAGAAATGGTTGTCGCAGTTGTTTGTGGTGTACAATTCCTTATTGGAATACTAATGGTAACGCAAGTACGTTGTTTTCCAAATTTCTACACACTTATTTGGACTATAGATAGAGAATAGAATTGTTTGTGTAGGCTAACTATTTTATATATTGTTTAACCCCGTCTTCCAAATAGGATTGGGCAAACCATCACTAATGCATATACAGTTACAATGTTTTTAAAATATTTTCCAGCTATAGTTTTAGGGAATCCGATATTTTTTCATATATATCTGAATTCATATACTTTAATCACCCTCAATTTAATCTTTTCAGGGCGGAGTTTATATTTTCAATATGTATGACAATTATGCAGCCGCGGGATGGTGTCTCTTCTTTATCGGAATATGTGAATGCGTAACAATATCATGGCTTTTCGGAATCAACAAATATTGGGATCGAGTTATCCATATGCTTGGGTTCAAACCTCGGATTCCATGGTTTAAATGGTGCTGGGTGTTTGTGGCTCCAACTTCAACATTGGTAAGCATATCACTTTTTAAAATTTGATTGTGTTACTTTATTACTTGATTTTATCGTTTTATTGGTCACTCCATCTTACCGTGTTTTGCATTTAATATTTCCTCTGCTTTCCAGGCCGTTTTTCTTTATAGCTTGATCAAATACACACCACTGTCGTACAACAAAATCTACATTTATCCTTTATGGGCGCAATTCTTAGCTTGGTGTCTGGCTCTTTGTGCAATATTGTGGATCCCGGGATACGCAATATATGCAATATGGAATGCCAAAGGTAGTCTATCAGAGGTAAGAATTTTAGGCTTTGGTACATTGGTACATTGTTCATTTCAGTCGTATAGACTAGAGCAGGGGTCACCAACGCGTTGCCCGCGGGCACCAAGTCGCCCGTGAAGACCATATGAGTCGCCCGCAAGTCTGTTCCAAACTAAGCTTAATAACGGCGCTTAAAGGTAAGCTAAATTAATCAAATTTTGTCCTGCTATTCTTGCTTAAATCACATTTATATGGGAACTGGGAATGACACTATATTAATTGTTGTAACCATCAATCTGATTTTTATTAATGTTACGGGTCAGTTAACACTCTTCCAATTATGACATCACACTGATATTACGTTTCGCAAACCCGCGCTTTATCTTGTCCATTGGTTTGTGTAGCAGCAATAATACAATTATTGTTTCCTAAGAAAAATGGCGGAAAAACGATGAAAAACCCACCATTTTCACTATGATCGGGAGGTGGATATATTTTTACCACCATGAAAACAGCCTGCGTGTGTGTCTCATTTGTGGGGTGATTGTAGCGACGGCAAAGCGAAGAGATATTTCGCATCTTGTCACGCAATCTATCGCGCTAACTATCCGCTCACTGGTCAGCGCAGTACAGAAGGATAAAGTTCGCGATTCAAATCATACAGCAATCCTATTTTATGAGACCATTGTTTGGTTCAATCTCTCTTTGTGAATCAACATTTTTGACGTAAACTCAGCATAGGATGGGATTTACATATTTATTCCGGTGAGAAGATAGCTGATAAGACGGCTTAACCATATGGCGAACCACGTACTATCGTCCGGTGACTATTTCACGTCGGGTATGCCAGTTAATTATTTGTTTTCGGAAGCTTGGACTTGATAGCGAAGGAAGCCGTAACCGATCAGCGGTTACGTGAAACACCCAACGGCGGCGAGGAGTCCAGCACATCCTTCGCACATAACTATCCCCGCGTGGGATTCTAACCTTTAAATCACATTTATATGGGAACTGGGAATGACACTATATTAATTGTTGTAACCATCAACACCGCCGCGACTCACTCCACCAGGAACAAACACGGAACACGCCTCACTGATAAAAATCTGCAAAACACGCTCAGAGTTACAGTGTCAAGTTACACGTCGGAGTACAACACTCTGCAACATTTGATTGTACAACTGTTGAGTCCATTTTATCTTGGACTGTGCAGACTGTTCGTGAATAATCCAACTACATTGTGGTTTCCTATAGGGTATTATAGTAGTGATCACTTCAAAATCAATTTCAAAACACTCAGTTTTGAAATGCAAGTGTCATTGACAAAAATTTATTTGATATGTTGTGATATTCGTTCGATTTCCTGAAGAATCCTCCTAAAGTTTATCTGTGCTTCTACTTGACTAAATACCAGTAATTATCAATACTTGAAGCTTATTTGAGCAAAATGACTTTTTTTAGAAGTGTACATTAAACTGGTAGCCCGCAGCTTGATCTGCACCTAGAAAGTAGCCCTCGGCCTCGAAAAGGTTGGTGACCCCTGGACTAGAGTATAGACTCATAGAGTAATCGAAAATAAAAACCATTAAATGATGTTCAACGGTACAGAAAATAATACATACCCGATACAAACAGAACATACTTCTTGACATGTTAATCCATTATTTCGATACTAACACTTTACTTTCTACAATTGAAATATCCGACTAGCGCATCGTTCTTTGATTTTCGTGAAGATCAATTGTGACAAAATATCGACATTTTGAGCACAATTTATGTCTACTCAGTCATGTCCCTTCGTTGACTGTGTTAGGTCTCCATCAAACAATAATTTATAGTATTATTAATTATATATATAAATAAAAGATGTAAATTCTCGATTACTTTTCCAGCGTTGGAAAGCCGTAACAAAAATGCCAGCGGCAATTGAGAAACGACTCTACGGAATGGATCCCAAAGATGATATAGACGAGAAGCCGTCCCAAGCGGGTGAGAACCCTAACATAATACACAAACTTAACACGACAAAAGCAAAATTATTCCTCATTTAATTGTATGCATTGTTATCTCAGTATGAAACAAATGCTTAGAATAACTTTCTGTTAAAAGGCACCATTGGCGGCAGAGTTGATAATAGAAATGACACAAATCTAACGAGAATTAAACAAGTATATATCTTTTATTTCCATGGGTGGTGAATATTTCTCTTTTCGTGTTTATCAATGTATTGCTGTTTACCTAGGTGTACTTATCGATGACAATAACAAAGAAGACGAATGCGAAGTTCCAGAATATTCATCCATCAGACTTTAAATAATGATTTAAATGAAACAAATTCAAATCACCTCATATATTCATGATGAATCTGCCACAGTAATCATTACAGTTTACTGTGTAAATTAATGGTGAATCACCAGCATGACACTCAAAGATACAAAGTATATAATAATAAAAACAAGAATAATTGACGTGCAGTTCAATACCTAATTTTCTTATACACACTGAATCAATGAATTTGCTATGCTTTCCGATATGCATGTGCAAACCAGCTACGATACAATTAAAAATAAAGCAGTGAGCATTTTGTATTTGTGATAGAATAATTATTTTTGTAAGATTTAACTTATGAATACCTCCCATGCTGTTTACGACCTTAATTGTTTACAAACATATGGATATGTGTATATCAGATTGTAGTAAAATGCCTTTGTATATTGGAATAATTGCTCTCTGATCAAACAGGCTTTACAATGTGATAGCTAACTTCTATTCAAATCTTCACCTTTTATTTGAAAAATGAAGAATATTAATCTAATAACGTCTTCCTGATTGATACCTTCTCAACTTTCAGGTATCTTTTCTGAAAAACACATCTGACTATCCATGATCATAATGTCGCGTTGTATCGGAAATATTTTCAAATTTCCTACGTCAATACCCTTATTGTTGATCAAATAATTGTTTATTAGTTTGATATTGAAATTCTAGCATGTTTTGTTACAGAAACTCGACTGTTTCATCGAAGATAACTGTTAATTAGTAATTGTATCTGTGTAACTGAAGCCGTCGTTGATTTCCAATAAACTTATTTTTCAAGATCTTTATTGTGGTTATTTACAATTGTGTGATATTGGAAATCAATACTGCAGCGGAGAACAAGGCTTAATAAAATTACAAGCCTATACAATAATTAATTACTGGCTTCGAATTTTATTGGAATTCATTTCAAAAAGACACGAAAAAAACAGCACATCTTTAACACGATGTGACGGATAATATAACAACGCGACGTGTCTGTGGGTCGTCAGAAGAAGTCGCAATGCCAAACTGACATGGCATAGTAAGGGTTTGTCTTATGATATGGGTGGTTGGTATCACCTAATTTTTAAGCAAGTTTTATTTCAATAAATGATCTCGTGGACTGATTTTAGTATAAAAATCCCCGACTCGATGCAACGAAAGGGATGATTATTGTATTCTAATAGTTTAAAAGCGAAGCCTCATTTAGTAAAAATTCGAAGATTAATAAAAAAGCTTGTCCAACACAAACATCGTCTCAGCTTAGGGTCTAAGTCTCTAAGACATGGAAGAAAACATTGTCTAATAAAATAAAGTGGTGAAAAAATTTTTGGGATTCAATTCTCTTACCGATTTATATTGCGACAGTCCAGATTAATAATAGCAATTGGTGACGAGTAAAATTTGACACTTCACGAAAGAGCGTCTAGTTTCGCAGCAATATGAGTTAAGCTTCGATTATATATATACTTTCGATTCAGTATTTACAAGTTATGGTTCATATTAAGTACAACCAGCTATTAAGGCCTAGAAAAAATAAAACCATGCGACTGCTGCTGGTAGTTTTGCTATTTACTTTGCTCGTTGGAACTGGAAGTCAGGACCCAAATAAGTTTATGGTATGTAAAGAAATGGAGTCTGTTTTTAGCGACGAACACATTGCTGCATCTAATAGAAGAGGTGTGCAAGGACCTCCAGGGAAAAAGGGTCCTCCCGGAATAAAGGGTCAACGTGGACTTCCGGGTGTTGCTGGCCAATCAGATGAAGTGGACTACGATCGCGTAGAGCAAATCGTAAAATTTGCAATCAATTCAGGTTAATGTACAAAATATGAACATTGTATAGGCATATATACATACTTGTACATATATGTATGTCGCTTGTATTTATGCATATAAACGTTGAAATATATATATTTTGAATGTAACGATTATGAATGATATTTTTACCGAAGTTATATTATCATCATTATAAAACTGTTCACAGAATTAGATTCAATCACTGAACGTTTACGATCAATGGAAAGAAGAATAACAAACATTACTTCTTTACCAGAATGTGAGTAAGAGTGTGCTTTATATATATCTGCTAACGGAGCTCCCGAAGTATGTGCACCAAGATGGCACACAACTTAAACATAGTACGTGTACCAGGTTAGGGTTCAGGCTGTGCGCCATCTTGGTGCACATACTTCGGGAGCTAACGAACGTTTGGTTGAATTTTTCTCAAGGTGTGGTTGCTCCTATAGCTATTTGGGGACGCGACATAATTCTCATATAAGTATATTAAAATCAAGTGTTGACAGTCAGGATTCGAGAATTTTTGTTGGGAAGAATATTCTACTGAAATCATAATGAAAAGTTTTTGAGAAAACAATATCGACACAATAAAAAAAAATGAAACCACAATCTAACCTTTTCGCTCTGTACTATTAAAAATAATAATAGTTTAAAATAGAAATCTCATAAATTGATTTTTTTTTATTATGTGAGAAATTCATAGAAACCGTTTTTTTTTTCTCAGACTTACTGAGTGTATATTTTTATAGTGCAATGTGTTGCAATTAAAGGAATGATGTACGACGGAAAATGCTATTGGGTAAAAATAAGCTTTTCAAGGGATACCAACATCCCCGAAGCTAAACAGATTTGTGAGAGCAGTGACTCCAGATTGGCTGATGTTTACAGCAGAACACATTACGATAATCTAATGAAATATTTGAGAATGAAATTACCCGAAGGAAATTCTGAGATGTTTGTGTGGACTGGGATGCAGAGAAACTCGGTTTGTATCTCAACTTCTTTGTTTACTGCTGGTGAATGCCAAAAGTAACATGTTTTCCAAACAATGAATAAGTAAACCAAACGCTACATAATTTTCTTCTCCGATTCCCCTTTAAGTTAAAAAAAATATATTCAGTGGCAAAATAGTTTCTAAAACTCAATTGTCCGTCCGAATGTGCTACCAAATTCTGCCGCTCCCAAATACCATTTATTAGACAAATATTCAATAGAACTTCAAATAACCTTAACTAAGTAGTATATCGACGAAGCAAGATAATTGAATGTTTATTTTTCTAGGCAAGTCAAGCGACACTTTCAACTGGACAGTTGGCTCCTTACACAAAAGCAAGATCTGACAAAACGAAATGGGAAAATGCGGAAGCACGAAGAACACATGCATATTTACGCGTTTTACGTGACACTACGTCAACAGATCAAGGATTCGGGTCGATTTGGCCGTCATGGGAAGCCAATGGAGTGTTGTGTCAAACCCTTTAGTAGCATACCGAAGATTTTAAAAATATTCATTTTATTTTTGATGTAGCCTATTGTTTGTTCAATGTACATACCACAATCTCAGATATTTTAACTGACGCAAACTTTATTTCTTATTCATACAATACCGGCTAACTTGTATTTTGAATAAAAGTTCTATTGGCTTTACAGAGACAAATAACAAACTTTCAAAATATCTCCAGGACAATACAGTGACGTCACATAAGTTGAAATGATATCATTATTTTCATTTTAATATATATGATGAAAACATATTGTCATCTCATTTATTTCTATCATACTACAAATCTTTAGCGCTTGCTTAACTGTACTTTTATCACACACCCAAAAAATCCGAGCCCTTTAGCTAGTCAAACTGTGGTATCTAACCAATGTGTAAGGAACATACACTTTCTTTGATATACGGAGCAGTTTCTCAAGCAAAGTTGTAAAACACTCTATTAAAAACAGTACCATTCTGGTAGTTTCAATGATAAGACTTTAATTAGAAAGAAATTGTACAGTGACCATGGTCCGAACCCTGATAGCCATTGGCCAGCGTTCTTGGGTTAGAAAGCATCCAAAGTTTTTCGCTTTCACATTAATAAGGGGCAAAATTTATCTGTCATTTTGCAAAGTGCTCTCTCTTGTTTTTCAGTCCTATATCTACGTTTCCCTATATGCATTGTACCGCGTTAGTCTATTTAAACGCTAGAAACTTCTAAAATAAAACCATTGCTTGGCACCCAGTGTGCAATCAACGGACAGTCTGACGGAATGCCACGTGGTCTCTCAATATACTCAAAATCAGCCGAACTCGGGATAAAGTATCGGGTCTCAAAAGACTCACGAAAAATTGAAATGAAACTCGATTTTTCCCAAAAACAACAATCGCGCTAACAACAACAACAGCGCGACAACAGTAACTTAGCTAAACGATCCATATGTACTCTTCATGTCAACCTAATGTCATGCAAAATGAGAGGCAGTCAATCACAGTTATAGGTAATAAGTAGGTGCTAAAGTTTATTCGAAGACTAAAAATCTCTCTACTGCTGGATAAGTATTCATAAAATTATCAATATGTAAACGTCCGGGTATTTCTAAAGAACGATACTTCAGTCGCCTAAAATCCTAATCGTTATACGGCGGAAACTTCTGATAGGCATTTGTTGCATACGTGTACTGGTACAACTTACAGATAGGAATAAGAAATGAAGGTAGCGGTTCCATAGATAGTCAGTGGAATAAAATTCATGCAAATATATCAGTTGAATCAATACCCTGTCTGTGCTTGCCGTGATGGCAATTGCACGGAAAATTTAATAATAAAAATATATTGTTGTACTGTGAGATGCATTCGACCGTTTGATTCTACGTCATTGTTGGTTATTGCCTTGGTGATGAAGTCAAAAGTGTTGAGACGTAGTTTATTTCCTCAAGTCTAATTGTGAGAATAATAAGGTGCTATTTGAGGTTGTTGATTTTCGAATTTATATCCAGGTGGAGCAAGTGCGGTTGGATATGGCGGAGGATTCGTTGAGTATGCTGGCATCGGAACGGTTGACACTAAATTGTAATGCAAAATTAATAGATTTTCTAGAGAAAGTAAATCGAAGGCTATTAATATTTTTTTTTATGATTTAATAACTCAGTTTTTCATTTGGTACCTGAGTGATATATTTTTTGCAATTTGACTTAATTAACCCTATTTATTATTTTTTACTTCTTAATCTTTGTGACAGATAATGCTTAAAAGTGTATTACTTTTTGCGTGATCAAACTATAATTACATTTTGTTTAGAATATTTATACCTGATGGCTGATTTTGAAAGGTATATGTCTGTTGGGGTATGTTACTTTGATGCTTCTTGAAGCAACAATATCCAAACATGCAGATTGCTAACCAAATTAGCATAACGGCTACTGATGAACCGAGTGATATCCCAATCCAAGCCCAATAACTGTAAAATGAAGTTGGTAATAAAAATTTACGTTGAAAACTGTTCAACATGCCTAATTATTTTTTTGAAATACCCAGGATTTATTTGCATGATGTTTTATTTCGGTTCAGAACATTAAAAACATTTTATGTATATTTTGTTTTTCAACAGCTGAATGTCAAGCTCCATGTATTACTCGGAAGAATCACCTTAGTTTAAAATTGTGCTCTATAAGAATTTAAATTAAAACACTAATATTTTAAAATTAAGGGAATTTTATTGTGATATTGCCAAGAGTATATTATGTTATCTTCACTATCTCCTGTTTGCAATTACATATTTTGGTCAAATTTTATTTTCAATTTGGACAAGTATGCGCACCAAGATGGCGCACAACCTGAACTCAGGTTGTGTACCAGGTTAGGGTTCAGGTTATGCGAAATCTTGGTGCGCATACTTCAGGAGCACCTTCAATTTATACTTACTCGACTTTATTCACATGTGTCACACAGGAAGTAGAGACGCACATAAAAATAAAATGATTTTTTTTATTGCTATTTGTTTATATTGCAAACAATATGAGGATAATGGTAAGAGTACGAATTGTTTCAAGTTATACAGGGGTGTAAAAGTCTCCAATTACATAATCTAGTCTAATTCAATTATGTGCTACTATTGAGGTAGGAGAAGCTTTACTGTATTTTAATAACAAATTGGAAACCTTTCTACATCAGCGTTTGCTAATCGAAGAAGATTTCCACTTGCAGTATAATCATGTGTCAAAGTTAGGGTAACTTTAAACGTAATGTTGTGGATTGTAATTTATTTTGGTCTATTACAATTGAATTCGATTTTGTTCATCTTCCTGGTCACACAACATTCAAACTTAACAAAAGGTGTCACATATATACATTTGACATGGGGAAATAAATAACATAATATTGTATTACGTGCAAGGCAGCTGTCAACACAGAAAATCACAAATATCAGGATGCAAAAACTCTTCATTGTTCCCAATGCTGAACTACTTTTCTTCAGTTTTAATGAATACTAATCTAAAAAGATATACAATCTCTGAAATTGAAAATTTGTTTTCGTAGTTATTTTCAACTGTATTGTATCATCTAATCCGAATAGCAAAAATGTACCTATAAGCTTTATGTCTAACTGAAAGTAAGGTGAATACTTGCGTTTAAAATCGCTTAGAGTCCTTTTCTAAATTAGTTACTGCATTCTAGTATAACACATATAAGATGCAGACTGATTTCGCGTGTTATCTATTTCTGCCATTTAATAGTAGACTCAGTTTTAAGAATTAAAGTCTTAACAGCATTCTTGTTCTGTATGTTTTGAGAAATAATCTCTAAAACTTGGTAGCTTGACTAGAGTTATTTTTTGGCGGAACCAATTGTAAATATGCTCACAGTTATTGAGCAATTTAATTTACTAAAGTTTACATACATACTCTTCTAGGTATACTGACATCTACAAAATCCCAGACAAAATTTCTTTGCGATATCACAAACAATAAAACGACCACAAACGTTTCTAAAATAAACAATGGATTGAATTGTCTGTAAATTTTAAAATAGATATACACATACTTGAATTCTTTGTTTCATAATGAGCTATTGAGTAAGTATTCACACATCAGCTCATCTGAAAACTAGTTTGACAATAGGAACGTATAGGAATCGTGTGATTTATTATTTGGCCTTTTGTTTTCTTGGTATCGATATGGAATGCCAGCATTGTGGCGTTTCTAGGAAGTCCACCTTTGTCGTAAAACGTACCTACCTAGTTTCATCCCTACAAGACAATGCTGATCGACTACTATATTTCGTGTCATATTGAGGCATATAAATTCGACTGCGTATAATTTTTTTATTATCTATAATCGACTAAAGATTGGGAAACATTATCCTTGAAGTTTCATATACTAGGCATAGGCTTGTATTGTTGTACCAGGGGCATGGAGTAGGTTTATAATTTAAGCTAAGATAATTCAGGTGCTCATCTCCATTTCAGATCACACCAAACATAAGATAACAATGCTCAAATATATGGACACAAAAGCCAAAACGGAGTTGTACGGGTGTGCAATCTTTTATGGCAGACTACTGTACCACAGTCTTTACAGTCGTCACGAATGAGAACGTGGAACCGCCACAAGGTGCGAAATTTTTAATTTTGATTACGTCATCGTACACGAAAAACTGATCACATTGAGACCACAAGAATTTTTGAGAGAAGAGCGATTGTTTTGAAAAATAGAGAAGAAAAATACCAAGAAGAAGATGAACAACAGCATAATAACAGAACGATCCATAAGTCTATTTCGTGCCCAATAACCAAGAATCTCAGACCAAGCCTTTAGTTTAGATGAAATTACAGATGCGTTATTGCACGTGTAGAAGGTAAAATGCTCCGAGATAAATCTAACCTAAAAATTATCTGGATTGTCAGACCGGTTAGGAAAAAGATAAATCGGCTAAAGTTTCAGACCCAAGCATAGCTAACCTGGCTCAAAAATCTTGACCAGACTAAAATATCTCAGTTCTAAGAATAAATGATTAAATTAAACTATTCTGGGATTGTGTGCTAAAATAAAAGAAGTAAAATTTATTTGTTGAGTCACTCAATGATTTTAAAATAAGTTATCATACAATATAAAAATATAGTTTTCAAGTGTTTTTTGTTAGCACATTTTCCCGCATGTTTAGTTATTCTACATTAACGTATTTCATTTTGAATAGCCAATTAAAGAAGAACACTTTTAAAACGCCCTGTATCTTTTGTACGTATCAGATCAAAGTCTCCAGTTAAAAAAGGGAGAGAAATGCTAAAATATATGAACACGTAAGCCAAAACGAAGTATTATCAAATCTTTTACAATCGGATATTCTCACCACCAACCAGATCACTGAGATGTGATCACGGAACCACGGCACGCAATTCTTAGTTTTGGTTACGTCATTACACAAAATTTCGTAGTGAAAAACGGAATCTAATTGATTCTATTTTCTTGGTAGTGGCTCAAAATGTTCAAGTCCGACTCTTTTAAAAAGAGAGAAATGACTCTTCAGTGATATCGGTTAACATTGTTCTCTCTTTCTTCGTATATAGGAGGTTCTGAATTCGGAATATTATTGTTTTGGGGAAACATGTCTTTATATTTGGGCAGTGGTGGCCATTCGTTGTCCTGTAGGATGCCGACCGTCGGGATTTGTTGATTTTGATGATTTCGCTGCCCCGGCCCCACTGTATCAGTCTCTACATTGTACATGATTATTGTCGATGACGTACCCAAAACCGTAGTTCCGTTTGAATGACTACCAACTACATCTGTAAATGCAAGCATATATTACATCTATGGATGGCGTTTTTGAGAATTTTTAATGGTATTTTATTAATTTTACAATTAAAATCAAGCTATAAAATATGAAGGCAAAAAGTCCTAGAAGAACACTTTTGGACACTAAATAGCTATATAGATATTTTTGTCCCCTCGCTGTTGTTTTAGTCTTGTTATTGATGGGGAGAATTTTTGGTGACGAAATATTGCTTTTCTCTAGATTCTAGAACTAATAGACCATCCTATTTCAAATTTTCAGCACTCAAGAATTGAAATAGTACTAATATCCTTTCGTTGCTTCACATTTTTGCATGTTTCAATAATGTTGGCTCACCTGAAAAAGTTGGCGGTGGATCATTTTCTTGCGTTGAAGTATTAATTTCATTATCATTGCGGCATTTATGACATTTTCCTGCTCGGAACATAGCGACCGCAAAAGAAACCAAGGAAATTATTATCAGTGAAAAACCGAGAATTGAGAAAGCATATATGATCCTGAAATATAAAATAAAAGCTATGAGTTAAAATTAATCAACTTTCAAAAGTATTTTTGATATAGGAACTGAAATCAACTCCTTCCAACTCCCAAGCATAATAGTATGTATTCATATGAAAAGACATACAAATTTAATAGCACATTCAGAGCAGAGCATTGGGTTGCTGGTAAAGTTCTGAGCCAACTCTCATTTAGATTTAAGAACTTACAGAGCCTTCTTAAATTTATTGTAATCATGTCTGCAAAATTAACTACTTTTTCGTTAGTATTCAGAATAAATTTTACAATTTCCGGAGTAAACAAACTCCCGTAAATCTAAACTTGTTTATGAACGGCATACTCAAGAGATGCAAACACATGGTGTGTATTTAGCTCATCCCTTTGAATTTATGTGTCTTTAACAACAATTCAGTTTATGTAACTTAGAATCAGACATAGTTCTTAATAAGATAAGTTTCTTTTCTTACAACGAAGACTGTTAAGTACTTTTTTTACCGTGTGGAGTGGCTCGGTTTATCATCATGGCCATCATCGGAAGGGCTATCCGTATATTTCTCTTGGTCATGATGGTAGTCGCCACAACACTCGCCTTCTTGGCAACAGTGAGGAAGTTCCAAATCTTTCGCGAAATATCCCTTCACTCCAGTACAGTCATTGTCGGAATAGCACTGAAAGATTAGTTTCTGTTGTTACAAAAATATCATTCTATCTCTTTAGTGTTTATGAGTTTCTGTCCTAAGTAAACCGTTTTTAGTAGTTACAAATGCAAGCTCCGCTTTAGATAATATCTTCTATTACCACCAATGAATCTAGAGCTTGCAACTCTTCTGGTGGAAATCTACTCACATTCGGGTGGAAGACCTTGCTTTGGGAAAACTTACAAAAGTTTTATACCTATCACTAAGTTTTATAGAAAATAAATTCTGCTCCCACTTTTTATTGTTTCGCTTATGTGAATGAGATGCAATTTATTTATTTAAAAGTCTTATATGCATGAGCTCAAACTCATATGTTGTATAGCAATCCAAAGGTAAATTAAAATATTGTATTTTATATTATTTAGTGAGAAATATTGTCCTAACTCTTGTTACTTATTGATCTTGATTGGTAAGTATGTTGATAGGTATTTTTCCGTTTGTCTGTTTGTTTGTTTGTCTTTTAGACACTTTCGTATGTTACGCGATATCTCACGAAAGCAAGGTTTAATCTGCTCTTGCATGTGCATTTATTATATTTTGGACCAGAAGCGTATTGACTTTGGATGGATTAGTCGTATAATTAGCGATTTATTAATCAATTAGTGATGGGACACGCGGTTTCGCTATTGAGTCAGAGCGAAGGAATCGAAACCGCAGATCGATAAGTCGGCGGTCTCTGATCGCTATCTAGTTTTTCCATTTGCTAAATATTTTGGGATACAAGCTAGCTTATAATGATAGGTGCAAAAGCAAAATGGCTGTTCAAAAAGAGTTTTGCGCGAGTAAAATATGTCACACTCTTTCAAGAAACAATACTGTTGATTAAATAAGAATAACTAGCCTGTTGATTAGCAGATGCATCCCAGGCTTTCAAAATATCACACCCATACTTGAAACTGATACTTAACACTCTTATGATTTTAAAATACCTTCGTGTTCCATGGATAATGGTTTGTCTCTGAGCAACAAATTCCGTTTCTGCAACAAACTAATTTTGAATAAACGACGTTTTGTTTCGTGCAATCTGCGTCTGATAGGCATTCAATTCTTTGTTGCGAAGAGTCTATAATAACATAAAAAGTGTGATCGTACTATAAATACGTGAAAATATAATGTAACACTTTCAAATATAAACATGAAATCATATGCCATCAAAATATTCTCTTAAGTTATCTTTTATGATATCTTCTTAACTTTTTAAAATCACTGAATCTGTATCTAATAATTGCATAATAATTGTGCTGTATTTGCTAACGCCCTCAATAGTGGCGCCATAGTGTTGTGTTTACAGTAGCTGTCTCTTTATTTTACTTAATTAAAAAAAGTTTTTCGAGCAGTTTCTGTACATTCTTACCTTTTGAATGACAAAAATTCATCAAACAGGCCAATAAAAGCAAAAAATATTCCATCATAAAGCATCCTTATTTATCTACACCTTGAAAAATCCTAACACTTTCATAGTAAAGCTTACTGGTACAGTCTACGAATATCATTTCCAAACTATACATCATTGAACGGATTTTCTCCACATGTTTAATTTTTCAACATTAATGTATTTCATTTTGGATGGCCCACCACAGCAAGATACTTTCAAACGCTCTGTATCTTTGGTCCTTGTCTGATAAAATATAAATATTTAATTAAATATAACATCTTATAAAAGAGTATCGTATTACTGATTATATTGTAAACGTTTCTGTAGCGAGCGATAGCTCTCTTTGTTAATGTGTAACATTACGAAATATATTTGTGGGATTCTATTGTTTCCACTTTTTCAATTTTCAATCGGAATCACATATAAACTGTTAAGACGAATGTAATGCAAAAATATGACAAATTTATATTAGATTCCAAATCAAAATTTTTGTCAATTCTAGCTCAATAGTTTTTTCTTGTAACTTCAATTTTCTTATCCATTAAGAAAGACTTCAGCGGCTTGAGTGACATAACTCTTGATATCTGTCTCATGCTCTCAAAATTACAAGTTGTTTTCAAAATGTTTACGCCGCGGATCGGAAAAAATCATAGGACATGACCGACAACGAAATATTAAAATGATTAGAAAATAAATATTTCATGATAAAAATATATTGCATGGAAGTATCATGAAAGAAGTAAATAGCAATTTTAGACGAGAACATTTTATTTTAATACTTGACGAAAATTTTACTGATGTAAGATATGACAGTTGTCAATTACCATATGTATTGAAAGTAAATTGAAAAAGGTTATCATTATATTTTTTTGTTCTTCAATAGGCCAGACGGTGTTTATTGTTTAACAGACGAACCGTGTGAATAACAATGTTTGAACACTTCTCCGATTCGGAAAACTGTGCCCATACTGCTAGTATTCCAACAGTAACATTGGGAACCACGGTCTATTTTGCGCTATATAGGTATATTCAACAACTGACAATCTGATGTATAGGTGTCTGACATACATCAAAATATGAAAACAATACCAAAATTAATATTAAATATCCACTGGGACCAACGAAAAAAAATATGCGGGCCGACGATTGAGAACCCCTGGCCGAAACCATAATAATCCATTGCTATACCCGGTTGATAGAGTCACACACAGCCTTGGAAAATTAGCAATGTGAAAAAAATATATATTGGTTAATCACATTCAAAGTATTGGCGTGACTAAAAATGGTAATTGAAAAAATAATAGAAGAATAGCAAAAATTAAAGATGATCAGATAGTAATAATCACTTTAGTCAGGGTACATGAGTCGCACAGTGACCAGCCTACAATAGCATTTGATATCGCAACAAAAATCATTCAAGGAGAAACAATCTCTTGACTTCAAGGTCTCTTGCCTGATTCCAACTGTGCCTAATTCATTGTTGTTCTTCTTTTATTCATATTTGATGATGGTAGTTGCATTATGTCGTATTGCCAAACTAGCACATTGCAACATTGCAACAAGGGGCGACTACCTGGTATTTAACTCACCGTATACTGAAAATGTTTTAGGCCCACTGAATATCTTTCGAAAAGCTACACAAAAATGTTGACATTATTTGTCCATGTTGACGAATATTTGGAATATTTAATGCCTCCGTTAGTACGGATCAACTTTATAAATTTGTCTAATATATTTGATTATCAAGGGCCGATATCACAAAGGTGTTAAAATATCAATAGAAACAATTAAACTTTAATTCAAGTGATGATATTCAAAATTTTAGGAACCGGTTCCTTGTTGTATCGAACTCGCTCACAACAGGTTCCCTAACTTCAGAAAATGTAACGTAAGCTACATTACACGCTTCACATTAATCTAAATAACTTTAAAACTGTGTCGTATTCTAACTTGGTCTCACTTTACTGTTATCACTGATATCCTTCCCATGATCTTCCGTATGATTCCAGAAAACTTGTTTTATTGCGTTCGGAAGTTGGCGACGTGTTACCTTCAATGACGTCGGTTGAATATTCACCCCCAAGGAAAAAAAAATCAGATTGTTGTTGCTGATATCTACATCGAGATATCTAGATTCCCATATACATAAGGATTGGATTTGAATACTAAAATACATTTTGATTTATACCGTGGAGAGACGGTTAGTATTTGTTTTAGTTATTTTTATTAAGCATTCTCGCAAACATATATCCCGATGTGTGGGTAGTCACGCTTTCTAGAAGCAACGGAATAATTGAATTATCCAGCGTGGGGCAGTGAGGCTAATGTGATTTGTAAAGCAAATGTGCATATCTTCTATTAATTATGTAAATGCGAATAGTATCTAAGTTTTCAATTGCCAATTAGCGCTTTGCTTCCTTCCAATCTAGTTTTTATTGCCAAGCGCGTGATACTTGTTTAGGGCGACCCAATAAATAGAACCCATAATTCTGAAACACTTTTACAAAGAAAATTTATTAAATTTTGTTCATGACTCTAGCCAGAAAATTCAGTACCATAGGGCGCTTTGCACTAAAGCTATTTTCTCACTACAAAATGTTTGAAATAATCTCCTGGGAGATGGAGACCGGCTTACTTCCGCAGCGCAAAATTATCAATCAATCACTTGGTTTTCTGCCAAAGCGCACTTTCTCCTGTTTGAACATAGTCAATAGCAAAAATAGCAGAGGACCTTTGTCGAACCCTTGGAACAGCTCCATCAAACCCCAGGGGTTAGATCGAACCCAGGTTGATAAACACTGGCTCAAACAGTGATTACGGAAGTTCATGTGACAGAGCTTAAGTTCTGGACATCACTCCAACGATGTAGAGGAAACCACAATTTTTTTATTTTTTTATTAAAAAATGTACCCTATCAAACGTTTGTTAAATTTCATTTGCTTTATGAGTTTATTTTTTTGTTTTACGTAATACAAAACTAGACTGCATTGCAATTTATATCGGAAATAGTACCAACGTTAGCATATATTAGGTGGCGCTGTAGTGCCATCTTTTCAAATCTCGACAAACACTTGAGTTAATATACTATTGCGTGATTGCTTATCCCTCATTTTTGTCGCTGTTGTCGTATGTGATGCGCCTTCATTAATTTCGGAAACCGCGATGAAATTTAGTACAAAGTTAACGGTAAGTAAATATTTTTATATTTGACATAAAGATGATGGAATTAAGGGCGTTATAATTTTTTCCTCTTTTGAGCTATAATAATATATGATGAAAATATTTATATCACTCCCTAGTAAGATCACCAAGAGGAGATTTATTTTGGGAAAATAATCAAAAAACTAAATAAATCCGAAGTCCTCAAACTCGCAAGGATAATACAAGTACTGCCATACATTTATATATATGTATAATTGGAAGTTAACGTTAAATAGTATTTGATTCATATTTTCAGGTAGCATTTGTTGTCATTGCCTCCATTTCAACCTTTTGCGTATCAAAAGAAGTCGCCCCCAGAGCTCCAGGTATTATTATGGGGGGATATTATACGCGACAAATAATTTTACCATGTTTTTTTTAGTATTATACTTTTCGGAATAAAGAGGTAATTTTTACGTGTTTTATTTTGGTTTAACATTGGAACATTGCCTCTATTCTATGTGGATTGATAATGTAAAATGTTGACTATATTTGTGGAATTGTTTGATACAATACAGAAATATACGCCAAGTTTGTGTGGAGTTACACCCATTTATTTGGTCATAAATCGGACATATATGCCACTGTTATTTGTTATTAAAAATATCAGATGTCGTCGTTCGGACCGTAATCGATGTAAAAAATCTCTGTGTTTGAATGCCAATGACTTGCTATAACAACGCTATCATCCCCGCATGTGCATGGTAGTGTATGCGCTAATTCAATAATCATTAACTTGTTTTTCATTCATTCACCTCATTTCGTTTCCTCCATTTACATTTCGTAAGCTTTCTAAATATTTACTTTATGCTGTTCAAATACTTATTTAAAATGCTGTCTTTGCATCCCGCCATTCAATTTTTTTCTGTTTTACACGAGTGACGTTATAAACGTCTGAACATATTTCAATTACGCATTGAATGGTCAGTTCACAAAAAAATTGTACAACCGCCAATCAAGATATATCATACTAATTATAACACTCTTCTCAATTTGAATCAAGGTACAGTCCTGTCTTAGGTTTGGTTATTTTTTTTCTTGAGATTAGTACTGTTTTGTTAATAATTGATTTTCTTTCGGAATTGAATTCAAATAGTTTTCTTAGCGTCGGAACGGTTTTGGTTTATAATGTGAGTTTTTTAAAATTTTTGCTTTACAATTTTATCGATTCTCAAGTTACTTGGAGTGTGGAGGATTTAAACATAAATTGATTCTCATAATTAAAAGTTTATCTCATATACAATAATAATCGTCACCATTTTCAATCAAATAAAAAAAGGCTTTAAAGTCCAACACACTTCATTCGGAAATGATAAACTTACAAATCTCAATATTTTCTCTCTCTCTCTCTCTCTCTCTCTTTCTCCGTTAATAAGACCTTCCGCAAGGCACGTAACAGATGATAAAAAACACCAGATATTACAGGATATATACTCCGTCGATTAGAAGCAATGTGATAGAATTATGGATTAGCTATAGTATATACTGTACAAGGTGTCCCAAAATAAATAAATACGATTACCAATTTTGTGGGTTTCATTTATTTTTGGACACCCCATATATACATAATAAACTTTTGTACTTACACTTTGTTCTCTTGCAAAATAGGGGATGGAAATTACTTTTGCATGGGAGAATGTGAAGTGGAACGAACGCGATGTAGTTGTTCAAGTAATTGTAAAGTGAATCGAAGTTGTTGCACTGATTATGTTGAGTCATGTGAAGGTATGTCAGCATGTTTTATAGGATATCATAAGAAACGGTAAATTGGACCACTGTGGTAAACGTTAAAATACGCCATATCATCATACCGCTGTGAGAGATGATAATATATGAGAGGATGTTTAAAAGCATTTAACCACACGAAGCATTTAGGTTAGGAGTTTTATTGTTACCCCGGGAAAATGAAAGGCAATAAGACGGCTAAATCATATGGAATACTAATGCATCCCATTAGGTTACCAGTCCATGTCAAGTATTGGGTTAGTTAGCTATTAATTTTTTTTTTTCATATGGAATACCACTGCATCCCACTAGGTTGCCAGTCCTTGTCAAGTATCGGATTAGTTAACTATAGTTATTTATTTTTATATGGAATACCACTGCATCCCACTAGATTACCAGTCCATGTCAATTATGGGATTAGTTAATTTAACTATAGGTATTTATTTTCATATGGAATACCACTGCATCCCACTAGGTTGCCAGTCCTTGTCAAGTATGGGATTAGTTAACTATAGTTATTTATTTTTATATGGAATACCACTGCATCCCACTAGATTACCAGTCATTGTCAAGTATGGGATTAGTTAACTATAGTTATTTATTTTTATATGAAATACCACTGCATCCCACTATATTACCAGTCCATGTCAAGTATGGGATTAGTTATTTAACTATAGTTATTTATTTTTATATGGAATACCACTGCATCCCACTAGGTTACCAGTTCCTGTCAAGTATGGGATTAGTTAGCTAGTTATTTGTTTTCAGTTGCATGGACTTGATGGTGGGGGGAACCCTAACCGACCAGCGGTTATGTGAACCACTGGTGAGATTATCACAGGCAAATGAATATTTGTCGGACTAGAAACGGCAATATGCCATGGAGTTTGGTGGCCTCGTTGACACACTTCTAAATAAACATAAAAATATAGAGAAATTTACCCTAAATAATATGTTTTATTTCATAAATTTTGGTACAGGTGGGAGTTCGTGGACGGAAACAGAATGCACTGCATCTCAAGATATGCGATGTCCTGAAGGGTAATTGATTATTTTTATTTAATGTAAGCGTCAATGAATAGGACAGTAACATAAATAACAACATATCTGTTCACAGCCATGCTAAAAATATAACCTTCATGTTTTACTCATTGGTTTGATAGATGAGTAGGACAAATACTAACGTGTATGGTGACCACTCCCCCGTGTTGAATATCCAATTCAAGCATATTCAAAATCTTTTGATATTTCAACAAACTTAGTTGAGTTGAATCATCAAATATGAGTGAATATTGGCAGTGGTAGATTTTATTTTCTTCATCGTTACAACCTAGTAAAAATACAGTAAATCATGTTGAAAAAAGTTAATATACCATTTAATTCTTCAGATTCTCTAATCCGGTTCCTGTTATTTTACTTTCCATTGATGGCTTCCGAGATATTTACCTCCAGCGAAATCTAAGTCCGACAATATCAAAATTAGGTGAGATTATTCGAACAAATATTGTTGAAAAAAATGTGGCTGTTCTAAAATAACCTTCAATTCAAATTAGGTGAAATTATTCAAACAAAATATTGTTGAAAAAAATGTGGCTGTTTGTGTGTGTTTCTCGATTTGGTTATTTTTTCAACAATTACAGATTTTTATTTACTTCGCATACTTAATGAACGAATAACATAATTTTGATTTTCCATTGTTATAAAACGACAGAAATTGATTTTATTTTGACCCGGTATAATGACCCCATCTGGAACATATTCTCTTTTTCTGAACTTTGAGGCTCCTGTTAAAAATTTTGATAGTAAAAATAGCTTAAATTATCCACTTATAAATATGATTAAAAACGTGTTAAATAATTTTTTACGAGAAAATTTTAGTGTGCAACCAAATACTTTTCTTCTATTTTTAATGTATTACCTATTTGACTGACTATTTCTAATCTCAAAGACATCATCAAACCGCCTTCACTAATCATTAAAGAAAGGCATTAAACATCGTACGTTAAGTACAAAATGACTAACTAGTGCATGATGCACACATTATTTATGATATACTCAGTTAAATAATAATAGATTAATAAATTTATTTAATTTTTATTTACAGCAAACTGTGGAGTCAGTGTTCCGTATATGACTCCTGTGTATCCAACAAAAACATTCCCGAATCATTATACAATTGTAACTGTAAGTGCGCAAATATATATATATATATTTCCATAGATTTCAGGTTCAATAAAATCTAGAAATATTTCGAGTTACAAAAATGCATTTGTATAATATCGTGTTTGTTAGAAGTGATTTGATAAAAAATTAATTTTTATCACAGGGACTCTATCCCGAAAGTCATGGAATCATCGCAAACAGGATGTACAATCATAATTTCGAAGAAGAGTTCCGTCTTGGTGCTGTTTCTTCGTTCAATCCAGATTGGTGGCGTGGGGAACCGGTATAAAGCCTTTTTTATATATTTTATTTTGTGTTCGAATTATATTGAAACGATTTTTATAAGTGTTAAATCCGGTATACATTTAATTACCATAGCCATTTATACAACGATTGATTGCGGTTTACCTCGTTCATATTGTGCCTAATATTCAGAACGAATTGCTACCCGGCTCCCCTATACTGTTTTTCCCTGATTTTGAATTATTTTATGGAATATATTTTGTTTAGATATGGGTCTCAGCTAGTAATCAGGGACTAAAAACTGCCGCTTACTTCTGGCCCGGAAGTGACGTCAACATTACAAGATATCCTGATTATTATTATCAGTATGACGGCTCAGTTGACAATGAAGAGAGAGTATACCAAGTTCTTGATTGGTTAGATCTACCTGAAATAGAGAGGTGAATATCGGTGGTTGGATGTCTGAATATCATATAAACCCGTATTTCATGATTTGATTGATTTTGGTAGAGTTAATGATTATATGAGTAGTTTTTGATTATCAGATTTTGAATGATAAGATTTTATTAAAATTGAAAATAAAATTCAGCAACTCGAAGTAACATAATATCACCGTTCTTTACGAGGGCGCCTGATACTTTTAAGGTTCAAGAGATATTATATAATGATACTATGATGAGGGCAGACCAAAACGTCTGAAATTCTTAATTTTATGCTTTTGAAATATGTTTTGTGTCATTTTGTGAATCCGGATCCTCGGTTAGAGTCTTCTTAACTTTAACCGAATGTTTGATATTAGCAGAAAAATGAGTTCTGTGAAATTTTATATACGGTATATAGTTCAAACTTTCAACTTTTTTTACCAAAGAAAAATAATGTTTCAGACCGTCTTTAATTGTGTTGTACACCGATATTGTGGATTCAGCTGGCCATACCACTGGACCAGAAAGTAACCTCGTCGATCAAAAGTTGAAAGAAGTTGACGAAATGGTTGAAATGATAATGAATGGACTCAGAGACAGAGGACTCGATACTTGTGTTAATTTCATGATAACATCGGATCATGGTAATTGTTTATTCATAATAGGATAGATTAGGATTTACATATTTATCCCAGGGGAGGGAATAGCCGATAAGACGGCTCAATCATATGGCAAACCACGACCTTCCCATCCGGTTACCAGTCCATGTCGGGTTTGGGATTAGTTTATAATTCAGGTATTTGTTTTCGGATGCATGGACTTGATGATGGAGAAAACCGTAACCGACCGGATAATCAGAGGTGCGGTGGCAAATATATTCCTAATGTATTCCTAATATATTTCCTAATTGATTTAAAATGTTATCGAGTCGCCATACAACTAGTAAGTAGGTCAATTGAAAATCATTTATTTATATGAAAGTCATAAAGTCCCTTCACAATTTCATTTTGTTATGAAGTTGTTGTTTTTCAACGAGTAATTGTTTAGACATTTATACTTCATTTAATACATCTGTGAGGGCCAAAACAATATATGGTATCGATAAATTCCGATTGCAATTTTAGAAAAATAAAAATTTTATGTACTTACTTCTATGATTGACTTAATAAATCAATAAATATTACATCATAACTAGTTACTACAAAAAATATGATATTTACACTATGATAAGTATGAAGAAAAAGTTCAGTAAGTCTTATCTTATCGTTACACTATAATCAATGCTTATTTTGAGTATTGTTGTCTCAGGAATGGCTTCTGTTGATTGCGATAATCAAGTAAAATATCTAGAAGATTACGGAATAAATATGACTGAAGTATATTTTGATGGAGGTCCATATGGTAGAGTTGGAAAGAGTAAAGATAAATTACTCTGGGATAAATTTGACGCCACAGAAGTTAAAAAGAAGTTGGAATGCAAACAAAGCGAAACGCATTGGGAGGTACGTTTGATAAAATTGCAGTAAATACATCATTGTGTTTCATCAGTTTCCAAGTTTTCATATTTCTCAAAGTTTTAAATCATCACAGAGCGTGCTTTAAGTTAATTAAGACCAGCAAGCCACCGACAGAAAGAAAGGTAGTTCTGACTTCTGGGAGATTTTTTTTAAAGAATTTAATTAAATAAAGTCTGTCATACAATATCCATATGCTACCTGAGAATGTAAAATGTAGTTTAATGTAAATCGAACTTTAATAACGACTCTATCATAGCAATAACTGTTTAACATTGTAAAAACAATGTTTCTAATTTTTGGTTATAAATTGTAACATTGAGCACAAATATAGCCTATACAATTTATTACATATCAGTGGAACAATGCGTCTGGTTTGAATGAGTAATCATTAGCTGGTGTAGGCATTCCAAATGCTGGTATGTTAGGGCCGTATGCCGTATTTCACGGAAAACATAAGAAAATCGATGAAACAATTCATTTTTAGGCGTTCCTGAAATACGAATATCTTCCAAAACGATATCATTATGTCACAGACCCATCGATTGAGGATGTCCATCTTGTTGTTGACGACGAGTGGTGGTTGGGCGGGTAAGGATTCAATTTTTAGATATGTTTCGAAGTTTGGATATGCTGTTAGAATCGAGACAAATTTTGTCCCGAACTCGGCATCTATCTCACTAAACATTTATTTGAAGTTAAATGAATATACTTTTATATAGTACATACAAATTAATCTTTTGATTTATATCATTTAAATTTTCCATTTCATTTTTTCAACAGAGAAAGACCATATTATTGTGATCTAGGGGGTCACGGATATGATGAAACTTATCCTGATATGAGAGTGAGATGAATAGGATTCATTCATATAGTATTTAGTTATAAATAACTTTATTGTTAGATATACAAATAGAGTTTATGTAAGCGGCAGAATCCCTAACGGGGAAACCTAATTTTCGTGAACAGTTTTAGGTTTGATAGAAAGGGAATCTTCAATTCCCATGTTCGTATTTTTCTATATAATACTGTGAAACCTCTTTTAACTTAATATTATTTTTGTACACATCTTAGTATTATGTCTGAGCTGTATTATAAATCTGGTTTCAAATTTTTTTGTAGGCCTTCTTTACAGGACATGGTATGAAACTGAAGAGAAACTACGTACGAGATAAACCTTTTCAAAACATCGAGTTATACAATTTATTCGCGGGTATTAGTACACTTTTTATCATTTCTGTATTATAACGACTGCATGACAGAGTAACACTGATACACAGATATCAATATTGTACTTGTTCGAAAATTTCTGAGTTGATACAGCAAAGTTTACGATAAGTTTTATTAATACAAAGCGATATATAATTCAGAGTTTTTAGCTTTTTCGGTCTTTAGGCGGACACCCGAGCAGATTAAAACTGTACACAAAAAAATCATCGATCTAAAACTACACTGTTAGCCAAAAGATAAAAATATCCAAATCAAATAAATTCCACAAAATGAGTTATTTATATAAACATTTCTATTCATGTATTAATATTTAACTAGAACTACTGGGTATTGAGCCTGCTGAAAACAATGGAACACAAGGAAGCGTTTATGATTTACTGGTAACACCTCCATCTGTGCAGAATGAAGGGGAAGGGATGCAGTCTTCCACTTGTCCTTACTCGGGAGATGTGAGTGAGGAGGATTTGGGATGCACTCCGTGTGGAGTAAGGAAGATCACTTCATAACATTCATTGTATACGATGTATCATTTGCTATTTACAATTTCAAGGAGACGTGTTGTCTTATTCGAGCGTTATCTTCCACTTCCGGGTAGCTATTTTTGTCGCTGGTGCAGTCGGAGGGGCATTATGTTTGATGGTTGATATGTATATTCATAGTAAAAACTACAGTACATTAACAAACAATTAAAATTACTTTAGGAGTTTCTTAGTTTAATTTTAAATTTATTCTGTCTTGAGCTCACCAAATTCCAAAGAACAATTTGCTCTCTGTTCTTTATTGATATAAAAAGAAAATAAACGACTTGTTCGCAATAGCTAGGGATGTGTAACTACGACGTAATTTACACCGTGTGTTTCTTCCAGGGAATTTCGGATACCGAAGCAAATCAGAGGCTCAACCTCGATGAGGCACAAGGTAATAACTTAAATGCTATTGAGAAAAATATCGAATAGTGTTACAAAACTAATTAGGCGCACTATAAAATGAAAAGTTTCATTTGTTGTGAATCATATGTGATGTCCTAAAGCAGTGGTTCTCGACCTGTGGTATGCGTACCACTAGTCTAGTGGAACGAGTGAGCTATTCAAGTCGTACCCGAGGTTTTATTCATTGCAACAATTAACTTTTGATTTGGCTAAAATAAGCCGTCAACGCCCTTTTTTTTATATCTCCTATGCTGTATGTATTCGCTGGACGGCGTTTATAGCGCTACCAGTCCTTTTTAGAGATCGCCGTGTTACGTCACAAAGGATGTTGTACCACGTAAAATAGCCCGTCCCATAGCGCGTTTGTTGTGTCATTGTTCCCCACCCCAATAGAGGTCTTCGTCGACGGTAGGCGGCCAAGGTAAAAAAACAGTACCCGATCAGTAAAAGATGAAATCAACTGTTCTAAACTTATCAGAATTATAAGGATATACGAAAGGATATACACGAAATCGAATTCTTTTCATTTTTAGCCAATCAATATAATGCTCAAAATATGCTTTATGGACAACCGCGTTTGTTTGACGAAGATAGTGAATTCTGTGTATTGACTCAGAGAAATTATGTTACCACATATGACAACTTGCTCAAAATGCCACGTCTGGTGTCTTTCGTCTTGAGTCCGGGGAATAATTGGGTAAGATCATTTGCGGCATGTTTACTATTACAACACGTTTAGATTTTTTGATAAAATAATAGTTCTTTCACCTGGCTTTTTATATTTTACCATTTGCAAATACCGCCAATGACTGGTCGAGGTGTGTTTAAACAGTGCTAATAATAGTATTCTCGTACTTAAAGCATAGTTAATTTTATTTAAAGAAAACAATGCTGAGCAAGTGTTCGCGACCTGACGTTCGGATTGATTTAAATGCCACTACCCCATGTTCGCAATATGAAGAAACTAATGACGATCTAACGTGGACTTACTTGTACTATCCAGGTACAACTCAGCACTATTATTATTTCAATATATTACTTCACGATTTTTAAATGGGATGTTGTTTTTGTAAAAAATTAAGACGACAGATAAGGTACTATATTTTGTGACCTGACTGGTTTTGCTCATTTTAGTTAATTTATTTATTTATATTGTATTAGTGTCGTGTGCACGTGTTTGCGGAGTCGCAGCTGTTGTTTCGACTAAAATATTGCCCAATGAGTCAAATTTGACTATTTATGCTCGACTCCGACTACCGTTGTCCACGACACTGAATCATGTGATTCTCTTTTCTGGACTGCTGTTAAGATCGGACGGGTTTTTGTTGCTCTGTGTTACCGTATGTTACTGTTCAAATCCGTGCATTTTGCTGGGGGTGACAGCACATTTGCATCTAAGTACATTTGCACCCGTAAACTGCACCCACCGACAATCGCACCCATGTACATTTGCACTCACGAACATTTGCACCAATGGACTTTTGTACCCATATATATTTGCACCCATGAACATTTGCATCCACGAACTTTTGTACCCACGTACGTTCGCACACATATACATTTGTACATACGGTCATTTCCAGCCTACGGGTGTACGGGTGCGAATGTACGTGGATGCAAAGATAATGCAACCTTGTCCTTCACTGTCGTCATCATATTATCGAATTATTGTATGGATTTTCAGCGCACAAAATCTCCTGTGTGTTTTACGAACTTGGCCATCACATTTATTCGTGAACCCGCTGGAATTGGATTGCGAAAAGTTTTCATTTACCAAAAATTTATCATACCAAAGGTCTGCAACGGTCTCGCCGTATCATGTTCAGTTGGCGGCACTAATTGCTTAGCATATATATAATTTACTGGCAAGTAACAATATAACTAATATAGCATGACTATTCATATTTACTATTTTACTAAGGTTTATCTGAAGAAGAGCCAATATCTGATACAACTATTACTTCGAATACAGCTCCTGCGTATGATTCGTTTGTTGAAAGTGAGTATTTTTTGAACAAAATAGCAATACTCAAATATACGGACAACGATGCGATACCGTACATTCGAGCCTCGCTGGATTAGCACATACAGGGTTGTTGAAATTGTCGAAAAATATCCGCACGGTGGCGGTTGTTTATTATCCAAACAAATCAATTGTGGCAAAATATCAATCCACAAGAAGACCATGGAATATCGAAAATGTAATAATACTAGTCTTCTAATAGACGCACACACCTCTTACTGATACTGAAATTTCAGAAGTTCAGTAAAATGGGAGAAGCACAGAATCCAACAAACCTGGTTTTGAATAAGAGGCCAACGATCATACCCACATTTAAAACTGTAAAAACCCTAATTTTGTCATATTTTTCCACGAATCAGAAGTCATCCGGCAGTAGGTTACAGCATAATAATGTCAGAGCAAACACACTAATGAACGAAGCGGGGAACAGTGGATCGTTTGCATAAATTGTTGTTGTTTTGCAATGATTGTTGTTATTGTTAGAAGAAAACGCTATTTTCGCAAATAATGTATCCAATTAATTTCAAATTCAATACTTGAAAACGAAAAAATTGCTAGGAGGCAAATATTTTATCATATACTACTCTGTGGAACGCGGTATTTTGCCGTTTTATTTTAAATTACGATAACACTTTTCATGAAATACAGGAACGCTGAATTCCGCTCACGCCACAGACCAGGCATTGCCATAACGGTGCTGATTCGCCACCTTTGTTCTCATATATTTGAATATTCTTCACTCATTCTAAAAGCAACCAGTCGTAGGCTACTTAAATCTTGTCTTAAAATAAAATTTCTCTTTACAGTATGGGAGTACATGTCAATGACATTGAATAATTGGGCAAATCTTTACAATGGTATAACTGTTGACGTTGGGCCAATTTTTGATTATGACTCCAACGGCATTGCTGATTCGCAAAATATGAGGAAAAGGTAATGCACTTTTAAATACATTGCTCTATGAAGCGTATTTCGTTCTTAGATGTTTTCCATGTCTTGTCAATTCAAATTGGTACAAAACAGTCTAGTCTGCAAATACAAATAAATCCTTTCAGCTTTTAAACAAATAGCTATAAAAACAGCTAAGATCTATGGAACTAATGAGTTGAACTTTCAAATATGTTGATTTGAGTTTAATTACTTTATATCGGCAATGTACCTACGAATATATATTTTGCAAGGCGAGGTGGCAATCAGCTATCGCAATCTTTTCGTAGACCCTATAAATGTCTCCACCAACAAACTGGCGTTTTATAACTAAATTTGACGTGTAGTAAATGAATACGTCGTATTGCCTATTCCTAACTTTGCCCTTCGAATTGAAGTTTTTGTTTTATACAGCAATGGAAGTTTTACGGTAGATGACGACAGTGAGTCGACTCCCATTCCGACCCATTTTTTCCTAGTCATGACAAGATGCAAAGATTATAATGGTGATCGAAGTATTCAAGATTGCGCTGGAAACATTGATAATATAGATGTATTGAATTTTATCATACCCAATTATAAAGAACCTCAATGTTACCAGGTGAGATTAATATTTAAAAACAAATACCAAAGAAACCGCTCAACTTGAGAGTACTTAAAATGAATATCAGTCTATAAACTCTAAGATCTTCAAAAACAAATTATACTAACACAATTTAAATTTAGGAAGGAACTTCACAAAAAGATTGGATTCCAAAACTGCTCCACAGACATGTTGCAAGGATTAAAGATGTCGAGCTTTTAACAAAAATCTCATTTTTCTCAAAACAAGTTTCTAGTCCAACTGCTAATACTGATAGTCACCTCTCTGCTATAAGAACAAAAATGCACATTCCTCAGATGGCAGACGACTGGGTTCAAGATTTTTTATCGGGAGTAACTCCAACCAGCAAACCATTCATATCAACAACGAGTGGATTTCCAAGATTTGTGTCCAATGTTTATATTTTATTGCTCTGTAAGATATTCATTGCTGTCAGTAACGTAGTGCTTCTGTGATTGATAGTTTTCTAATTTTTTATTTGTTTGTGCCAATAATTTTTTACATACTTGATTAATTGAGAACAATTTTACTTTTACCTATATTCAGTTTGTACGTCTGATTTTAAAAATAGTAAATTGGTTGTATTAGAGTAGCTATTTAGTTGGGATCATAGTTGTGCCTTCACTCGATTCGTAACCGTGCAGTATGCGGAAATACATATGCCAGAAAGATCCGAGTTGTGCAAAAATCCCAACCCAAGTTTGTCGAATCAAATATTTGTATGCATTTTACATAAATTAATTATATATTCAGGAAAATAATGAAATTTTGGAGAATTTGTGACTATGCAACCATTAGAAAGTGGCATATAGTCGTTACAAATAGTTAAAAATATTAAATTTACAAACAGATACTTTTCGACATTAAAAATCATGCAACTTTTAACATTCGTGAAGCTTCGAAACAACTTCAGAATAGGACCGGCAACCATTTACTTCAAATTAAACAATAAGACCGATCGAGTACGTTTACATGATTGCCAGCACCAAACGTCTCAAAATTAAAGTTTTGCAGTTACTAACCATCTCTGTGTACATATTTCTTGAAAATACCATCGAAATGATTTCTAAATTGTTTCAGCCCTTTGTCCTCAATTTTAACGGCTCTATATTGTGTTTTATTAATTTATCCAAATAAAAGCACATTTCGTTGTAAATCGTGTTGTTTTTTAAGTGATGTTGTAGTTTTACGACTTAGTGCACCTGTTTGATCTGGGACAACAGGTGCTATACTTAATCGGAAGTGGAGTTATTTCGACTATAATGTATTTTGAATAATGGTCAAGTTGCAATATCAGTGCAATAATTTATTGCTTTGTCATTCTCGAAATTTCATAATGGTCACAGTTACGAAAAGGTGGCATGATTTACATATTCGGACACCAGAATGAAACTATTGTATTAAATACAATATTATTTGATATTAGAACGTTTGCGGCTGTTGGGTGATTATCCCCTGCCGAGGCTTCACTCGACCCAAGGTACAGCAAGTGAACGATAAAACGATAAATTTACTGCAAATATAGGGCTTAAATTCGCAAAAAATAAATTAGGTGCAGCTCGGTAACAGAGCATAAAATAGATTTGCTTTATGTTACGAGTTTGTTTAGATGCAATTATTTTCCATACAGAAAATTGCAAGAAACTCTGAATCTAAGTAACAATAAAATCTAGTACGCGAAACCTCAGCACTTCATATGTCGTGACTTGAATCTCAAAAGGAAATCAATTATCTGTGTGCAATAACTATTAAGATTTTAACTTTTTATACCCGGCAATTAAATGCAATTTAGACGGATTAAGCATCTAAATAACAGATGAGTATACACTTGTTGAAAACTAGAGCAATTTCAAATTGAATTTCAAATTCAATGTTTGTGGAAAGAAGTACAGGAAAATTAGTTTAAATCTGGGTGTGATAACTATATCCTGATAAGCGAAAGCAAATTTGAGCATATTTGAAAGTATGACAAACTTCTATAAAAATAGTATTCTTTACATGTTATTTTTGCATACAAATCTAATTGTAGCTAAATTATCGAGATGACTTTACCACTTGATAAAAGTTGTAATTACACATATAATTATTAGTTAATTAAAGTTAAGATTACATCATAGTTTCGGCTCTCCACCATTCATTCATTTACCAGTTTGAATTTGAATAAAGTTAGAACTATGTGTAATTTATGTGCTGTATAGATATAAGATATATAGATATATGATGAGTTCGATCGCGGATGGTTTATCCAAATCGAAAAAGATCATAACTTATATTCCATTGTTTGAGTTTGAGCGTATGGCGTCTCCATATAAAGAAAAATATCATAATAAGCATTATACCATACAGGCGCCTGGAGCTTAGCCTAGCTAGGATATTTTACCGCCATAAAGACGTTTTGAAAGAATGATTTAGTGGCAGAAATAATGCAATAGTCTTTATCAAGTTGAGAATCCCAGTTTTATTTAAGATTCAGGATGAGTTTAGTATTTCAGTCATCATTTGATATGTTTACTCTAAAGGAAACCATTGTTTCTTGAACATACTTTCTCTCGTCTTTTTGTTTTCATGTACAGTGAGCGATACACGAACTCAAGTATAAGATAAAATCTGAGACAACACACCCATTCTACGTAATTCCCGATGGTTCATTGGTACTACACGAACCTTTTTATCTTATGTAAACGTTATACAATGCACAGAACAATTAACCACAATCTTTAATGTCTTAAGCCACAAATGCGCAAGCACCTACAGCACGCGCATTAGTGATGTTTTCGTGGGACGTTATTTATTTTATTAAGGTGAATATTGTTGCGATTTATTTATGATGGCGTATACTTTTTGAAGGGTATTGTCAATCGTGGTTAATCAATAAAGCGCTTGCGCCATTAGCAAATTACGTAAATGAGCGAGTTTATACAGAGAGCAAGAGTGTATGAGTGTCGTGAATTTACAAGGGTTTATCAGTTCATTTTATCATCGGATAGAATCAGGGCTCAGACGAGTTGATCCACCACAAACGTTTCATCTGAGCCTGTAACGCTCTGATCAATTGGGCAGAATCCACAGTATTGGGCAGCTTAGCACAGACAAAATGAAATATCAGCGTGAGGTTGGTCATTCGTTTTGAAGATTGGCGGTAGTATATGTACCAGGTTAGGAATATCCGATTTTCCTTATTTTAGTCCTATTACGAGTTTGGGGAATGTATGTGTTAGCCAAGTTAATATACTCCCTGCCCATAGGTTTCAGTCCCTTCTCACAATTTGATGTAAAATAGGCGAACAAAATTAGTTACTTTCATATTAGTACAGCTACTTTTGAAGCGCCGATTTGGGACTCTAATGATCTCATCTCAGTCACTATTAGCTAGTCAGAAATTTTGAGTTAGTTTGTGGCATTTGCACGACAAACACTAGAAAATAAAATTATATCTTTTATAGTATACAAATGACCGAATGATTCAAATTTTTATTCATCGACGACGACGAGAGCAATCAATGAATATTTCTGACAATTTACAATACCATAACGCAGCACAAATTATGAAACGGGTTTAGGGATCTCTGAGGGGAAGTACGAAAAAAAAAGCCCAACTTTTCCTAATTATTCATGTGGTGACTCTGTCTTAATTTAAAGTTTTTAGCTCTTGTCATTTTCTAAGAACTTTCTCCATTGTATTTGCTGTGAATTTATTGTTACAACATTTTTACAAGACACAATACTGTTATAACAAAAACATTTCAGTTGAGTATGTCGTATCAGAAAATAGTTTTGTACTTAATTAAGTGAAACCAAAAAAAATATTTTTATTTTACTTCATTGACAACTGGAATATTTACCAACTTATCATGCTTTAATGACGCACAATACAAAATATCTATTTTCAAATATTCTGTAAGAACTGAAGTCGAGAGATTTGAATTTTGATAACGCAAACGATTGGTCGCAATTTAACTAAGCATTACGTCAACTTTTTTTAAACTAAAGAGAAAATACATTCAACTCCTTATATACCTTTGAAGGATAATTGAATTTGATTTTTAAAGTGGTTCTCATTATTTTACCGCTACTGAAAGTTTAATCATAATTACATGGTATGGGCAGTAAGTTGGTTGAAAATTAGGTTACGTCATACTTTTTTGGAATTGGAAAATAAATGATTTATCCCTATCGACAAGACAATGAATGTATGACTATTACGTGATGGTAAGGAATAATAGAATTCTATTTTATCCGTCATGCATGTCCAAAGTCTAGCTTGTGGACATAGAGAGTGAAATCATCAATATATAAACAGCCAATTTTACTAAAAAAGTTTCAATTCACTATTCTAATTTTCATTATTCCTAATAAGTTGTATAACAAAATCATTTTAAAAGCGGTACTTTATCAGAATGAAATAATGTATTCAGTATAGGACAAGCTCTGTGAGAAACCGTAACGTTGATTTACAGACAAATTGACCCAGCTGAGCTATACCCGGTTATATAATGTAACTTAAATAATAAACTGTCTATTGTGTAATTCACTTAGTTGTTTATCACTTTGCTAATTGTTCGGCTATTGTTTATTTTTTCGTAGATTAACACCGATTATTGACGATGTTTTACACTACATGTTTCGGAGATCAAAGAGTGTAGCTAGCGTATGGTAACCATGCTTTGCGTTGATAGGTCGTGCCCTGGGGCTGATCAAATCACAACAGCGTCATTGGGTTTTACAAAACGAGAGAAATCGTCGGTGGACAGATAGAAAGACATATGATGATGTATATAGTATGATGTTGTTGTTTTCATTCATTCGGAAATATATCTCTTCTGTGATCTTGTGTAAGACTTGGCAAAAACAACTTGCCGTGATAATGGTTTTGAAAAGTTTATGGAACGAGGAATTTTAATCAATTGAATTATATAAATTTTATATTTTTTACATCAAACTATTGGTATAGCAAAGTAGAAAGGAGGCAGCCGCGTTATGAGTTCCGTAAAGACATAATATGAATATATATTGTGATATTATCACAGACAGATTATAGTTAATTGTGAGACTATTTGAGACTACACTATATACTACTATAACCCTAATATATATATATATATATATGATTTTACAGAAAGTATTGATATATTTTGAGTATTTTAAGAAACCATGAAAAACAAACATACTGCTTCTCGAGCTAAATCGCTTCCAGCAGACCCAAGAATTAGAAACAAGGAACGAAAACTAAAAGGCAGAGTATCATTCAGTTCACGTCCGCCTATAAAAATCGAGTTTGACTCCGATGCTACTGAATATAATGCGTCACCGATTCCAAAAGAACAATTGTTTACGTACAAATGTGAACAATTTAGGAATGAAAAGAAAGAGTCGCGCTGTTACACGAAGAATAAAGACCACCTGCTTGTAGAAATACCAAAAAAAGTTGAAAGAGATTGCTCAAACGATCTTGATTCAGTAAACGAAATGTTGATGGACATTTTAGAGGAAATTGAAGTTGAAAATATCACCATTGAAGATTGTTTAAGAGATGCGGTTTATCTTCAAATTTTAGAAGAGGAAGATGCAAAAGATGTCATCCCTACATTCACAGTGGAAAAATATAATTTCACCTATGAGAATGATAATAATAACAACAATAAAGCTAGTATAAACTCGGATAAAGAAAGTGAAAACTCAACCCAAATTGACAAACTTTTGGATATATTCTCTGCTTTGCCAACTAAAGATTTGGCAAAATGTTGTAAATACACTCTGGGAAAACTTTGTCAATTAACGAGTTACGAAGATTATGAACACATTCAAAAGATAGCTGCCAGTGTGTGCGAATCTTTTCGCGATTCTCCTGTTCCTTCTATCGTTAGTGAAATCTCACACGAACGATCACGGAACTGGAGCAATGACTCCTACGACGGTTCGTTTTTCACCGATTCGTCTAATGATACAAATTATTTGTCGAGTGGAAGTTCCGAAAATTTTGAATATTTATCTTCAGAATCAGAAAGAGATTTCAAAATAGATGCAAAATGCTTAGAAATTCCAAACGAACATAGCGTAAATACAGTAAAAGACATCTTGCCCGTTCTTGTCGAAGAAGGTATTTTGCAGCCTCGCCAAGTCTGGGGAATTTTAGAATTACCAGATCAAAATGAAATGTTGAAACGGTTAATAAAAGAGATGTCCAATTCAACAGGATCAGCAAAACTTGAAAAGGTTGTTAACACATTTTCTTTTCCAAACATTAAAAATATAATCGCATGCTCGAGGATTTCTGAAGATTCCGATTCATCAACAAATGACAGTGATTATGGAAGCAATAGCAGCGAAAATGAAACCTCATCATGTGGTAAAACCAACTCAAAAAAGACTTCACTTTCTAACTTGAAAGTATCGAAAAGATTCGGTCTAAATAAAACTAAAACAACACGCCCATTTACGATATCTTCAGAGTGGAAACAGCGTGAAAGAAATAATCCGATAACGTCAACACCGGAAAAGACAGAAGAAATTATCATAACAAAGCATGGTAAGTAGAAGTTTTAAACTTACAATATATAATAACACGTGAACATTTTTCAACCTTTCTGAATTTTGAATAATTTTTGTTTCAAATATTTTGTATTTAACATCCCTTTAAAACCAAACAAAGGTTAAATTGAAAATAGATATTTAAAAGTAAGGTTAAATTTGTTTAGAAAATTCCCAACAGATGGTATTGACCATACGCGGATGTTTCTACACAGGTGATATTCTGCATGCGTCATATTAATCCAGCTTTCGAATGTCGTCATGGAATTTACTAGAAATAAGATTTTCATAACAGAACAGTTGCGCGGTTATGAAATAATTACAAAATGAAAGTCACTTCATGGAATAAATTTTAGGCTGAAATATGACAAAACAGAAAGCTAGTTCAGCACCGGAGTCCTATAGAAAACGTTTGTATACATCACGTCAATAAATTATAATCGAATAATTCAATAGTGAAATTTATATAAAAATTAAACGCGGATTGTAAAGCTATTAATCACAGAATAAAAAGAATGGCTTATGTTATATTTTATGATTAGGGAAAATGACACAGTTTTAGTGATAAGTTTGAACATTTTTGGTATCACTAATATTCTGTTCAGCCCCATGTCGTCTTACGTTTTTAATTTTAGGAAATATAAACGAACATGGGTTTCAACGAATTAATAGCTCTAATCTTGATCAAACAAACTTTTTAGAGTGCGTCTTCCTGGGGACAAAACAATATTATCCGATTCTAGGTAATAGCTCGGCTTCCATTTGAAATCGAATAGGATAATGCGTCTAAATACCATATAATTACTCTGTCTAAATTTCCTAGGACGGGAAAGCATAATCATTTCGCATATTTTTTGATTTACGATATATGATTTCCACGTTAAAAAAAACAAGCACGAGCAGTATTTTGTAGCTTCTATACTTCTGTATTTTAGATATTATTTTATGCAGAAAAATTTTAATTTGACATAATCTTTTGCAATCTTCACAACCCTGCCAAAAAGCAATTATCGTATTATTTTCCGGTGCTCAATACCAAATTATCGGTTAGGATATCGTGTTGATTATATGACACCCTTAGATAATATAGCTCGTTATGATGCCAGAATGCTGAATAAAAACATTTAACTTGACTTGCTGCCAACAACAATACACGCAATATTTTTAGGTCGATCACGAATCAGATATTTAAAAAAATAGGATTTGATAAATCAGTCTAAAGTGTGTTAAATTCCATAATTTGGTCAAATAAAAATAAATGACCATTCTAGGGATTTCATCAATGTTTGTGATTCTGAAATAGCGTATCAGTATATTTATTACATAAAAATAAATGTTTCAAAATAAAAATTAAGCAAAAAGTATTTCATTTAGCTTTATGATATTTGTAGCAAAAATTGTGACATGTCAAGAGCTAATAAAATAGTCCTGTACCAAAAACTCGATATTTTAAATCGTAGACTGATGTGTTTATACTTCCTGAAATTACACCCAGCTAAAACGATTTTCGAATTAAGATACGACGATATACTGTAACATAGTAGCCGTTTGAAACATTATAAGATAATCGCCACATATAACCATATTAGTTTTAAGTTACCTTTTACGAAACAGCATCAGAATATCAAATAGACCACACACAATAAGTACTATGAAAGGTTAAAATCCTGCGATGCAACAGAATTTATGTAATACATATTGGATAGATATAGATTATGAATCGCGGATTATAATGTTTATCGAATACCAACATTAATACAGAAAAATAAATTTGAACATGGTTGTTTATTTAGACTTTTATTACTCAACTTGTTTTATTTAAAAAGGAAATTGGATTTTTCACGAACACTGAATCGACGCATGTTTCAGTTGTTAAATAATCAAAATCTAGATTATAATCTGAGAAAATACATTGAAATAAGTTTCACCAAACTGTATCGAGAATTGAAATCATAGTTTGGATCCATCAACATATTCTACGTCACGTATTTCAATCCAAAAATCGAGTTTATTTATTTATGGCTCAGATTCGATTTTACAGTTATTGGCTAAATCATATACTTGTATTTTATGGCATGCACCGGTTGTGGATAAATTTTACAGTTTGTTAATGAGTTTTTGTCGTCTTTATAATTCAATATTTACAGTTTAAAAACGCAACGTGAGTTCAATATCGTGGTCAAATTCCTATTAATAACTTTATAAGCTAACAAAATATAAATTTTTAATATTCACTCAAACTTATGCACGTTTAATAATAGAAAACTTTATGATATAATTTATACATATTATAATATTATAAACAAACTTGAGTCATTAACTTTAAATCATTATTCAAATGTTTTATCCAATGTTTATACCAATTAAAGTGGACAGTTTTATACAGTTGGATTATCTATTATATATCACGAAAAAGAATTGTGTCGCTCTCTGGATTAAAAATAAACCTAAAAATTAAATTTTTTTTTTATAAATGAGTTTGTTAGTCCATATGGTTGCAGTTCCCAATGAGTACTTACATTATTTCTTGAAGAGTCTTATTTATGAAAGTATGCTAGTGCAATTCCAAAGCATTGTGTTTTTTGAAACGGTTAATTATTAAACAAAAATAACCCTCTAAGCATCAAAAATATCATAATTAACAAACTATTAAATATATTGATCTGTGTGTCATAAATTTCTCAATGACCTGATATTACCTGATATTATTTTAAAATGTAGTTAACATGTTTGTTTATTAAGTCCGTTTTATAATTAAGTTTTTCGAGACAAAATTAACAAACAATAAATTTATTTTAAAATGAATTCAATGATCTACCTTTGACTAAATCTTATTGCTGTAGTTATGGAATGCACTGGCTCGGGATAAATTTACCGATTTAAAAGATCAAAATAAATATAAGAAGCTGTAAAAACACTCAATCCAAATATTTGTAGTTTAAAATAGTTCACATTTATTTATATAGAATGTACTCTATCTAATCTATCTGAACATATTCAGTTTTGGATTATCTACCAGTTATTTTGTGACTATTACATACGCTATGTTCAAATTTGTTCAATAGTTTCCCAAAATATTAAATATGTTTTTATCTTGTTCTTGCCCTTTTTCACTAAATTTAGTCTTTTTTCATTTTTATAACAGAACATGGCTGTCCCGAAACTTGGTGTCACGTCAACAACCTACTCGCGTCAACAGCATCAGTTCTCAGGCATCATGGGTATCTTACAGAGGAAGAAATCTCAAATATTACTGAACTCGATATGAATAAATTTTCCGAATTATCATGGCCCGAAAAAGTCAAGTTATGGATCGCAATAGAGGGTTTAAAATTAGATAAAATGTATATTGAATGTCGCAGAAAATTGACATCATATTCGAAAACATTTGAAAATTTTCCGGTAACACACTGCTGAAGGAGGCAACTCGATAACGAATCCTCATAAAGACGAAGAATATTTTACTAAACGGCAACTTTCCCGAAATGTAGTCAACTCAATCATTATGGTATTTTTAAAGAACATATTTTTATCTATTACTTTGCAAGACAACATGCTGCTATAATATAATTGGAGCTGTATTTTATTAGAATTCAGTGTTAAAAGTAATACAATTTTAGGTTATATATATTAGTCGTATTCCTTATATATAAACATTGTAAAAACAAAATAAAACCACAGAACAAAGAGGAACTAATATTCAGCCCTTGGCCTTGCTTAATTATTTCAATGCGATTATTGATAAATACTGCCAAAAAATTGCTTTTACTCATATTACATGTCCACTTTTTGTTCGATATCTTGGAAAAAACGCCTGCAATTTTACAAAAGCATTTCGTTTATTTTTTGAAATATTAAAAAAAAATTGAATTCTTAAAAACACAAATGTACAGTTTGTGTACACAAATGTACAGATATATATATATTTTATGAAAAATTTACTTTTTTGCTTTTGCTTTTCTATTAATACTTGTAATTCTATTAATCGACTGAAAAGATACTGAGATATTTGAAAAATGCAATTTGCATGTATTTTCAATTTATTCTAAATAAACTCGATTTTTTTGTAATGATGACGCGTGTCTTGCATCTTATATAGGTCGCCAGTAACCTTTTATTACCTGGCCTAATTAAGTGAGGTTGTAATGTCAAGTCTGTAAGTTCAACTTAACGGCATACTCGCTTTGTATTTATAGCACTACTAATTTCTACTTGACATGCTAATTTAAATGATTTGTTTCGATGATTATGGTACTTAATTATTATGTGAGGTTTCAAGGCTTCTTGTAACTCATAATTATCGCACCTGTAGCGTGCAAATACCGTCGCCAGAAATTATCCGAAGTTGTCAAAGTTTGTAGAATTTAGGCAGACCAATGCGAGACAAGAATATGGCGACAAGTTCAGTAACCCGCGGGCAATTTTGCCTCATACTGCTGCCGAATCAATAACTTTGGATGTTTTCTAACCCCGGAATAAAACTTCGGTATTTCTTGAATAAATTGCGGCATATTCTACTCATTTCTACTTGCAAAACAAGCGCGAAGTAGGCCAATCAAATAGATGTCTCACTGAGAAAACTTAACGTCGCGTGGACTGGCAAATATCGCAAAATGTTGTATTTAAAAATATGTGACAACAAAACGACATTTTTCTTTAAACGAGGGAGATAACGGCAATGAAAATAGAGTATTTCACTTTAATGCAAGCTTCTCGAGGTAAATATTTGATTTAAATGTCCATATATTCGAGCCCCGCTGATTTGTATTTCAATGCAATCGGATATAAACAGCTACGCTTCGTGACACACTATTTCAAGATATGGTAATAATATTTCTCAAATCAAAAACATAAAGTATCTGGAAGGTTCATTTAATATTGGTCATAACAATCTCCACGAACAACTTCAAATCTCATACTATTGAATCCTATCCAAGAGAGTGGCTCCAGGCGAATATAGCGACAGGTCATTGGCGACGGAAACAAATTGATAACCTTTGTATCCATGTCCGTGTTTCCGTTAAATATCTGAATGAATAAAATTGGGGTATAATTTGAGTTATTGGAAACAAGACAAATCCTATTCAATTCTGTTTAACTTATAATAAGATATAACAATATACCTTTGCATTTCCATTTTCTGTTATGTGTCTAAGGCTGCTGATTGAGCTCCCACATTTTGCTCTGAATGTTTTTACCCATTCACCATGTATTGGACGACCTTGCGTTATAACTCCAGCAACGAATTTTGGTTCTCCCAGATCGACTTGAATCCATTCTCCAAGCACAGCTAGAGTAAAAACGTTTCAACTCCAATTATCATATATATAAAGAAAACAAGAAAAGCAGTAGGCTACCTAACTACCTTACCTTCTACAGTACCGGTACCGTCAAAAAACTTCCGACTTTTGCGTGAAATAGAGAGTAGCACGAGAGAGATCGGAGAACCGCTACAATTAATTCGTATTAATTTTTAAAAAGGTCAGCACACAAAATTTCGAAGTGAAAAACAAACCACATAGAGTCCATAGAAAGTTTTGAAATATAATAACCTTCTAGCGAAAAATACAATTTTTAAGAACAGAAAATTCCGAAGAAATTGCCCCAAAGACTAACAGCATAATAACAAAACGATTCATAGATCTATTTCGTGTCCAACAAGTCCCAAATTGGAAGTCTCATTAAATACACACTTTGGTTCTTTGATGTATCAGTTGCATGATAGTGTATTAAATTTTGTACACAATTGGGACTTGTGGGTTGTTTTGACAACTGCTGTCTTTTGCTATCTTTATTTTGTTGTTGAGACATGTTATCGCTTTACATTACTAATGGATTGATCTTTATAAACTTCTGTAGTTAAATTGCGATTGTATCTCTCAGAGGGCTATTACTTTTAATTTTTTCATAAATCTCTTGGTTTCTCGGGACTCGTCTTTTCACCACAATTTTGTCTTCCTCTGAAAATTGTGCTACCATAACGTGGGTTATTTTCCTGATGCGGGTGCTGCAAATATCGCATTTTGAGTTAGCGATGGCTGATCATAGTACCGCGTCTTTTCTGGTGTATGCATACAGTTAGTTAGACTGTTTGATTTCATATAATTGATATGTTTGATTTTACTTCGAGTGCGTTTTCTGATTTCAAACTTTATTTTGTCGTCAAATTTGTTCGGGTCAACCCAGGGTCATTTGAGTTTTATTTATCACCGAAATTTTCTCTACTTCGTGTGGTGTACATATAATTAAACATTGCCTAATTCATTCGTTTCTCGAAATACAAAAACTTATAAAATCGTTGTGGTGATAAAGCTTCTCCTCCTGAGATTTCACAATCACCTCGAAGTGGACTCCAAGCGCCTGAACGTGTTCCATCTTGCTCCATATCCAGTCTACCAAATCTACTTGCATGGCTTGCTGTGTGGTCCGATGAAGACGTAATCGCAGAATTTGGTATATCACGACTCTTCATTCCCATATAGCAACGAACGGCTGAAAAGAATTAATGAAAATTTTTACCGGGTCTTTTATTGCCATTACACTAAACATTATTAGATAAATTCAAAAATAGCCTATGTCAGTAACATGCTGTTCCATTTGATGGAAGAAATAAATTTAATAAAACACTGTACTGTACTGAACTGACCCGTGGATACAGACATTTGTACTGTCCCATCTGAAGGACTATATTAATATTATAACAGTTAAATATAAAAGCATACTATTAATGAAGTAACCTTGTTGAGATATATTGTACTAACATGTTTACACTTACACTTCGGAAGATTGTTGTACTTTTTCTCTGACTCAAGTATCTTTTCTGCAAAATTTAGCAAAAATTAATTTTATCAATCTTGAACGTATTAGGTCAAACCACTTTTGGTACATTATATTAAATTTACTACAATTATATATGGAGACAATAGACCAATTCTTAAATATATGGCAACAAAGGTCAAATATCGAAAAAGTGTTGTCATGAATCAACTAAGTCTGGCCAATTGGAAATACATATTTTAAAAATCAAAATAAAGTAATAGCAATAAAGACCTTTTAAACCTTTCGAGTACTGAAAATTTAAAATCAACTGATCTATTGAATTCAAATAACAAAAGCCCGAAAAATCCCAAGAATACTAAATCAATCCACAATCACTTCTTCACTTCGGAATTTGGAAGTTTTCTTCCAAATTTATAATATTAACGGTTCAAATAAATTTTTTGAAGATTTCAACAATGAAATCTAGCATAGAAAATATTCAATCACGCTATAAAACCTACCTTCTAATTTTCTCATTCTTTTGTTCAATGTGTCACAAGAACCTTCTTCTCCTTTTTTGCCTTTGTTTCCCTGGGGACCTGGCGGTCCTAATGGTCCCTTCTTTCCCGGTCTACCCTGGCATTGATCACAGGACACTTGGTTATGTCCAGCAGCAGCTTGCGTAACAACTTGTGAGCAGAACTCATTGACGTTAGGCATATGCGACACAGCACAACTAACCATGGCCCCTACGATCAAAAACAACCTTAACTTCATTTTATTGCGTATCGAATATCGTATCGTATAAAAGTATATCTGTTTAGAGACACATATACGTATGGTATTATACACAACATAATAAAACTATTTATTAACAAAATGAATAAACTCTTAGAACAAAAATATTAATCTATAATAAATTAAATAAATTAAATACCTGAGAGTTATATTCGATGCGATAAACAAGTCTGTCTACTCTACGCTATCGTATGACACTCGTACATTTCACGTCTGTTCTTATTTTATAATATTAAAACTCAACTGGTAGTTTTGCTGCAGTAAATAAAATGATTTAATAGTTTACGAGCTTGTCAATTGCTCAAAGACCGTTTTGTTAATCTCTCCGTAGGCAAACCAAAATTCTGTACCTCACGAGTCTGCGTAACAGAGAGTTGATTGTTCTTATATTACATAACATTCAATGCTAGCTATGTGTAAACAAAATTTATGTTCAGATTGACCTATTTAGGAAATGTCAAAACAGATTAGGGGAAAAGATCAGAAATTTTTGACTTGTAATAAATTCACAACAAATCTGATATTTAATAAAAAAGACAAATATATCGTCTCCTTTACAAACTAAAATTTGTAAAATCAAATATTAGAGACTCAAATACATCATATATATATATATTTTTTAATTTACGATTTTGTTGCAAGTTTTATGATTAGTGGTGTCGGCTTTAATTTACTGATGTAACTAACACATAAGTAATCTTGAAAAAATATCCTATTTGTAGAGATGCATTCTTTGATTTCTACTAAATATATAGGGTTCCAAATTTGGCCTATTGACAAACACTTAGTAAAACCACTGATGATTCATATTTCCTATTTTTGAGAATCAAATGGTGACAAAATAAGAAATCCGATAGATGTCATGCAAGAGCTATAGTCAAAGAACTGAGTAAAGTAGTCTCTCATTGATTGGTACTCGACTTCGGTCGAACATGCGATTCTTTATATTCTAAATCTAAACCCTCCATCCAATTCGGGAGACTATTTCATTGCACTGGAGTTACGCTTCTTATTTGATTGCACAAAACGATTACGATGAAATGACTGTCTTCGTATTCCAACGTGTTATATTAAAATCTCCTCACTCAGTATAGAGCCATACATCTGGCTTGCTAAGAAGTTTTTGTTTGCATGGAACGTAGAACATTTTGCATATCTTCGTTTTCAAGATGTATAAAATTTAGCGGAAAATTTAATTTTCTTCATCCTCAACCCCCTGATAGATGTATTAAGAAGATTCAATCGTTGTTTAGATTGCCTTGGACATAATGCTTCCATAAAATTTTTAATATTGTAATAGGTGATTTTCCTGTTGTTGAGATGAAAAAAATCTCATTTTCTCTTTCTAGAGAAAGACTAATCGCTTATAAACTTTTAGTAGGCAAAAAAGAAAGTATGTCAGAAGTTCATTACTGTAGTGTATATCATACCCAAAAATTCCTATGGAATTGATGAAGTCCTTTGTTTTATACTAAAATTGTGTGTTTTGTGACTAAAACCGCCACCGCATCAATTTGATATTAATCAAATTGAGATTAATAATGCTCAATAAACAACGTGACAGTACCGGTACCTCATAATATAAACGTTTAATAGCTCATCTTCTGTTCAGCAGCATCTAATTATCATATTGTCCCCTATACAGTTTGTGCACTTACGAAAGTAAACGTCTGTTACAAGATAGGTTGCAAGAAATAAATGTATTTTCATGCCGTAAACATTGTAACAGCACACAGGCAGGCATAGTGTTGTTTACATATTATGTTAGATTGAATTAATGACGGTCTCATTATCAATTTTTATCACAGAAATGTTATTATGTTTTTTTTTTTAATAGTTCGTCATTTGGCGGGTCAGCGAAAAAAACAAGGTGGGTAATTTTGTGACCCGCGGGCCAGTGGTTCGCCATTTCTGCACTGGGCCAGAAACAAACAACAACCATGGCAGCAGTATGTTAAATATATTTAATTAGTAGAAACAAAGTATGATTTCTATAATTAGGTATGCCTCGGGCGATATTAAAACTACACCTTAAATTTTAAATTTAAACGTAATTTTGCAAAAATTCTTTTTATACGACACATTCTGTAATGTCACGTGCATCTTGTTAATCGTTGTTCTGACTACGTCATTGAGATATATATTAATGAGCACTGTTTGTATGGTAGTTTTATGATTCATTATGATTCACTTGGCACAAGACATTTAGATTAACTTTGATGCGAGTTTGAGATTCGAGGCACAATTCGCTTGATATGTTCTTTTTTCGCTTCAGCTCAAGTCCGCTCCATTCTCCACTAAAGAATTGAATTTTGTGAGTGAGAACTAAGGTATGTTATATTTGTATGTATTGTCATAATGAATGAGAAGTTGTAAACTACTATTACTTGATTCATATTACACCAATACCTGCGTAAAATACTATAAACAAATTCATTCTCTCGCTCTCTCCCTCTCTATCTATCTGTATGTATGTGTGTGTGTCCTCGTGGTAATCACAGGGATATCGATCAATTGACATTTTCTTAGTCTAATAACCGATAGTATTAATTTGATGTCTATTAGAGGTCATGTAAAAATGTACATGCATGATGTGTGAAGATCACTTACATCACAAATTAGTAGTTGAGAAAATGTCAGATAGGTAATCAATAAAAACGAAATTTATGAAACTAAAATTCATCATAAAATCATACTATACACAGGCAATTATTTTGATAGTACGGTAAGTAATTTTTAAAGTATTTGTGACATAATTATTATTTCGTTTTCTACGATTTGAAGTTCAGCTTTCAATTACTCAAAACATTTTACCAAAAGTAAAAAAAGTCGATTTATTCGTTTATTTATCGGGACAATTTATGGATGAATGCATTGGATAGTGTTTCATGTAATTGGGTTGTAAAATCACGTTGCATAAATGAAGCATAGTCGCCTACGGGGATGTTATTTTCTCTTATCGTGGCTGCTTTAGGGATAATTGATGGATAGATAGTGATTAGTGTTCGTTGAAGTATCGCGGTAGCCATATTCAACCAGATCAACTGAAAATTTTAAATAAAGCAACCATGAAGAAACGGTAATAACGTATGTAAGGTACATGTATAAACCACAGGTTAGGCGTTTTGTGTCCAAGTGTTATGAACACAACTTAAGTTATGATGTCATAAATCGCGTACGATATGACTAAGCTGTAAGAATGTGTTTTTGATTATAAGCAGTGATGCGAGTTAGGGATTTAACACGGTTTTCGCGAACCCATTCTTTGGAAGTCGTGATAATCAGCCAACCCTTTCTAGTTTTTATTTGTTTTGTTTCGTCACTGTTTTCTGAAATAAGGAAACCTGTTCTTTGCGAGTACGATGCAATAGAAAACTATCTGTTTTTAAAATTTTGAACTCTACCACAGATTATAAGGTAATACTGTCACATAAGTAGCGACAAGTTCTTGTTTTCATTTATTTCATACTCAAAAAGTTTAGACAATTTTTTGAAACAGGATTAGTAACAATGAAAAAAAAGGTTGATATCATGCCAACTAAAATACGACGTAATAGCACAGAGGAATCACAGGAAACTGAAAACTACAGAGAATATGAAGAATGTGGTTGTGAAACTGGTTGCGGAGGTTGTAAAACTGGAAGGTTAGTTCAACACTTTATACAACCAACAATATTTTATTCAACATTCTAGGAATTGTTGTCAGTTTCACTTTACACCATCGCCGTAATTAGCATCACATTATATTTTACCTTTATTGATACTGTTTTGTTTTTTTAATTTGTGGATAAACGTTTCTACACGTTTCAAGGCTGCTATATATAGTAAGATACAACTGAATGCCTGAATATAAGTCTGTGCAGCTTTATGTTTTGGTCAGTATGGATATAAACATGAGCACGACAAGGTATCATTGCACATATAAAAAGCTTAAAGAAAATTCAGGGTAGGGTATATAATAGGTTCGCAAACAAGATTTAGAATAAATTTCAATATTTCTATCATAAAATAAAATGGTCAAACAGGCTGAATTTATTCAAAATCTCTTTTCCTTTCACTAAACTTTCATTAAATTTACTATTTTGTTATGATGGCATTACTGATATAAAATTTAATCGCGACGCATTCACTATATTCACGTTCTCCAAGAATCAACATCGATTGAGCTGGATTGATTTTAATGATTTGCAACTTTATTTCATCAAGTTCGATATTTAGGAATAGCATTTTCTATCAAACTTCGCAAAAACAACCCTATGTGCAATAATAGCGCATTCCAAACAAATGATTCAGTACGATTCACTTTAACAGTAACAACAATTTGCGCTTGGTTTTCGGTTGAAGTACTATCGAAGAGTGGGATTAATGAAAACGGATTACAAAAAGTTACACAATACGTGTAAACAAAATCATAGTCCACTCAATGAAATGGTCATGTCAAGTTTTCCCGATAATTGAGAATTTATTCACTAATCAGGCTATTCTAACTATTTACCAGATTACATGGTTGGTACAAACTTCAAATTTGACGTTTCATTTTGCAAATAAATTATTTTATGAACCTGATTTTTATTGTAGGTGTACAGTACCTTTTCTGAACGTTTTCAACAACGCAAAATGGGCTCTTGCATTCTTCTGTATGGGAGTTTTCATTCAAGGTATGACTGTAAATGGAATATCAAGTGTTATAATCAGTACACTGGAAAGAAGGTAATATTTGTGTATGTCATATTTTGTGAAGAGTAAAAGTTGGTATCCGATGTGTCGCCACTCTATTGATCAACAAACGTATCCTAAAAACTGTCCCCCATATTTATAACTATGATCATAAACCCTTGCGCTACTATTCCAGATTCCATTTGCGAAGTTCAGAAACTGGCTTTATTGCAAGTTGCTACGAAATTGGGGTTTGTATCAGCATTCCTATCGTAACGTACATCGGTGGAAGGGGACACAGACCCATCTGGTTGGGCTGGGGTATATTTATCATTGGGGTTGGAGCAATTGTGTTTTCTTTACCCCACTTTATTGCTCCAACGTATACAATTATTAACGTCAACACATTCGTATGTGATCAGAATTCCACAGATTGCGAAGCATCAAGCTTGCGAGTATACAGGTTAGTGTAATTTTGTTTCCGTATGTGCCTTATGTACTAAATTGTTAAAATTGGTAATAAGTTAAGCAGAACGACGGAAACGTCATACGCATCTATATTACAAAGCAACTTGAAGTTTTGTCTTATGATGCCATTTTCGACATTGATGTATTACAAAACTATGATTTCGTTCAACAAAAGAGCAATGCTCAAATAAATAAGTTAAGCAGAACGACGGAAACGTCATACGTATCTATATTACAAAGCAACTTGAAGTTTTGTCTTATGATGCCATTTTTTCGACATTAATATATTACAAAACTATGATTTCGTTCAACAAAAGAGCAATGTTCAAATAAATTTGACACGAATGCCAAAAACAACGTACTATCAAATCATTCACACATTCTCCGGAGTTGAACACCAAGATTACTGAACTGACATTGTGGAACCGCCACACGGTGCGCAACTTTTAATGTTAATGGCGACGTCGCACAAAACTTCGCGGTGAAAAAGAATCCCACAGAGCCCACAAAAACTTGTGAAATAAATAAAAGTAATAGTCTTCTAGACAACAACAATCTTTAACCACCGGAAATTTCAAAGCAATTGGTTCAGTAGTTGAAAAGAAGAGAGATTTTTTCACAACAACAACAACAAAAATACCCAAAACACTAACAACGAAAATTAAAATAAAAAGTAAACCATAGGCCAACTCCATGTCTAGTATATGATTTCAGGAGTAAATGATAACAAGTTCCACTTATAATACAATTACCTCTCGTCAAAACTAGTTCAATGATTTATTTAAGATGAAATTGAGAAGCATTGCTGTTTTGAACCGATTCGTCGTTGTTGATAGGTTTTCATTGATTCATTTTTTTAATTTTTACATTAAAATTGTATAATAATCTCATATTATTATTTGATTCGTATGACATTTCAGAGGATTCTTCATTGTCGGCCAGCTTTTGCTTGGTATAGGAGCATCACCAGTTTATACTCTAGCTATAAACTATCTTGATGAGAATGTTAAAGAAAAATATTCTTCAACGTACCATGGTAATTTATTCACAAACTCTTGCCTTGTACAAAAAAAAATAAAACTAATTTATACAGAATCTGGGCCTCAATTACTAAGACCTCCGTTTATGAGAAAAAAAATCCATATCTGTATTTCAATGCTGGGTGATATATTTGAGTCAATTTTCAGGAATATTCTTCGCCTTTGCTTTGCTTGGTCCTGGTGCCGGATTTCTACTGGGAGGATATTTTCTCAATATTTATGTTAACCCTTGGGAAACGTGAGTTGTTTCATTTTAAGTAGCGGCAATTACGCAAACTGTGAAGTATTTTAAATTACTTTGTTATAGGGTTAAGATGTCACTGAAACATAAAAGGTTTGGCTTAAATACTATTAATTGTAAAAACACGATAGCAGCATATTTGTATATTTTGAAATATCTGTAAAGAAAATTTTCATAACTAGGCGAATTATGAGATTAAATATGTAAATTACTATTGAAAAGAGTGAATCACAAGCTGTTGGTTTATTATGCAAAGTTCATTTTATAGAATTTTAATTGAAATTATATTTTAGTCCTTCAGTTGAATCTACTAGTCTGTTTTGGATCGGAAATTGGTGGATCGGTTTTCTTATCATGGGAGGTTTAGCAGTACTGGTTTCTGTTCCTATTATGATGTATCCGAGACAATTGCCAAATACAGATAAAGTCAGACTGGATCGAGAGAAGGAAATGCATCAACAGAAAGACGCAATTAAAATCAAGGGCGATGAAAATTTCGGGAAAGAGTGAGCACTTTCATCTTTTCAACTTGCATGATGTCCAAAGCAATTTCTTGCAAAGAAATTTTTTTCAAGCGGTTCATTTGGAATTTTATAGACTGAAATCTAATTAATATGTTGCTATATAATGACATAATACCATTAAAAGTGGAGCGTGTCCATTTCTGACGATCTGCACTTGTAATATCTAAATCAGGGTGGTCCAAACCCATGCCCGCGGGCCACATGCGGCCCGCAGCGTCAATATCTGTGGCCCACGTCGCCTTTGCTGAAGGGTAATCGAAAATCGCATTTGGTGTTGTTTCGTCATAAAAATAACCAGAAAATCTTTTCGACATCTCGTTACATCACTAATGTCATTGAATTGATCAGTGTTACGGCCAGCTGAAGCAACTAGCAAAGTTGAATAGTGTGCCTGGGTAGTCCAAATTGTTCACTGGCTTTCTATCTTTTTGGTTGGGAATATATTTCAGCAGTTATTTTAACTAAATTTTAATGTTATGTCCTGAGAATATAATTCTTTCCGGTGATGTTTTGCAACCAGCCTAAACAGTATTAAAAAAATGTTTCTAATATGTTAGAAAAATTAGTAATTACTCTCCTGTACCTTACATTCGGTAAAATATGATAATCAATCATTCAGCAGTTAGGACAAATATAGTCTAAAACGCCATTTTGCTATCATGTGAGCAATGAGCATTTCCAAATTTTAATATCGAGAACCCCGTCGATGTTCGAGAGCACTTACATTTACGGGACGACCACTTTCTCCGTTGTGAAGAGTTTGAAATCTTATATTAAATGTAGATAAATGTTTCAGTGATTTTTCTGGCGTATTTTGAATGTTTCAGCTTGATAAATGACAAACAATGATCAATTGTTTGCACAATAAAAAAGTTTGTTTTGTATTGCCCTGTTTACCTATTTCTGACACTATTGTGTCCCGCGAACAATGCAAAAACAATTTTGTGGCCCGCGAAGGCAACAACCTTGGACCACGCTGATCTAATTGCTTCTAACTTGTAGTGTAGTCATAGGTTTTTAGCCTCACCATTTAGTATTCAAGTTCTTTATTCGTGGATGTTCGTTGGTAACCATAAGCAAAAATGCAATTCAAAATCAAGTTCTTTTGGGACCTATCCATTTTCTTTCTTCCTAAATCTATTTCTAATTGATGTAGCATTCGTGACGCACCTAGATGTCTTTATATTTTTCTGAAAAATCCAACGTTGATTGTCATATCCATCAGTGGTGCAATGGACTCCGGGATCGTGTCGGCTTTTTCAGCATTTGGAGCGAAATATATTGAAACAATGTTTAATATGACATCTTCAACAGCGGCTATATATTTTGGTATGAAATTTTTGTTTTTAGAAATATCTATCACCATTACTATATATATTTAAGGTATATAAGCGAGAAGAGACATATATATAGAATCGGTTTATATATACAGTATTTAAATATTTGTGTTCGGTTCGATTAATTATGTTAATATGTTATTTAGGATTTTGTAAAAAAAAGTTTCACGAATATATATTTTACATTGTCAACATTTAGGTTAGGGTTTGTTTAATATATCAATCTTTTTGCTCTGCATTGCTTCAGGAATTGCCGTGATTGTATCAGCCTTTACTGGCAACTTATTAAGTGGAATATTGGTGTCAAAATTTGAATTGAAAGTACCTCAGATGATAAAGTTTTGCCTTGTAGCAACATCGTTGGCGTTTGCGTGTTTGTTTGCGTTTTTGATATACTGCGAGACTCCAGGTAAGAATAACGAAGAAGAAGAAAACATTAATCAATTCTGTAGTAATTGTATCTGACTCGCTTTGTATATATAATGAATTGTGCTATTTAGGTGATAGTTTAAACTTGTTTTCGATGGTAAATAATCTACGTAACGTTACACATGACTGATTAGGGGTGGTTCCAAACATTTTTTTGTTAAATTTCTCCATTTCGCCTATTTTGGCACTCTTTTGTCCTCCCTCACTATTAGTAAAAACTACTTTATTTATTCTATGCTTAATGGATCATTAGCTAGTGTTATGCTCCAGTCGCACTACCGCTTTTGTACAATTAAGGAAGTTCATAAAGTATAAATAAGTATAAAAGTGACAAATAATAAAAAAAAACTAAAAAATATTAGTAATACTACATCAAATACAAAACTTCCTCCCCGAGAACGATAAAATTCTTTCTCTGGGAGGATTCTTTGAAGTCGACTACTTCGAAGTCTTCTGAAGACTGCATGTCACTGGGAAAGTCTTTTGCATAGGATTTAAAACTGGTAATTTCCTTTTCTAATATATATATCTAACACACAGATGTTGCGGGAGTAAACATGCCATATAATACAAACTCTGAAATGACTACGTGTCAATCTTCTTGTGGTTGCAGCACTAACTTCTTCAGTCCTATATGTGGTGCAGATCAGCTGACGTATGTGTCATTTTGTGACGCGGAATGCAGCGTAGAGGATCCGGTAAGTTTTCAACTTTTATTCTCACACTCTAGATTGAAGTTATTAATTGTCTTTCAAAAACAGAAGTTAATTACTGTACAGATCACATTCAAAATTTTAGATAACAGATGAGGTTTTGAGCAAATACCCGCCGTTTAATATCATCGCGAATTAGTGCTCCATCTTAATGCAAAATCGTCGGTAGCGGTACTTTTTGTCTTCAATACAAGCGAACAATGCTCAAATATGTGAATACTAGACCGAAACGAAGTGGTACGGGTATGCCAACTGCCACAGTAGACTACCGGTACGGCATTGTTCACGACATCGCCTCACAACCAGATCGCAAACGCGGAACCGCCACAAGGGGCGCAACTTTCAATTCTGATGACGTCATCGTAGACAATAAACAAATCACTCGGAGTCCAAAAAAAATTTTTGAAATAAATAAAAGTAATGGCTTTCCAGCGAAAACTACAATCTGTGGGGATGCTGTAGCAAGAGTGAAGATAACTAACCTGAGTCATTCAATAAATAGTCTTGCTGCACACTAACACAAATATATTTCCGTTTTTCTGGTCGGGTAGGACACTGTGGATCTCGTTTTTTTTAATTAGAATTAGTTTTTTTGAACAGAAATATATTTGTGTTAGTGTGCATCAAGACTATTTATTGAATTACTCAGAATGACTGTATGTATGTTTTAAATTTTTTTCTAGAGCTATACAAACTGCAGCAAGGTGTTCAATTCCACTATCATTACCTCACTTAAAAACGCAACAGCTACTAAAGGGAAATGTAGCACTGGATCATGTCCCAGTGTTGCACTATTTTTATTTTTTGGTGGATTAGCAACATTCTTCGGCTACCTCAAATCGCAATCAGCTCTACAGGTTAATGGCATTTTTTTCTAAAACTCGTATAACTATAAAAAAAAAAACTCAATATATTGATACCATGTTTTGTGTCAAGAATGATATCGGCTCTTTTTTGGCAAAACTGCTGTTTTTTTATTCTATTATTGGTAAGCATATTTACAAATAGGAAGAAAAATGATACCACCCATATAAAATACTTAAAAAAAAACAATATCTGCATCACTTTCAAAACTTTTATATATATTTTAGATATCTTTACGTAGCATTCCGTTACATCAACGTTCTTTTGCGTTAGGAATACAGGTGAGTTCAAATAATCTGCCATAATCAAAGTGGATAACAACCAGATGTAATATTTTAATTGAACGTACGTGTACGACAATATCCATCTTCAGGATTTAAAAAAGTCTAATATTTCAAAGCCAATAAATTGGTTATTTTGGGTCACTAAATCAACTAATAGTAGTAGCAGACTAAAACTTATCAACCCAATATTGCAAGAAGAAAAAATTATCTTTTATCAACTAAATAACAGCAAGTTATTTAAATCTGATACCAACTTTTTATAATTATCAGTGGTTGATTATGAGAACATTGGGTCAGATTCCTCTACCAATCATTCTTGGAAAAATACTGGACCTTTCTTGTATTTTATGGGGACAAGAATGTGGGGAATGTGGAGCTTGCAAAATGTACGATGGTCCATCGATGTCAAAATATTTAACTATAATGGCCACGACTGCAAAAGTAGGTTGAGATTTATAATATTATTATGTTACAATACCAAAGGTTCATTGCTCAATTATAATGTTGCCAGAATTACAACTCAACCATAATGTTTTAATAAAACAATAAATATTTAGTTTACGAAATTGAACAACTAGCAACTTGAGTTTTTTGCGAACAACTTTTTTGTGGCGCAATATTGTTTACAAAGACTTTCGTAATATTTAAAAATACACAAAATATGGTTTATTTATTTTTTTTATAAATTACGTCTATAACAGGGTGTAAGTTTGATATGTCTCCTCATCGTATGGAAAGTATATAAACCGCCTGTCGAAAAAGAAAATGGCGAAGAAGTAGTTGCTTCTGATGACTTCAACAGACGATCAACTGGTGCTAACGTTGCTAACGGAGAATCTACAAAGAAGGAACCACCAAGTGCTATTGATAATCCAGCGTTTAGTGATAGTTGAGAGCTAACTGTATACAAGACCAATATGATAAATTCATTCGGGGTAAATAACTCCAATGAGGAATTCCATAATTGAAATTTTGAGTAATGCCACAGCAGTGTTACCCAACTCACTAGGTTTCAGATAAACAACATATGCGAGGAATTGAACCCAACCTTTCTAACTATGTGTACATGTATTAGAGAAACAAAATGAATTCGTATCTCCAAATAGTTATTTTGTAGGCTTTATCTGGAGTGTAATTTCTGGAGTGTAATTCATTCGGGGTAAATAACTCCAATGAGGAATTCCATGATTGAAATTTTGAGTAATGCCACAGCAGTGTTACCCAACTCACTAGGTTTCAGATAAACAACATATGCGAGGAATTGAACCCAACCTTTCTAACTATGTGTACATGTATTAGAGGAACAAAATGAATTCGTATCTCCAAATAGTTATTTTGTAGGCTTTATCTGGAGTGTAATTCCAAGTGAAAAACAATAAAGAACTGTTTGTATTCAGGAAGAAAATAAAAACGTTCGATACTAATCACATGTTTTCAGTAATTTCAAATAATGCAATACGAAGTCATTATTACTTCACCAAAAACAAATCAGCAGTACTGCAAAATATGGTTGCATAGTTCAATAAATCTCAGTTTAATATATATATATATTGTCACTGTCGATCAATAACTTAAAGCAGGGTCGTCCAACCCGTGGCCCGCGGAAGCATTTTGAGTGGCCCACGCTGAATTTTCAGAATTGAATAAAAAATTGAGTAAAACTATTTTTCGAGTGAAGTAGTTTATAAAGATGTGATACAAAAAATTTGTTTATTTCCCTGAAATGCGCTCTGCCAGCTCTTCCAAACGAGCCATGAGTGATTTTTTGATTCGATGCCAACTGAGAAGAGATATCGATACATAAAGGTGCCACAATCGAAGCCATTTTCAGAAAAAAAATTCGTTAAGGAATGTATATTATGTATTGTTCGGGTTGTCAATGTTTTACGTCCGGCAATAAAAGAGGTGTTTCCAAAAATAGCCTTTCAAGACAGATAGATTATAACTCGTCGTGTTGAAGAGCTTAGGAACTTTATAGCGGAAACTTTAATTGCAAAAGCGGGAAAATATTCATCGTATTTCTGGTTAGTTGGCGACTTGACGATCTTCTTTCGGAGAGTTAATGATGATATGAAATTACAGCGGAGATCGCAGCCATTGTCCCTGTTGATAGTACAACTAGAGGCATTGGTTTGTTAAGAGCTGTGATAAACATGGTTAAGCGTTTTGGCTTGTCCTTGGCGAAACTTTCAGGAATAACCACTGATGGCGCCCCACCAAAAGTTGGGAAACAACAGTTTTATTGTTCTAATATTTGTGAAAGTTTGGTGTGAGGATATTTTTTGTTTTTTCATCAACCTGTAGTTAGTGTAGCAAAACTAGAACATAACTACCATGTTAAGTGACCCGCGCAATTATTGGTGAACCACATGTGGCCCTTCGGTCAAAAAGGTTGGCCGACCCTGACTTGAAGGCACATGAAAATAAAGCAGTTGCACACAAACGCTGTGTCAAATGCTTTGTCAAATACTATTTTCATCTTGACACATGCTTAAAGTAAGTAGGCTAATTCAAAAATATAGCCACAAACATCTAAAAATCGAAATGATGTTTTCCAAATAAAACAAATTGTATGTTTCAATGACGACATATTAATTGGAACTCGTGTTAAATTTGTCCTTCGAAGAATCAGATTCTTTTTTTTCCATCTTTGGTGGTTTGTAAACTTTTAACGCACCCATGTAACAAAATCCTCCCAATGCCTGTTAAAAAATATAAAAGCCCCTTTAATATTCGAATCGAATGACTACATTTAAAAAATAAAATGAAAATAATTCAAATTTACTGAGTTATTTATAAAATAGACAACCAGTTGAAAGTATTGTAAAATGTAAAATTAGGTTTTATATTTATGCAATCAAGTAATATGTAGATTAGGTTAATGTGTGAGGTGATTTCCCAAATAAAAGTGGAAAGGCGGCTGATTGAAAAATTTCAATCGTCTAGTGACTTTCTAAAAGGAAAAAAAGGGTTTAGCCTTGTTCATTAGTCAGATGGTCAGGTTTGAAAAAAATTCTAATCAGCATCAACAAGAAACTACTAGTAGGAAATGGATTCCACAAGGAGGATACAAATCTCAGCATAAACATTTTACTGGTGAGGTGGAACTCTAGTCTTCTTTTATGTATATATATATATATAATGGACTATAGAGCTAGCGTCTGATCAAATAAAAGGATCAAAAATATCATCAGTTGCAACAAGAATACACTACAGGCGAAGAAAGCCCTAAATATTGCTCAAAGGGGTGAATATTCAAGTCGTTGTTTGAATCGAATATCTAATCTAAACATTTGAAGTCATCATGCTTTAGTGCCATTTTAATAATTAGGTATATAAATCTGAGTATACGTGACTTCAGTAAGGTATGGGCGGTATGAGTGAAGCGACGATTGCGGCTGGCCGGAAAGTGGGCAAATATTGAAAATCTAAATTTACGTTTAAACGATTGCGAAACATCGACCATATTTATCCAAAGTGCAACAACCGCATCTACGTTGGAAGTAAATCAAGAAGGAAGTGTTATCGCGGCATATAACTGGGTAGTCAGTGGGCCCGACACCTTCCGCAGCTTGACAAGATGCTCGGTAACAAATGCTCTAGTCTGTATAAATTTATAATTTGCAGCGCTGGGAAGTTTATCGAAAACGATTCAATCGTTAGCCGAGAAATGTTTGCTGGTTATTCTTTTAACCGTCGCTGAACATAAGTTGACGTCATCAAATTTGACGTATAATAATGAAGTGTGACTAGCGTTCAAAATCAATTGTAACCGGTTAATATTCAAAAAAACGACTAACTGATCAACAGCTGACCAGAATCAGCATTTAGAAATTATATATAGTTATGTGCGTTTTATTAATGAAGCGCAATAAATTGTGTTATTTTAACAGGTTTTGTGAACTTTCTTTACAGAAACTATTTTCATTATGATAATTGAAACCTTTGTTCCGTACCAGTGGTATTGTGTGAAGCAATGTAAGGTAAATCGACATGCTCTGGTTGTCATAATCTTTACAGGCACCACATTCTCCACATTCTTTATCCCAGACTAAACAAGTAAGATCGAGAATTTTTCCAGTAATAATCGGCATTGGTATTTGTCCAAGTAGTCGAATAATCGTCCACTAAAAAGAGTGGTTATAAAATAAATGAAACAAAATTGTAGAAAACTGTAAATATTGTTGTATCAAAATCATGATATCTTACTTGCACGCCAATTGAAAATGACCTCTGATTAAATGGAACACTTCTCAGAGAGGTCTGAAAATAACATACATTATATTATTCCATGTTGGCAAGAAAGTATAACAGAATTTTATAGGCATAAAAGAAAAATAGCCTACCTGCAAACCTGGCATGGCTTTCAAGAATGTTGTAAATAAGCCGAGCCCTGCGACAATCAGGAAAATGTAACCTCGACTATAACATGATTCATTTATACATCTTCCGCTTTTTACTGTTATATTCCGCTGCAGTACAGTACAGTTATAATAACCCTATAATTAATGAGAACAGGTAACTTTTTATGCACGAACATCCTTGTGCGAACCGTAAATAAAAATGAGGGAGATTAGGTTATCAGGGTTGAAATTCATGGTTGATTAAACAGTCTAAAGACTCTATAACATGGTTTTGTACTAATTAAAACAGCTTCGACCAAACGCTTCCTGAATCAAATTTGAACATACATTTGAACCCACGACAATTGCACTTGCACTCTATTGCACCTATGGAAATTTTTTTGTTTTGCGGATAGTTGAACCCAACTAACCCCAACCCATGGGTTCTAGCACCCGCATATAGATTGAACCCGCGGATATACACATGGGGTCAAATTTACGTGGGTTCAAATGTACGGTCACCCCTATATATATATAAAAAATGCTTGCCTCTGCTCCAGTGTTAGTGTAAATGCAGTTCATATCACAATGCGACAAATACGTCATACGTTCATTTGTGCATATAGGACTATATGTGTCAATAGTACATCCGCATACTGACTTGCATCTCAAAATATTATTACCACTACTGACACCATACCCCGCAATTGCTGAAATAGGATCACGCGATTTTAAAACAAGGGTTTTCGAAAGTTTGCAAAAACATTATTGCCATCTGGAAAAGCCGTGGTATATAATTCAGATGGTATTGTACTTCAGATAAAATCGTCGAAAAAGACGAAAACATCACGTACACTTGTCCCATACTTGACCGTCATGTCCCATATCTTTTGATACACACAAGTGATACAAGTGGGACAAGTGTAAGACAGTTTTGAGACACCCGCAAAATAAGGAAAGTCTACAATCAGTCTTACAAGCATCCGTTAATTATCAATTAATTAGTAAACACTTACTTAGATTGTATCATATACCTCCGTAGGGGTGTGCATGTGATATTATACATATATATTTTACTCAATTATCTGTGTAACCATATTAAAGAACAGAACTGATAAAATAAACTCACGAGGTTTTTCACATCTCAAGAGATAAATCATGTAAATTCCGACAGAAAGTACGGAGCAGACAATGCACAACTTTAACATTTGTCTGAGTTTCATTTTGAATTTCGATATTAAGACTCCACCACCAACATATGACGTTGTTGCACATATGATCGCTATAATGCCTGAAATGTTAGTTTAAATCTGAAGATTAAATGTATCGAGAACAATCACAAAAAAATGACAGAGGGTACTTATGAACATATGGAACTATTTAATATATGGAAAATCTTCAATTTCGAAAGGTTTTGAGTTAAATTTCTTTAAAATTTGATGCATATTTTGAAAAGTTTTTTTTACCAAACAATGCATGTTTGTTATAATGGACAACTACGTTTGTGAGTGTATTGAGACATAATTGTATCAGAAATAACAACGACTTCTCAATAATTACAAAATATTTTTACCACAGTAAATCCCAGAAGTTGAAGATGAAATTCCAAACATTGATTCAATGTATTTTGGCCCAAATAAAACAACTGACGTCATGACTCCACAATCAAATGCAGCAGCGATCGAGAGAAACAGTAAAACGGGATTGGACAGAGCTGTGATTAAGCTACGAAGAACGTTTCGAAATCTGAAATAATGCACATGAAATATTAATTCATATCTGAGTAGGGCTGGGCATTTTAAATCGAATAGTAATTTATTCGAATCGGTTCAGAGCAAAATTTTGAATCTTCGCCATTTTGATTTTTATTTCTTTCCGCCAATGGTCGAGGTAAATCCCCCATTTTTTCAGCGCAATTCTGACATATGACTATTTGCTGTAGTGAGTTATTTATAAAACTTGTTGCTTTTTGTGTGTGAACGCTCAGTAATCTGTTTGAGTGATGTATTCTACGTTTTCAGTAATTCATTTGTTGACAGGACCAATTACAATATAAAAATCACATAAAATTATATATCTCCAAGGTATTCGAGATTCGATTCGAAAAAAATATTCGATACGATTCTGGAATCATCAGGTATTCGAAAATTCCTTAGTCCTGCTATAACTGAGTACTTCACTTTTGTCTCTTGTTTCTGCACACTCCCCGCTTTGCAAATGCCAGAGTGCGAACTGCGCGTATCACTATAGCTAAGTATTCGTTAAATATTGAACAATTAACGAAAACAAATAACCTTGTTTAACCTTATATGCGTAGTGAGTGAGTAATATTGAGATCTGAAAGAGGTAAAGGGAGAAATATATCAAAAAGGAACCCCTGACCTACTAATAAACGAATTTCAAAATTTATTTACAGTGTATAAGAATCAACTGAATCCTAAGCGGTTACTGTACCTGTCAACATTATGTCTATTTTCGTCAGTAGTTAGGGCAATCTGATGAATTTCGTCTTCACGATTGAAACGAAACTTTTCCGAATTTGGCAACTGTTTTGGAAACATCATTATTGGCACAGATAAGAGGAGAATTAGCATTCCAGCCATTACAAATCCTAACCACCAATTCCCAATCCATTCCGCATCACCGTCATTGACTAATACACTTACATAAAAATAAGACTCGTCAAATCATTACAAAAAAGTTAGTATCAAAAAAAAAAAAAGATAAAATCCATTACTTTTCAGTGATATTCGTATAGAAGGTAAGTAAAAAACCACCCAACACAAATCCGAGAGCAGGACCGACGCTTGTAGCGCCATAAATAATTCCTAAAAAATAATAAAATATTTAGTGAGGAGTTTAGTTTAGGAGTAATGACGAGAAAAGAAAGTATAGATGACTTCAAGCGTGTTGAAGATAATCACAAAATGGTTACCATTATATGTTGAAGACATTGATTGTTTTACATTTGCATCAAGATATGTAATTCCAAGAGTATAAAATGGCGACGATCCAACGCCGTTGAAAAAACTTGCAGCAATAAAAAATGACCTAAAAATAGGTGAAGTGGTGTATATCGTTAGAAAGCATAAGTTAGACACTTGGAAGTTTTAATTTATGATCATTAGAGAAGGAAATTTTGAGAATAGGACTTTTCGAGAATTATTTCATCAAATTCTTGAACGCTAAGATTAAGTGTATAGGAAGAAGCCTACATTCTTCGTGTTTGTAACGGCGAATTGTATTTATAGCAGAAACAATCGACGTAAACTTCTTTCGAACCAAGATGAAATGGCCAAAGATATGAAAGATTACAACGTATAACGTGATAAAAAGGTGAGTTAGACTTTGCCTTTATATAACATGTAATCTAAGTAAAAGAGAGATGAAAATTTTTAATGGTTACTAGTTTCCCACTTTGATGTTGATATAATTTAAATAGGACGAAATACAATTCGGACTAATGCAAATTTTATATCCCAAGTGCTGGGGATGGTAGCATAGTTGTAGTACATGGACGTGGATGACCAATGTTACTATGTAGAAATAATTCCAAATCCAATCTGACCTATACGATCGTAAGCTTGATTCTTCACAGTGTGCCGTGTTATTTATATCACAAACAGATGAAGTTGAATCTGAAACTACGTGATTGGGTGCAATAAAATGAGGTAGAGCAAATAAAAGGAAACTCAGTCCAACAATGAAGCATCCCCATCCAAGCCAAAGTGGTTTATGACCCTTTCCCCCGATGTATGTAACAACCAGAATGCTGGATATAACGCCGATATCGTAGCATACGAATATGAATCCGGTTTCATTGCTCGTTAAATGAAATCTATATAAAAAAAAGTGATATTTTAAAGAACTAGAGCATAGTTGTAAAATAGCTGTTATTAATTCAAGACACGTTCAAAATATTTATGTGTGATATTATTATATTAAATACCTTAGGCTAGTAAACTTGGTATAAAAATATGAAATTGATCTTACCGTTTCTCTAATGTTGTTAAAACGGCGATTAGTAGTCCATTGGAAACAGCAGTGTGTATTAGAAAAGCAAGACAGAAAACCAGCAAAGCACCTTTCGAATTGTTAAATCGTTCAAATTGATTTAATGGTCTCCTAAAATGAGATATGATAAGACATGAACATTTTTTCATCTACCGCCATGTGCGGCCAGGCATTAAATGTGGGTATATGAATTCCCAGTCTCAGCACATAGTCACAAAACAAATTCGTGCCCACAGCAATTATGACATCTTAAATGCTCAACCAGGGTAAAATAAAGGACTTACAAATGCTAGATGACGAAAAAATGGTATATTCAATTTGAATGTACGATTTAGTATCGTTGCCGTAGTTATTAGTAACTTATTACGTATGTTGAACGGGTATGTATCAGGCCAGATTAGCTCTCTTAACGACTATTGGTCATTCAAGGCCCGTTTCTTTATCATAGACTCGAGTTCAAATTCAATGAATGTAGGATACTAGAATGCTATCTACAGAAAAAATATTTGTACTCATCTCCAGCCAATTTTTTTTAAATTTTATTGCAGTCTTATAACATATGAATGAAATTCGATCCGTCCAATCAGCGGAAATTAGTCACGCAATAAAGTGGGTGTAGAATTGCATTCAAGTAAAGGTATTTCCAAAATAACAAAATTGAACGTATCTCAGATAAACACTTACCTTCTAAACTTTATACAGCCACAGTTTATTTGACATCCGCACGTTTCATCGACATCCGATTCGTAATCTATCTTTTCCATTTCAAAATATATTCCAATAGATGCTTGGGGTAATACTATATATAAAATACCTATTACCTACGTGTTGGCAAATGTCAAGTAAATTTATGTGATGTCCATACTAGCTTTTCATTTGTTGATGTAAATTGGCAAGAAATTGCAAAAATTCATAGAATGGTTACTCGCATACTGTAGCTTGTCTGAGACACCGCTTAGTCATGTTCGTTCGTTAAGACTTCGATCGCCAGATTTATTGCATCTCTCTATCTCAGTGGTTCCCAAACTTTTTAGAGTTGGGATCCACTATTTATTACCACAGCCCATGGCGACCCACTTAACTTTAATTTTTTTATTTTTTTTTATGACATAACACAGAACACAGCAATGGTTAATCATCGCAAAACTACCGTGTTTCCTCGAAATAAAGACCTAGTCTGGAAATAAGATAATTTTTTTGATTTTCAAAATGATTTTAATTAAACCCTACCCTTAAAATAAATTTCAAATGTGTGGAAGAGGAAAGGTTCATTGGCCTGAGGTAAGGTGAAGATCACACCACTATTCAAGATTGTGTGATATCACAATTATGATATTTGTCACTTGATTTTTGTATGGGAAATATAAAATTAAAAACAATGGATGTCGGATTTTATATAATGTTTAGTAAAAATCTTGTGATTTTCTACAATGTAATTTTATTTTTGATAAATGAACACAAAAGACCTCTTCCAAAAAAAAACATAGTGTTATTCTTCAAAAGAAAATAAATCTAAATCCTGTCTTAATTTCGGGGAAACACGATAGGAAGTGCTGTACAGCGTACAAACCTGCTATGCGTAAAAAAGCCACATGGTCATTCTTGGTGTAGCAAATTTTTTTTCTTTTGAGAAGATCGTAAAAAGGAAACTTTCACAGATTAGAACTTAAATTTAATTTTTTGTTTTGTTTTTTAGAAGATTCACGTATTCGAGTCGCCACCGATTCTAATAACCAGTATACTTAACCAAAGCTTTCTACATCTTTTCACGACCCACTAAGATTCCTTTTGCGACCCATAGATTGGAAACCGCTGCTATAAGTTCTTGCCTGCCTCTACTAGGCTATACCTCACTTGACTCTAAATCGCTTTCTGAATCCATGGAAATTCTAGCAAAAACGAGATCTTGGCAAGTTAAAATAAGTGCCGTCTTCGTTCCGGTTAAGACCTTACGTTCAACTCCGACTGCAATGAAAAATTACTATCCACTCGGCTGTCATCGATTCGAAGCAAACGACTGAAAAGGGATTCTCTCAATAATTCAACAGCGTCTATCAATACTGATATCATCGCATTTACGTACCTGTATCCATAATATTGAATAGTAAACGGGTTGCACACATCGACTGACTTTCAAACTCATTAGTTAAGCTTCAGAAATAAATTTATAAATGCACAACGTTTGAATGCATGACACTCCTAAACGAGTAATGTCTGGCACAAAACATCCAGCTCTTATATCAGTATTCACTTCTTCAAACTTTCATTGTACAACTTCGGCTCGTTCTTCGTATCATAATATGGTCTGTATGTGAGACGCCTTCTATCACATATTGGTCTAATCATAGCTGAAGGAAACGATGACTTTTTGTCTACTTATTATAATATAGGATGTAAGACTGAGTCAGGTGTGGCAGAGTTTCATATTAACGATTTTAACACGGTTTGAAGTTTTTTAGATGTAATATATTCGCGTAAATTAACGTCGCTGACATCATATTAACGTCTTCGAACTTCAACAGAGAAACAAATGACGTACACGTGATTCGTGAACGCGTTAAATGTCAGGCACATTCATATCAAGTTGATTGAATTTCGGTAATTCTGGCAAAAATAATATTATAAGTTGTAAATCGGGTTTTTACCTCTGATTCTTTGGGAAAAACGAGATAATCATAATAATTTATTTTCTAATTATTGGCTGTTGTTAGTTATTCGAGTCGCAGACCCGTGGCCTGAGGGAAAACGTATTGATTTGATCGGACAATTAAGTTGATTTTCTATCGTGCTTGATAGTACATCAATTTAGGGGCCAAATTCATTATATATATATAATCAAGTCACGGGTTGTATGAGGAGGGAGAAATGAGACAGAAAGTAACTGTATATATCAGTGAGATAACGTAGAATTGTAACCCATCTTCCTTTACATTATACAACTCAAATACATTATGATATATTGGCTATAAACATAGATAGGCTAGTGGTTATCGTGCTGTCCCATCTATTCGCGCAAGATTATCGTCTGAAATAAACTAAACCAACCTCACTCAATGTGTACAAAATAGCTTATATTTTGCCGAATTAGCCGGTTTCCTATTTTTGCAAAAATATATACAGTATATCTGCTCCTTATTATCGGCATCTACTTGTACAAAATGGATAGAAAAATTTTAGGAAAACTGTTACATATAACCAGTGACAATTTTTCACGCAATTACCAGAAATTTGAATCTAAAACTAAAAACCTATTCTTTAATGGAAACCCTTGCTAGATCCAAATAAAACTCTAAACGTTGCTTCATTTCTGAATATTTTAGAAACCCGTTACTGTAACTTGTTGTTTTTACGCACTCCGTATGAACACTAGATACACTGCATGTTATCCCAAGGTAAATTAACTAGAAATTCCCAGTAATCATGATGAGATATTTGAAACTTATTGAGCAACCGTAGAAGTCTGCAAAACGTTTACTTCAAGTTAATATTTAAGATCGTTTGTGACAGTCTGGCAGCATACTAAACTCATTTAGGGATACGCTTCATAACCGAACAGAAACAGCATGTGTCTGAATTTACTCACTTCTTCACGCATCAGTTAACGCCGGATATTTTTTTTATCTAGAATGTCGCCAAAAAAATGAGAAAGTATCTATGAAAGTTGCGCGATTGCAAGCATATATACAAATTGAAAATTCTCATTCAATCGAAGCTAACTTCCAACTCGAATAGGTGAGCGTGATTCGCTTTATAAATGTGGCCTATTCATATGCGTCTTCACTTTGATAAATATAAAAATCAACTTAAGATATAAACACCATGCATTATTTTCAACCTTTGACTTCAAAAAATCTTTCACGCTCATAGAAGCCAACATGACCAAACTGGTAGACGCTAGCAGTGTTTACGAACTGATCAAAAAGTTGTTTCTGTATCCAAACCGGCATAAGTGGAATATGTATTGTCGCGTCACCGGAAAGAGGCTGATGACTAACGTCGGTGAATGCCGGCAGAACTAGTATAAAAACGAGACAAATCAAGGAGCGTGTATAAACAGCTTGTTTGGGACCGGGTTGCTTGACGTGGCATGCTTGGCGTCGTCACATGTGGCATAGGCCTACCTGGCGTTACACGTGGCATTATAAATCTCTAATACAAAAATTCAACGTCGTAATGCGAAAATCATAGAATGTGCGGATGAGGTGAGCCGGGCAGAAGGAGTATAGAACGATTTAAGTTTATACGGTTTTAAAATTATTCATTTCCAAAAATGCTTTTTTTTGATAAGAATTTAGTGTTTCCCAACGTATGGGTCGCGACACAAAGTTTGGTCGACTGAAAATCCTCCTGCGTCGCTGATAACGTGTGCTATTTTCATTGGGTATGATTTCGTTACAATCGTTGATTTTTTTGTCAGTGATTTATGAATTCCACAAAATCTTTTGTATCTTGCAACTATCTGTCGATTAATGTACGTATTGTGCAGTAAATTGAAAGTACAGTGAGAATAGACCTTATTCATTAAAAACCCGTCCTACGCGCAAAAAGAAAAGTGATGTAAACAAAACAATTTTAACATTAGCTCTTATGGGGAATGTGATCACCAGAGCAGAAATTTGCATCTTTTGTGATTTTCTAGATATCTTTCATTGTATACGTGAGCTGTTTTGAGAATAGTTTTTTTTTTTAAATCTTTTTAAAATATTTCGGCATGATAAACATGGTTAAGATTTTTGATAATCGTTCACTGAAATTTTAATGAGCGCGGTGTTTCCGATGACGTCATTCTCACTATACCATGAGATTCCGCCAACGCGCTTCTCCGATCATATTCGAAACGTGAAATTTATGTTTTGCACTAGTTTCAATAAATATCGAACTTTGTGTGAAATTGGATTGCCCTTCGCGATCCCTAAAAATCGTCGCCTGACCCCTCGCCCCCAGTTTGGGAAACACTCACTGATTTAGATATCTCAGTATTCAGAATGAATCACGCTTAAAACAATATCGGTATACAATCTCACACAGATTAGTACATATTAGCAACCTATTAATTACCCCATTATTTTTTACTGACATTTTACGAAACTGATCTTTCTTTTTTGATTTAGAACCTAACAAACAATTCCTTCATTTATGAATGGTGCAGAAATTCTCGCACACATTCTCGCACAAAAGATGTTGCTATTTACTGTGAAATTTCGAATAAATTGAAGCAGATTTTGTAGAAAAATGTAATTTAACAGTCAAAAAAGTACAACAGAGGAAGATCTATTGATACTAAACGGATTGTTTGTCTAGCCTACAATGGAAAAATCAAATAATGGTATATATGACTAGATAAATTGTCATATATACATATATTTGGGACGATTTTACAAAACTGAACCTGAGTGAAATATTTTCCTGCAGTCAGTATATACTGCAACACGCAATACCCAATTCTAACAAAAAAGAAATATTGAAAATGAAGGGTGGGTTTTCAATGTAGATGAACCACTAAATACATATTTGCCATCTCATATGCAAAAATAATGTACCTTGTTTTTACTCAAGAAAATAAGATTCTTCAAATTTTTAAGTTCCCCAGTAATTAAAGTGTTTCATTAAATTTAACTGTTTCACAATATTATTTTGATTTGTAGTTCATCTTGTGAAATATGCATGTGGCAAAGTTAGCGGCCCGCGGGGCATCCAGATTTATGCTTGCGGTCCTCGTGGTAATTTGAGTTGTGCAGGCCTGTTCTACGGGAAGTCGTATATTTTGTGAATACGATTAAAAAAAGTTCAAAACAAAAGAGACTTTTCTCGAAACTTTGTGAAGAAACAGCCGCCACTTCCAAAAAACTTCTTTTACATTCAGCAGTACGGTGGCTGCCCCGAGGAAAAGTCCTTTTTTCGTGTGTTTGAACTTCGCGAGCAATTAGGGGCGTATTACACTGAAAGAGGAGACCAAAAAGCCACCAAGTTTTGTAATATATATTGGGCTGCAAAGTTAGCGTACATGGCGTCGATTTTTGATCGTTTTAATCAAGTGAACGTCAGTCTTCAAAGGAAAGGAGGTGATTTATTTCGATCAACTAGCGAAATCAATGCTCTGAATTTAACTCTGGAAAAACAATGCTTCTTCAGGAAACTTTATTGACTTTCCTCTTTTAAATCAATATTTGAAAGAGTCTGGGTGGGAGTTTGAGAACGTTTCAACGATAAATACCATGTCTACCCTAATTGTTGGTCATTTAAACTTACTGGGTGATAAATTGGCTTTGTATTTTTCTGAAGGTAATAGCAGGCGTCTGGAAGAAAACTCGTGGATAATGCAGCCATTTACAAGTGAACCAACAGAAGACGAAGAATTGTTGGAACTCCGAGAGGATTTAAATCAAAAAATTTCATTCCGCGAAATTGATTACTGGGGAGTTTTGGGTTTCTCTTTTTGAATTTCCCGGGTACAAAAATCTGGCAGAAAAGGCCGTTGCTTTCCTGGTACAGATGCCTACGACTTATTTGTGTGAAGAAGCAGTTTCCGGTCTTGTTGAAATCAAGTCGAAAAAGCGATCAATACTTGATATTAATTCACTTATGCGAGGAGCAATTGAAAAGGATCTAAAACCATGTTATGAACGAATTGCCGAAACTATACAAAAACAGGAAAGCCACTGAAACTAAATTAACATTGTCTTTACCTTTTTTTCACACATTTGGGTGTTAAATTAATTGCATCTGTAAGTAAAAATTAAAGCAGCATTTATAATGACTCGCCCCGCCACCTAGATTTTTTTTTTTTCAATATGTGCCTAACATTTAATGTTCATTTTAGCTTGAAATAAACATTGGTATTTGTAAGGTATACGAAGTTCTCGAAAAATTGTAAAAGGTATAATACGGTAAAAAAGGTTGAAGAACACTGCTCTATCTAGCTTCCGATTGTGGACTAATATGATATACTTTGGCGTCCGTGTTTTTTTTTTCTGTTCTTTTCAGAAGAAAGTTCTCAACTCGAAATCCCGTCTAAGATCTGAAATTCCGACTTCATGGAAATTCAACTTGACATGATATGGACGAAAACGCAGATTTCAGACACCCACTTGATATACAACCACCATGATGGGCAACCTCTGATAAGCCTCTCGTACGACTACCGGTCGAATATAGGGAGTCGATGAAATAATTAACCAGATAACCGTTCCATTAGTCATTTAGTACATAAATATCCTTCTCGAGGATACAAAAGTACTACTTGTGCTGGGTAATCAGCCGTGCTACAACAACCCAGACTGCATTCAAAAAACAGACAAAAATGAACCCGATTGTTACATGCAATATTACAATGAAATATATTTAAAACGATAAGATGATATTCTGTAAAAACTGAAATAAAAAAGACATGATAGCTTAGGTAAACAACCATTACAGATACAAAATTTGCAGCAAGAGAAACAGATAAATCTCACTTAACATGGATATAACCAGTTTTGAAAACTAAAGAATTGAATGCAATATAAAAACAGTCCAGTGTGAAACATTTTCGGATTGAGATTTTAGAAATTAAGATGAGCAATACTGACCAGTTTTTAACATGAAAATCACCACTTTTCGCAACGAAACTATTAGGTATTAAGTGTCACAAATTATAAAGAAGTTAGCATCATTAATGATTTTCTAACACATTGAACTGATTTTTGATAAACTAGATTGAAAAACAAGTGCATCATATTTGCTACCATGGTATAAAAAAAATAAGTGGCTGTGCCGTGAAAACCGACATACACCTAAAGGAAAAAAAATTTTAATTAGGTATCCCACACCTTCCTGAACGAGGCTTTATAAAAGCAGGTACTCAGATATAAAAAAAAAATGGTAGTGTTAGGTTTGTAATGACTGAAATTCCCTATTATATTTGGTAAAAAATATGAAAAAAAGGTGAAATCCAAGATCCTTAGCTTGAAATGACAGCAAGATAAAGCTAAACGCTATCTTGTTAATCAAAATATAGTTTTACTACAGACTTGATGGACTCAAGATGCTAAAATCAGATTGAAAATTGCCATTATTGGCTGCTAGCATTGGGCCTCGGGCCACACATAAAAAGTAAGTAAAAACGAATACAAACATTAAAGAATTTGTTCATTTGCATGCAGATAATGGTCATTTTCAAATGTGACACATGTATAAGTGAAATGATACGACACATTGATTCGATGATATTATTATTCAATATCTTTATGTGGGTAATTTTTCACAACAGTGAAAAAGTTATATTCTCATTCCAGAAAAAATGCAAGTTTTATTCTCATGTTTATTTATATTTTCTTATACTTTGACCCATGTGAGTTTGCACATTCACCGTGACTCGCATAGTTTTACATTTGTCTCCAGACACACTTTATATTACTAAGAATTCAATATAAATTGAACGTGAAAGGCAGTACTTAACTTGTGTAATAGTGCAGTAGTCTGTGGTAATTCCAATAGTGATTAATGGCCATATACACATCTATTTACCGTACTTAGTGGTTTTTGAACCAATAAAAAACTTAATCATAATACGAGAGAATATGGATATGGGATTTATGTATTTATAACTTGTCTCCATTTAAACATCTCATGACCAACTGAGAATAGTATTATACACAGGGAAAAGGTAGTTCATTTGTGTAGAGCACGAAATTCTAAACCTTGAGAGATGAAAAAGTAGAATATAATGAAAAGATAGTCCTAAAGAAAAGAGTTCAAACAATTGTGACTGCAATCCATGATGTAACATAACGTAAGTATCAAATAAAATAAAATAATCGAAAACAATGGAAGGTATGGTGAGCAATATTATTTATATTGTATTATTTTCATTGTTTGTTTGTATTAATATTCAATTGTGTGGTTCAAAGTGAAGAAGGACCAAGGCAAGAGAAAAATGAATCATGTTGTACCATTCAGACGAGCATGCATGGTAAATGCTATTCTGCATTCTGAACTATCATGTTATCAACTCACCAAAATTTGTTGTTTTGAAACTTACATGAAAAATATTAACAATAGTTCTAAGACATGGGTGGTGCAGATGCTTGCACTGAATCTTTGGTGGGATATTGATGCTGTGGCTGCATCTCTAGGTGTTGTTGGGGAGCATAAGCTGGTTGAGCCTGTGGTCCAGGACCAACAGGATAAGGTGCGGCTCCAGGCTGCGGACCAGGAGCAGTAGGGTAAGGTGCTGCTCCAGGTTGCCCATGAGGAGTAGGCATTGGTGGATACCCAGGACCCGCTGCGTACGGGGGACCTTGAGGTGGTGCTCCTTGCATTGGTGGAGGGTAACCAGGTTGATAAGGTGGTGGTTGCATTGGCTGTCCTGGAGGTACATATGGTGGGGCTGGTCCACTCGGCGGGTAGTGTACTTTGGGCTGTTGTTGGCCAAGCTGATAACCACCCTGCTGCACTTGGCCTGGATATAAATGTTTGATAATTTAGTAAGAGAAGTATAAAAACGTGTCGATATTCTAAATATAATATTGCAAATAGTTTCCATTTTAGAAAATCTAAATGATGTCGCCATTGAAAAGTTAGTTAGTGATAAAAAAGGATTTCACTTTCGAATAGCATTAATTAAGACACTTGTCTTAAACAGAGTTTTCATGCATAGGAAGGAGGGTAGAAGGAAAATAGGGATAAGAAGTGGCAAAATACGCAAAATGAGGAATTTATCGAAATGGTTAGGAATCACAGCAACAATATCCATAGTGCTTTATTATGAAATAAAAAATGCGCAAATACCTGGCTGTCCAGCATGGACTGTTGTGGTCGTTGTCACAACCCTGTGTCCTCCCACAACTTGTCCCTGTCTGTTTGAATTCCTACGACAGCATATTACACATCCAACAATGCAGGCAACAATTGCAATAATAATGGCAATAACAATTGCTACAACAATTCCAACTCTGTGAAACAATGAACACATTAAACTGCTTTTACAACTAGGTCTTGAGTCTAAATTTATATGCATGCTTAGGCAGATTCTAACTGCAGTTTGTCATTGGAACTTCTCCACTTTGAGCAATGTTTCGTATACATACATTACAGCACAGTTTTCAATTCAATTTCAGCTAGAGTTTTAAAAAGAATTAAAAGTATTTACAACATTATTAGTGTTGAAGGTAATTTACAAACATTTCTTAAACATCAAAAACTGATTTAATAATTTGAAAGTTAATAGAACATACGCAATTTTTCCACTTGTTTCAGCAATTTCTCGAACATCATCATCATCAAATGTATGTCCAGTGTAGTCCTCAAATGTACAGCATTCGCTCTGGCTTGTACAACACCAATTATTTGGATAAGTGTTACAGCTTGAATGAGAGTAGCAATATGCTGTAAACGAAATATTGAAAGTATAGATAAAACTTTTATAGGCCTAAATTTTATACAAATTCAATAAAATATGATTTTAATGAAGCATGAACGGAATTTTCAAGTATAAAAAAGACGGGGTTTAGTGTGGTTTCGTACCTCAAGTACTTCTAGTGAGCGCAGCAGAAAAAAATTTGCGTATGTTAATCGTAACCCCTACATGACTGTGTCATCAAAAAATTATGTCACAGTGACATAATAAGGCCCTTCAAACTACACGAACTGTCATCCAAGACACGCAGATGATCACCTAAATTGAACGTACTATTTCTCTTGTTTTCATGTCGCAAAGATGCCATTATGAGAGATTGCTGCCGTTGGTGAGTTCTTTATCGTCGGCGCAGATGCCATTTCGGGCGATCGTAGGTATACTTTGGCAAGTTTATGACGTGATTGTGGCGTCGTAGTGACATAATTTTTGAATGGTGTAGTCAGATGGGGGTTAGGATTGGAATGTGTGAAAATCTGTATGCTACGCCCACTGAAAGTACTTGAGGTACGAAACTACACAAGACTCAAAAAGAGGTTCAACTAGCTTGTATCAACATGTATGTATGTATATGTATGTTTATTTGTCTCGTGCACCCCATTTGAAAAGTTTTAAAAAGAAATAAATTGAATACATATAATACGGTCCTTTATAGACAGTTGTGCAAGGAGAGTGGGTGGGTGTGGTAAGAGTGGAGTATACAAACTGTTTGTACAAGAGAGTTTGTAAGACAAGCATCATCTATAAATAAGACATACCGTAACACAACACAAAATAAACTGCATGTATAAATAATACTGAAATTTAGAATTTGGACATAAATACAACACCCTTGAGTGATGGTACCACATAATAAAAATGTGGTATGGAATGGTCATGTTTAAGTAAGTGTTATTGTTCAATTTTTTATGTGTATATGCTATGCACTACTCAAGGGTGATAGTGTCTTTGGTAGACTTTGGCTATTCTAGCAAAAAGTTTTGATGAAATGCGATAAAAATATGTCTCTTATCTCTCTATTTTCTAATTCTAAATATAGGAAAAGTGGGTTTATAAAAAAAAACATTTCCACAAAACTTGTGGTGGTTTCACTTTTGCCAGAAGGTAAAAAGGTTTAGAAGTACAATGCAATAGAGAATATTAATATATAAAGAAAAAAAAGGGAAACATTTTATCATGTCAAGGATTTCCAAAATTGAATTAGTAATAGGGCGGTGTAGCCAGTCTGTGGACGATTTCATTCAAACCGCTATAAAACAAAAACCAATATTTCTAACCCGTTAATTTTTTCACGGTAGGTGCATTGGCATTTATTCTACACGCTAAACCTCGAATTAACTTTCTAAGACCAGAGGTTAAATAAAGCTATACAATCCACCAAAGTACGACACTCGGAAGACGTATTTGCGACCGAACGACCAGTGTGCGACCACAGATTTCAAGCCTTGAACATCGTTTCTGCTGCGTCGAGACTAGAGCATACGCAGTCATGCATGAAAAAATTGGGCTTCTAATTGCATTTCTGACCGTCATATATTTTAAGAACACGGTCATTTCGAACAAAACTCGTCAAATTATATACAAAGCATCACATGTTATCGACGTATTGGAAATGCGCACCCCCCCCCATTCCCCCTCCTTTAAATGTAGAAACGCGAAAATTTAAATATGGTTAAAAGAAACACAACTCTACCCCCTTGTCAAGTTTCATCTATTTATCTCTTATATTTGTATGGATTTTCAAGTTTTTTTAATGGGACAATGGGTAGTTGGCGACATGGAAAAATGATCCTTTTTTTGTTCTTCGGTCGGGTTTCCGGTCGTAACTTTTTTGTTTGTGGCCGCATTTTAGTGTAATTTTGCAGAGCTATGAGGGACAAGTGGACGATAACGCGTGAGAAATATCGTCGCGGTTCGTTTATTTTTTTGGCATTACGGTAATTAGATTGATGAAGTTGATGGCCGCAAAGTGGGTAAGCCACCCTACTAGCCTATGGTATCCTGGGGTGAAGAAAGGGGAGAAAATGTTTGATTTGGTGCTAAGCAACATTAATGGAGAGAAATTGAACATCATGCTACTTTTAACAAAAACCGTTGTCCTTGTCCATATTGTTTTATCACTGATGACTGACGGATAATCGGTTTTAATATTTAAGCAAATAGGAAGGTTGAAACAAAGAAGGATAGGATAGGATTAACATATTTATCCCGGGGGAGAGGAAAGCCGATAAGACGGCTTATCCATATGGCAAACCACGGCCTCTCGTCCGGTTACCATTCCAGGTCGAGTATGGGATTAGTTATACTGTTTGTTTTCGGAAGCATGGACTTGGTGGTGGAGGAAGCCGTAACCGACCAGCGGTTACGTGAACCACCCAACGACGACGAGAAGTCCAGCAATCATCTCGCACATAACCATCCCTGCATGGAATTCGAACCTGCGAACCCATGCAGAGTAATTAGAGGTGCGGTGGCGAGTGTATTCTCAACACTTAGCCCGTTGAGCCACACCGCCGCTGAACTGAACAGAAGGTTCAGTATAATAATACCATTTAAACTTCTTTAATGATCTCCAGTTCAATTTGTATGAAGACTATACTGACACTGCATGGTTTTTAAATTAATATTTAAGTATTTTTGTTAACAAATATTTCAATAAGACTGTACTGGGTACCGGTAATACTGTAATAAAGCCTGTTGTCCATTTACACAGTAATTTTATGCTTGTGCAGTTGTGGGTGCGTTCACATTTTACCGTGTGTTTCATTACAAATGTCGTACAGTTATTATTTCAAAATTATTTCAATGGCCAGCTTTAAACTATAGAATTCATCAGCTCACCTGTTACTATGTCCAAGCTCTTCAGTAAAAAAAGAAGACCAAAAGGTAGCGATCTTGTTGAGACACCCATCTTTACCTCGCGAGAGTGTATATTTGTCCTGTTTATATTCACGCAGTTCAAGCTAACTTTAACCCTGCAAATGGCAGATCCTAGGGTAGATTATATGACAGCAAACGCAAGTAAACACCCAAACTATTCACAACATTGCAAAAATCCCCTAAAGTAAAACTTACCATATGACCATGACGTCATATATCACGTGTCAAGTAAGGCAACCTCGATAGGCTCGGTGATGCATTTGATCATATTTACGATTCGATAGATGTTTCCCAAGGCAGCGATTTCCTTGTTGTAGGCCCTACACGTTAGTGGACATAACGATCGTTTTGCATTTAATGCTGGCACTCTTCTTCCTCTTGGTGTTATTTATTTAAACAATGATTCATACTTTTTATACAATTTATACAATTGTCCTCTTTTTGTTTGAACTTGCGCTAATTTGTTTATCTATGTTATCTTATCATCATTCTTTTAGATTAGAGTTTACGCCATGATAATTTTTGGACACGTTTAGTGGACATAACGATCGTTTTGTTGTTATGTTGTTCTTTAGAGAGAGAGAAAGAAAGAGTTTTTTTTCCACAAAAACAATGAAAAAACAATATTAAAAATATCGATAATTTTTTATAGAGTTAGATTATAATGAAAACAATGAAAAACAGTATAAAACAATATCGATGATTTTTATGGAAGTAATCCAATTTACACATCGTTTTGTGTTGACCAGTATGCAGGACCGTTGAAGGTCATCGAGGCTCCTGACCAATTTTTAACACTGTTACCAAAAAGTCGGAATTGATTGCTACAATATAAATATAAAAAAGACGGAGAATGAGTCAGCAGATATTTTGTTCCATGATTCAACACTAAGAGCACATTGTGATAGAGGACATGTGTACAATATATATAATACCAATGCTACATTGTGATCTAGTAGCCTACATTATAGATCAGATCGCCATAACAGAGTCGGGCTCAGTATAAAATATAAATAAACAGAATAGCACAGACACAATAATGAAAAAATTTTCACCATGTTATACTTATACTAAGGTAGGGCAATTATTAAACAGTATACACTAATCTAGGGGAAATGTAGGAAATACACACTAATATACAATCGGAAGTTGAATATATAATGCAAACTAAAAGAATGATGGACATTTCACAATCAATCATATTATAGACGAATTCAAAAAATAATGTAATAACTAATCTGAATACATTGTTAGCAAAAGCTTTTTTATTTTCTTAGTAAAAAGAGATAGAGACACATTTTTTATTTCAGATGGGACATCACCCCCAAACCTGTACACCATTATATTTTAAAGATCGCTTCCCAACATCAGTGGAAACCTGCGGTGTGAAATAGGATCTAATTTTTTTGGATCTGGTACCATAGTTATGTACATCTTTTAGATGAGTAAAATAGTCCTTGAAAGCAGGGGGAGAAGGCCATTTTCATGCCGATGCATAAATTTAGCAATTTCTAAAGTATGCATCTCTGAGAGCTGTAAAATTTCATTTTGACAGAATAGTCGGACGTTAGTTATACGACTCTTCTCGGAAAATGATATGCACATAATTATTTTATTTTGTAAGACTTGGATTGGCTGTAATGAAGACTTGGCGGCTGATCCCCGACTAAGAATTCCATATTGCAATCGCAAATAAAATAAACTCTAATAAACTACTTTCAGCGTTTTTAAATTCAAAATGTGTCTTAGTCTATAAAAAATACCAACGGTTTGTGATAACTTCTTAGCTAGTTGACTAATATGCGGTTTCAAGCTTAGATTATCATCGATCGTGGCCCCCAAATATTTGATACTTTTAGTTCGCTCAAGTATTTTACTGCCTAAAGAGAGTTTGAAGAAAGTAGTATCTATTCCCTTATTACAAAAAACCATTATTTTTGTTTTAGAATAATTTAAAGATAATTTATTTGCTTTAAGCCAAATATCAACATTTTGTATTTCAGTGTTCACCGCAGTCTCAAGTTCGGACAGAGATGAGGCGGACTTCCCAAGAGAAGTATCATCTGCAAAAAGCATTGAATAGAAAGAAGATGCAGCTGGTAGATCATTTATATGGCATAAAAAAGCAGTGGGCCAATTGTAGAACCCTGTGGAACTCCACATATGTTCCTGTTGTTCTTTGACACTTTTTGGACACCTAGTGGAAATATTAAAAAACCGCTTTTCTCTTTGATTAGTGGAAATTTTTAGTGGTTGAAGATGAAATTTTTCTTCAGCAGGCTATTACTTTTATTTATTCCAAATATTTCTGTTAGCTCGGTGAAATTTGTTTTTGTTTGCTATGACGTCACTGAACGTTAATCGTACGTCTGACGCCATTTTGTGTCCGACTGTACTGCTTCGCTTAGTGCTTCGCATGCCCTGATGAAGTTTTCTGTGTAGAAATTCGAAACGTCGGCAAATTACATCGTTTTGCTAACACCGAGTTTACCTGATGTTTAACATGAGTTTACCTGGTGGCAATCATACATTATTTAAAAGTAAAGTAAATGGTGATGTAACAATGGCGATTTCTGAAGTCGCTCAGACCAAAGTGACTATAAACCAGGTGGAGACACCGAGTGCAATGATGCATATCGGACGCCATTATGGGTCCGGGAAATCGCGGTAACGCGGCAGCCTCGGTTTGTTTTAGCTTCGTCAGTCTCAAAGTGACTATAAAAGTGTTATAGCCACTTTGGCTCAGACACTCCATTGACTCTGACCTAGTACCTACATCGCTGTACGTGACGATACATAGACTATCATGGCTTTTACAGGTCTTCTGACGAGGATTCACTTTTCACGTTTTTTTTACTATCGCGTTTTATTTTACTTAATAATTTCTCTGCGCATGTGTGAATCTGTACGTTTTAAACCTTATCTAAGGGTTTGCTTGCTCTCCTGATTTCATAATCATTTTATTGTCAGTTATGCTGATTATGTAGTCGAAATAAACCTATACTAATTCAGTTTCACCGTGAATTGAAATACCAAATTCTCCGAGTCATTTCTGTATTACCAGATTAGACCGCAGTCTGTCATTCCCTATAAAAAAACTTCTCAAAATCATATGCGGTAACTTACTAGTATATACTGTCGTAGCCTGAAAATATTAGATCTCATAGGATGCATAGAGAATTTGAGAATGATGTTAAATAACGCTCAAAATGAATCGTAACCGTTAACCATCTAAAATCGGTTAACCATTTCCAGTCCTAGTGTTGAAGCGTGCATTTTTTAAAGCTTCGATTGGTTTATGATTACGCCACAACGTCACTTGGGTGTTTGCTTTTCAATGCGTTGATAGTTGATGGTCTCATGAATCGAAAAACTCGTTTCAGAGTTGATGATTTATTCGTTGCAAAACTTAAGACCCCGGTACTATTCTAGTGTTACGTATGCCGAAAATTGTATACAGTGTAACAATTTGCTATTTTTTTAATCCTATTTTATGATTTTGAAGTGTTTTACGCAGTAAAAACAACTCTAAAGCAAAAAAGGCATTCAATGAAATGAGACCTCGTTCATATTTCTTTTATTTTATTTTCCATGCTTTGTGCCAGTTCAATATCGTGTTGCCGCTCCGCGAAGTCATTTTACTTGATGTTACCTGTCCGACGAGGCAAAACGGTTTGGAACCACTGAATTCTATATAGTACAACCAAAAGTTGCAATACATTAGAACAGTGCTCTTCAACCGGGTATACGGTATACCCAAGTGCATACCGGACCATAAGTTGGGTATACAACTGATAAAGGGTATACAAAAGGTGTACAGCCTAAGTCAGGGATTCAAAACTCTAATATAATAAATTATAAAATATTCAAGCGGACACAACAATGTAAAAGCGGCGCACATGAAATATAAAATGTCATTTGAGCAACGAACCGATGTGAGCACATTGTTACATCACAAATTATATAGATAATGCGGTCACTTGTCTGGGTTGGTGACTTTGGCTGCCATGCACTTCGTTTGATTTACGTTGAACATTATTCCCGTTGCCGCTAAGGCCGTCAGTCAAATTTGCAACTTGCGAACACTAACCTATTAGATTGCATGACGATATTGCAGTACAATATGTGCTTGAAAATGTTATTGTTTAAAATGTTTATTTAAAGCCATAAATAAACATTGGTATTTGTAATGTATACAACGTTCTTGAAAAATTGTAAAAGATATACCACGATAAAAAAAGGTTGAAGAACACTGCATTAGAAAACCTTTTTATATTTCAACCTCGAAAGAGCATGATATTTCTGAATTGAAACACGTAGTTTCAAGCAATATATTTTATTCTTATTTTGAGATTTTCGATAAATTCTGTATGCAATATAATGTTGACGTTATAGTACTTTTAGGGAACAAAATGTGTGTTTGATTTTATTTCTGAATTTGCTGTTGTTTCTGGCTAGTTCTGTTGCTCTCTGATCTGAAGAAGAAGACATACTCCTGGTTTTGAATACATGTATTGCAATTGTATATTTACAAATACAAAGAACAGTTCCAAGTCATGACTGATAAGTCAGAAGTAATCTAAGTTTCACTGCAAGCCCGAGTTCGCTAATTACTTGTTCATCGTTATCCCTTTTTTCTATCCTAACGAATGGCCGCTTTTATGCTGGTTTTGGTATCCTTAGGGCATGACGCCTTATCGTCATCATACCCTACAGCATAGGTTCTCAAAGTGCTCCGTACGGAGCCCCAGGGCTCCGCGAAAGAAACCCAGGGGCTCCGCGAGCTATCGGATTACTTTTCAAAATACTGACTAGTTTTGTAACTGTTCTAATAAGAAGCAATAACAGCTTTGATTAAATCTGACAACAAAATAGCCTCGAAATATGGCAAAGAGGCGGAATTAAAAAATGACATTATTTATAAGCAGGAGCGCAGCCAGGATTATTAAGAGGGTGGTGGTTCAAAATTGGAATCGGAAATTTCCGCGCAACATTCTTCGCGATTAAAAAAAACGGATAACGAGATTTTTATTGCGTAAAATATTTAATCCATGACCGATGCGAGCATTTAACGAACAATTGAAATTTATTTTATTGCATTCGGCTCCGTCGGTAGTTTCAGAATGAAAAAAAAGGTACATCGCGGAGCGCGCACAATTGATTGCGTGCGGCTCCGTCGGTAGTTTCATAATGGGGGAAAAGGTACATCGCGCGCACAATTGACTCTGTTTCGATTTCGCAGTTACTACGATGAAAACCTAACATAACACCAATTTTTGTGATTTACAATGTCTATAAATACGTTTTCAATCTGAGGTGAGTCTGCTGAAACCAAACCTGTGATCTTCCATTTTAAGTTTTAGTCTTATTATTTTAGAATGCCGCTTTTCAATCAAGAAATTTGAGTTGCGGATTTATCTCTTTATTAATTATTATTTTTAGCATTTCGTAACGATGACTATAATATGGTAACATGTTTTTCACATTGAACTCATAATTCCCCACGAGAACAAAAAAGCGAATAACGTCGTCATTGTGTAACTATACATGTATATATATGCCGAGGGAAATTTTTGATTTAGGGAGAATAAACACCGGCGTAAAGATGTTAAAAGGTTCAAAGACACGCCATGCTGACGAAAAAAATCGGCGATTGTAACAGAATGCAATTGCGCACGTTATTAGCGCCTTTTGAGTCTTCCAAAAATGTCAAAAGGGAAAAGATTCGACCCCTTATTTATTAACATGTTTGTCAAGTGTCAAATTTACAGCTTTAGTGTATATATATATAATTTATGTTTGAAATTTAGATTTATGTATGACTTGTGTTAACCCTAAGGTTCAGCATTTAAATTAAGTAAAGTACTTTTAACTTGCTCAGGAATATTAATCTGAAAGTAACAACTTTAACATTTATTTTGGGGCTCCGTGAATAATAGTCAACCTCTCCAAGGGCTCCGCAACACCAAAAGTTTGAGAACCCCTGCCCTACAGGACGTCTAATTGTTACGTATTTTATGACTGAGAGATTGCTTCTAATTTTAAGATTAGTATGACTTTAAGTTTAAACACAACCAAAAGCAGCAAAATTACCCAATATCCTATATACTTACTACAAAACCCTATGTAGTATTTCCGAGGAATATATTCTAACATTTATCGTAAACACGAGATGGCCAAAGAGAGATGCTGCAAGAGAGTCCTGAATGCTTTTGTACATACGAATTTGGACTGGAGTTCAAAGCCAGAGTGCGAATTTGATCGACTCCGAACTCAATTTCCATAGGATTCAGTAGTTCAATGAAAATTCTCCGAAAATATGATATGTTTCGCTCAACGCGTGTCTCGCTTAATTGAGTGAGACCCCGTATGGTTATCCTGAAAGTTGGTTACTCTAGCTTATTTTGTTTGTGTTTTATTGGCTAGTAGTGCGATTTGCAGTGTTTCTTTTTTCTGGCTGACCAGACCATAATAAGCGTCGCACACAGTCAGCGCCGGATTAACCATAGAACAATATAAGCACGTGCTTAGTGGCACCAAGCAAAGAGGGCACCACAGAAATTTTAAAGCAGAATTTTATATAGTTTATCGGTGTTTATTAAAATATTACGAGTTCACCAGACGACTGAAACTTCAAAATGTTCGCTTGTTTTTCATATCATATTAACCTTCTTTATTAAAAATAAACATTGAAACTCATTTATTGGACACAAAATGGGCCTATTAGTCGTTTTCTTAAATTGTTGTTGTTTTTTCCTCCTGGTATTCTCCTTGTTGCTGCATTTTTGTTTTAAAAAAAATTCTTTTCTCTTCAACAATTGCACCAATGAACTGTTTGCACTATGTGGCGGTTCCACGGTCAGCGAAGTTGGGAATTTTTCGATACGTTTTTCGGCAAGTAAATGGCCGATATATATATCGGCTATATATAACAGTTAAAAAACCAAAAAATGTTCGTAAAAGTTGTTTTATCTACTATTGGTTGTGATTATTTATACACGGTGACCGTACATTTGAACCCACGTACATTCGAATCCATGTGTATATCCGCGGGATCAATCTATATGAGGGTGCTAAAACCTATGGGTTAGGGTTAATAGGGGTTCAAATATCCGTGAAACAAAAAATTTTCTATAGGTGCAATAAATAGTATGCAGGTGCAATTGTCGTGGGTTCAAATGTACGTGGGTTCAAATGTACGAGAACCTTCATACACTTATCTGGTTTATTGTTTTTATAATTAAATTACACAATGGGGGGCACCAAAGTCTTCAGTGCTTAGGGCACCAAAAGGGCATAATCCGCCCCTGGAGACCAGCGACTACCGATTATGTCTCCTCTGTTCCAAGTATCTCGAGGAGCGTGGTGTGGGAGGCTATGGGGTTGAACGCTAATTCCACCACTTCACAATAAACATTTATGTTGTGTGAGATATCAACATTGCAATTTTGATATCTCTATTTTAAGTTTTTGCTTTACTGGATCAGAAGCTTTTTTATATTCAAGATTGCAGCTTCACTTTATTAGTTGCATATATCTGCACTCATGAGTATTCGCAGATACAAACATGACAGACAGACATTTCGCCCACCATCATATTTTCACCCACGAATATTTGTGCTGCGTTTTTTTATAGCTCAATAAAAATTGACACTTTTTGTCTCATAATACCTGACATTATGTTACTCTGCCACCTATCTTACCGGCAAAAATTACATACTCGTAACATTAATCGCGGAATGTGAAATATAGGAGTTATTCAAGATATCGATAGTCAGATATTGGTTTTTATTCAGTGCACTGGAGAAGTACCGTGATCATACAATCAAATACCAGTATTATTCAATATCTCAATAAACGGTATTCAAATGACAAGAACCTCTAGGTGGGCTGACACGAATTTCTAAGTAGACTCTTTCTAAAACAAGTTCAATCAGACTTGATAAATGCGGACACGGTCACCTTCCTGTCGATCTTGAATTCGTGGGATTTATTAACCAATAATTCAACTTGACCACAACGAAACAATCGTAGGGTGCCATCGCCCCAAAGTACGCTTCATATGGCTTCGAGGATATGAATGATAAAGGCGCCGCCATGGTTTAAAAACCACTAGGTTAATTTATAATAACTCTAGCATACGCTTTTAAAAATCCATGAGTGAAGCTTCAGGGTCAAACGGTCCATGATTTATTTGAAACTGAACCATGCAAAAAGGCTTCAGGGAAGCGGCCCAGGAAAAGTTGTTTCGATTCTTTGCAAAAAATATAATTAGTGATACGATACACACTAGTGTTTTGCCAACTATTTCAAAGCTCATATATTCGAATGAAATATAATCTCAAAATTTACGATTTTAATCGTCTATGAACAAGTATATATGAGTGTTTCAATATGGCTGCTAGATTACAATTCATTGTATTTCATTTTGGTCTTCTGCGAGTGAATGGGTTAAAATAAAATCATGTAGATTAACGATTAGTACTATTCACTCTACGATGTTCGGAGCATTTCTTGATACAGTTTGTAGACCACAGCGTCAAGTCCATTGCAGGGACCAGAATTGTACAAAGCTCGAGATGTCACTAATATATAGATGTCTTCGAAACCGCCTTCTGGGACTAGGGCTTAATCACACGCATTGGGCCGAGTGTAAATATGCAACGCTTCGGTCCCATTTTATTGCCACTATTTTGGGGAATTCCTATTATAAACTCCCTTCTTACAGTCACGAGTATAGTGGCCCATCGTTGTCACGCGTAAAATTGAAAATTAAAATAAACTAAAAAACACTGAAAATAAAAGCAAAATAAAAAATAGGGGTGAAAAAGGGGCATACGCGCACAAATGTGTTCTTTGGGTTTCTAACTCACTACTGAAAAAAAATTCCGTAGGTGCAATAGTATACAGGTGCAATTGTCGTGGGTTCACACCTTTATGCATGCATACAACCTTCATTTTACGTCACCAAATAAGCTTATCAAATACCCGTATCCTTTACCCGCACTCGACAAAGCAGAAGCTTGGTTATTAGGTTATAGCTGCATCATTGTTACGTAATCCAATCGTCAGATAGTGGCGTGATATGACGCCATAAATCAGGCGAGTGTTACTTTAGGACACGCTCAAGGCAGCAAACTTGGAGTTAAAATCGGATAAGCGCTGAAATGATCAAAAAAACGTTTGAATGTTAATTATTATTTCGTCGACATAGTTTTTAATGATTGTAGAAGTTAGTCACCCGCTATCTAAGTGTGAAACTAACGCAATCTCTATTTTTATTCTTTCCAAGGTATGTTGCGTTGTTACATCGCTCCGATAACAAATGAACAAACTCACCCGAAAGTGGCGTGATGCCTCTCATTAACCGCAAGTGCCCACCGTTACAGCCAAAGCATTCCCGTTTTACGGTTACGTTAGCCTAATTTAAACTGATGCACTTTAATAACCTTCAGGGAACATTTTTTTCAACGTCTCGCGCGTCTCGCCGAGCATCGTCATTTGATACCTATTTATGTGATTTTGCTTTCGGTGCCGTAGCATAGATTTTTTCTACTTCTTCAATCGTTGAGAAAAATCAGAACCCTTCAGGACATTTATCGAATTTCAAAAACCTTTTGTTTTTGAGGGATTTTGATTTTTTATTCAAATTTGAATAATTTCTCTGTAGCACTATGCTCGAATTTATACATGCCTAGCCAAATTTGCACTCATAAATGCGAGAGAATTGAAGAAAAAATAACGATAGTTTAGCTCAACCACGGTGTCGAATCAGTCTCAGACGGCATTGTATCAGACAGCAGCGGTGTTTGCCGCAGTATATTGAGTATTAAGCGGTGTTGTTTCAGAATTTTTCTGTAACTAGCAAAATGTGTGATTTTAGTGAAAGTGCTGCTATTTAAATTAGTTTATTCACAACAAACTTTTATTTCGTCAGTCGATTTGTGTGATTGAAAATTCAATGATTTGCGATACCTCATTACTTACTGCATAATATTAAACCATTTTCAGATTTATATTTGCTGTTAATGATACAGAGGTTTGGTATTGTGTTGTGAGTTTGGTAGACTTTCTAAGCACTTATTCATGATATCGTCATTTCGGAAAACAAATAAAACACAAAGTTTGTACATTCTTGGACACACGTTTGCCTACCTGACAAATTCAAAAGCCCTTCATTGCTGCAGTTCAAATTTGTCTGAAGTTACTTGACGATGGAGCGGAGGCGATTATCGCAGACTGAGCGTCTCCAATCAAAAAATAGAAGTGGAAAATTGAGTAAAAGCGTTGAGCCAGACTCTGTCAGAGACAGGTAAGCGTGCATTGGCTTGTATACAGATGATAAATTGGTTCGCCCATGCTCATGATAGGAATTGATAACGAGCCTTCCATAATTATACTTTTTTATATAGGTGTACTGACACAAGAATTGATATGTTTGGAGACCCGCACAAAAATGCCTACGTGTGCATAGAATGTCGATCCAAGATGGCAACCGAGGTTTTTGTTTCATGTTCCAGCATTCACGAACAGCCCGTATTCTGTTCAGCCTGTGTTTCTGGCAGGGAAAAGTGCCCTTGGTGCAACCGAGAGGACGGTAAAACATTTTAATGCCAAGTGTGGAAATGAGAATAAAAATATATATCGACTACTTTATTCTTTATTCATAGTATTTGTCGATTTTTTCTTTTTGTAATATAAAGCCTTATTTTGTAAATATTTACTTTTCCGGCTTATGCTGTCAAATTGCGGAAACCATTTTATGCCAATGTCAACTTGTAATGATAATTAATTTTTGTGTCTCCGTGTATAAAGAATGTTGCGTATATGAAGTGATACTTTCGAGATTTCGTGATTATACAGGGTGTGCATAAAGTCCCTTTACAATTTCAATTTTGGTATGAAGTCAGTTCTCGAGATATCTTAACCAGGTTTGTTGTTTTTGTTGATCAGTAATTGTTTGAGTATTTTACTTCATTCAATACATCTGCGAGGGCGAAAATAATATATGGTATCGATAAATTCCCTTTGGCTATTCTGAATGAATTGGGAGATAGATACCATTTGTACCAGTGTAAATGATATTTAAACAAGCTTTTATCATTACGACTTTTACTGTTATAATCTATAGATGTTCAACTACAATTTGTTATGAATTGCATTGCTCTGTCACTTTTCTTTCTTCCATTTTGCTTTTATTTGTAAGTTTCTATCGCTAAAGTGCTTCCTTGTAATAGGCTACTTCCAATAAACATCTATTAAATTCAGTTGCAGTTTATTGTGTATTTAGGAGGCAGGCAAAAATATAGAGATTTAGATTATGGGTTGGATATCGCCCATCCGTGACCAGTACACAAGGCAATAGCGTCAGTAATGAAGTAATAACGTCACGACGGTTATTCGAGAGAATTGTCAGTCAGGGATAGAGGAGAAAAGAAGGCAACACTTTGAGGAGCGGTTTTCTCGCATATGAGAAAGCTGTATCACCTTGTGACCTGTCTCGTAGACATAACAGCGGTAAGAACCCTTGTCGCTTCCGCCGCTCTATTGGCTTATTGGTTAGTCACGAGTAGGGCTGGAAATGGTTAACCGGTTAACCGATTTCAGATGGCTAACGGTTACGATTTATTTTAACCGTTAAATGACATCTCAGGTACAAATCATCTTTATACCGTACAATTTCTTCAAATATGATTACGTCATCGCAAATTTATCTCTTGTGGCGTTTAATTTAAAGAATATTACTAACTGTGTGGGTAAGGACTCAATAAATGTGAAAAATAATGGAAGTACCAAGATTGCTGATAATTAAAATTTACAATGATAAATTCAGAATCATTTTTCGGTCGGTTTCGAAATATATTGTTCATGGTTTCATTGCAAAATCGGATATTCAATGTCATGCAACAAGTGCGCGGTTGATGCCGTTTTTCTTTATGATATATATCTCAAAAGTAGAATTTGCACATCGAACACTGAAAATTTGTCACATAAATGATGTTTAACAACGGAATCGGGTTTTCTAAAATATTTCCACATGCCCGAACCGGTTAACGGTTAAAGTGTTTTTCCTGAAATTCCCAGCCCTAGTCACGAGATGAGCCAGCTTCAGCGACCTCTTTTAGCTCGAGCGGCATTCCATTTTGTCCTTTGCAATAAATATACTACTCTATACGTCTAGAGCAGGGTGGTCCAAACCCAAGCCCACGGCTTCATTATCTATGGCCCCCGTCGCAATAGCGGGAGGGTAGACAAAAAATCGAACAAAACAAAATTTGGTGTTGTTTCGTCATAAAAATACCCAGAAAATCTTTTTTACATCGCTAATGTCACTAAATTGACTAGTGTTACGTCTGGCTGAGGCAACTAGCGAAGTTGAATATTGTGCTTGGCCAGTCTAAATTGTTAACTGGCGTTTATCATATTATCACAAATGGCATACAATGTGTTGAAAATTATGTATTGAATTCTTCTTTAGGTGTAACATAATGCTAATGTTTTGGGTGATTTTCAATTGTGTGATTCCCCAAGATACTCCAAACACATATGTATGAATCACTCCACCCTGTGCATATACGTAATAGAAACAGAAAGGTAGTTTAGCTTCTAAAGGTAATTTGAAAAGTTGTTGATCATCACAAAATACCATGAGCTTTACCTTTGTCATGGATTATGCCTATTTTCTTGAAATCGTTTTTTATTGGGTTAGTTAGAGACACGACTTTCCGATATTTTAGCCATTTTTTTATTGCATATTGTGTTTTTTAAATGAAATCATGTGAATTGCATATAACCAGTATTACTCATTGGATTGTTGACTTTCACTATGTCGAAGAATGATTCATTCTTACCCAAATGATTCACTATTTCAAATTGTCTCCGAATGATTCATTTCAAAAGTATGTAAATAGCGTGACAAGAGATTCTACTCAAGAAATAATTATATAAGGGAAAGGTCGTCGCTGTAATGAACTATCCGTACCTAAAACAAGAAGCTCCAATACAGTAAACCAGGGGTGTACAACCTTTGATAGGCCAGATACATATAACTGGGAGAGACCGCGGGCCGATACCTAGTTCAACATAGGCTTTCTAGTACTTGCAGGCGCATAAATTTTGGTTGTTGATCTTATGACATGCGTTGTTCGCTTCGCACAAGCTCTTGCAGCGCAAAGAGATGGGAATTATTCGCACGTACTAGATTAAAAACTCGTTCGCGGACACACCATTCAAAATTGGCATCTCTCCGTGGGCCGCACAATGTTCCCTTGGCATTTGGCCCGCGGGCCGCAGGAAGCACACTACAGTGAACAATTAACGAACGTATATGATTGAACAACCCCTTAGCTTGGCCCTTGGCAAACTATTAATCAATTCATCTACTATCTAATAAGATTACACTTCTGTGTTTACATACCTCACGAAAGTATTTGAAAATGATTCAAGATAGAAACATCCGCTCTAAAAAGTGTCTCAAATCGCTTGTGTGAGTGAATTTAATCTACTTTCCCAATAGATTTTGGTATATAGTATAGCACACTATTGCACCACAATAAATCTGACTTAGCAAGTAACGTAATCCAGTATTTTATGGCATTGACGTCGTTCTACTTTGCTATGACGTCAATTTTTGTTGTTATGGAGGATATTGAATGTTTGTTTTTTGGTTGTGTTCACGAGTATTGAAATCAATGACAGAGTCATGTTATAGAATATCGATTGCCACTTTTCTAATATGGAATCCTTAACCGCATATATGGAAGCCTTTCATTTCATAATTATCGTGGGTCAGTATCAACTCCTACAATATTCACTACTTTAAAAATATGAACTGCATGAATGACAGTAAAATAAAATCATCTAATATTGAGCGAACTCATTGATATCTGATCTGACTTTTCCATACTCCTCAGTACTTCACTCATAATTGTTTATATTTACGCAAAGCTTCAATTTGAATGCAATTATATTAACAAGAAATGATAGCACAAATCAAGCCTAAACGATTAGTTGTTTGCTAATCCATCGCAAACACCTAATTTCCCACTGAATAGAGTTACGAGGAAAATATCAGGTCTAATGGATCACAGAAGAACACACGAAAACAGGTAACTCTTTGACCAACCCCCTCCATTTCACTACCTCAAATTCGAAACGGACCGATCTAGAAAATATCAATAAATGCAAATTTTAGTCCCAACGACAATATCAATTTACCAAAACGATATATATATATATGCGTGTTCATATATTCAAACACAGAGTACATTTGTATTTAAAATGTGCTAAAAGGAATAAGGCGTGTATTGAAAATTGTACTCAATTATGCAAATAGTACATAATAAAATTACTTCGCGATTTTGTTCTATTGAAAAAGATTGGTTAATGTGAACTTCTATAAAAAAACAACTTTAAATTTTTTTCAATTGATTTTTGTTATCTTTGTTGATTTATTGCGGTGCTTACACAATATGGTAAATACCTTGATCTACAGATGAATTAACAATGATTACATCCCAGCAGCAGCTTGCCTTTAAAGTTCATGTTAGTCATAGTCAATATGACGCAATAGTACATTCATTTATGCAAGTCAGGTGTATGTGAGTTACTATTTTTACTTCTTTATAGCCGGTTAGTCCAAATTTGACCATGTTAACGTTTCTATTGCACAATTAAAAACTTTTTATAATTGTACTCTGTTATGTTCAGCATTCAAAAGTACCATGCTGTTAAGTGGGGCTCATGTTGGTATTTTTCAATGAGAATACACCATGCAAAAATATATAAATTGATATAATTATTTGATCTTTACAAAATAATGACCATTCTTCAAATGGATTGTTATTGAACATGCGCACATTTGTATGTTTTGTGAGACACAATATATTGATTATGTCCTAAAACGGTATATAGTGGTTTAATTTTTAACGACGGTTATAAATGCCCGAATAAAATATTTTCAAAATGTCATTAATGATTGTGAATCTTCTGCATGGTCAAAATTCATCGTGTAGGTCCTCATAGGTGGTCTCTATGTGAATGTAGTAGTGAAGATGGTGCCCAGTTGTACGCGCAACCTAGAATACACGTCATCAATCAAAATATACGCAAGCACTATTTATAGCAATTGTCCTAATCTTAGAGTACTTATGTTGAGTGACAATTGGCCCTAAATTTTCTAAATATTTTTAGAAATATTCTGATGATTCACCAAAGCGGATGGATGAAGGGTGAATCAGATATTCCTTCCTGCATGCGAGATAGCTTCAATATAAAACAGAAAATTTATTTTTAACATTTCAAAAATAGATTGATTGTTTGGCAGGTCACTGCGGACTTTGATAAAGCAGTTCCTTATTAACTGTTGAATATTTAGGTAAGTAACAGGTATGAGGTTTCATCATCACGCATCACATGTAAAATGCTGACTTATAGTCTCCTTATGATGACTATGACTAATTTATCCGCCTTATTGAATTCAAACGTATTTCCCGAATGTACAAGCTTGTGACATGCTTATCAACTCGAGATCGACTTATTCCTAATTAATTAAGTTATAGAAAGACTCGAATTCGGTAAATTATGGCATAAATAAATGTGGCATAAATTTGATTTGATTTACCATGAATCCAAACAGCTGCATAAACCTTCAAATGACGACCCTAGTCTTACAATACTTTTATTGTAAAATTATTCCAATAATTTTTGTTTGTGGTAGGATCATTAATTATTACAAACCATTGAAGAGTAATGTCATAACAACGCAAATTTTCCCGAACCGCGGCTGTAATAAATAGCGCGCCCGTGCCATAGTTACGCTTGCAATGTCCGTTTAATACTTCTTGAATGTATAAATGAAATTTATTTCAAGATGGTTGTTCGTTAACCAACGTAGCAGGTATAGACAAACAACCGCATCAACGCAAAATGAATATTTATATTGAATCAAATCGTGGAAGCAGAGATTCAACATGTGCAATTTCCAATAACAATCTTGGCGATGTGGGTTAAAAATGTCGGTTCCCACCACATCCATCACCTCGCCTGGTGTGGGAAAATTGAGTACGCCTACCAGGAAACTTTCCGAGAGGGTTCAAAAAGATGACAATCTTCTTCTGACTATTTGTTGAATCAGTATCATCAGGTGGCAGAGTAGAGTACTCAGACTAAAAACCATTACATCATCATAATTACACGTTCTTCCGCATTTGCAAATCAACCATAGGGAGTGAAGGCGACAGAAAAGGCATTTAAACGGCCCTTTAAA